ATATTCCCTTACATAGGCCTTACATAGGGTAGGTACCTCCAATCAATCGGATCCTGAAATTCCCATTGACCCATGGAAAAATTCGACATTTTCGCATCAAAGTGCCCCTGGAGGCACCTTGATTCGCGTCACCGAAGTGGTCTTGTTGGAGCGTGAGCAGCGCGTGCGCGCGCGCCTGCTTCGACCCAAGGGCTGGATCACGCTACGCAACACGGAGACTGGAAGGTGAGGGCCTTGGACAGTGCCTGGTTACGATATCGCGATTGATTGGTGAACATATATAACTCCAATAAGTACTATAATATGTTTGTTTTTCAGATGTTGACCTGTGCGTGCTGATATCAAGAATTCATGTCACGGAAACACAATTCACTGTAAATAACAATAGAAATATGTTCATTCCGATTCAAATTCCAAAACCACAATGATTAGAAACCCATGCTTGTTTCCAAGTCGATGACATATTGGGAAAATCAACTATACACGGCTGTGAATGGTGATCCAAGCAATAGAAATACAGTAGTGGATTACTCACCAGCATACGGGTTAGAACGGGCATATAACACGCTATAGAGTATAGTATAAGCATAGATCTGTCATAGATTGTACAACAGAATTGTACTTAGTATGTCCAAACATTGACTATACCCGAGATCCACGGGCCAATTATTCATCAGCGCCAATCATCATATTCCCTAATTACTATGATTTGGTCTAATATTTTAAACATCCAAAGATTGCAGCATGGTGAGCCTTAGTAACAGGGAGATCTACACGCATTAGGCAACTATCCACAACAAAGGCGTACGTCATCGTATATCACCAAGAGTATGGGTACATACAACCTTCCAAACTCCAAATAAAGATAGAAGGATATTGATCAAAGTCATGTTGCCCGAACATTTGAAGCATGTTCACAGTTTGGAAGCTGACATGTTGATCAGTTGCCATGTGAAACCCTCATTCAGACTGCCTGTAAGATTCACCAATACACTCGCATGTTTGGATATATATTGTTTAAGTTTACCAGAGGGTAACCCCCCACGATGACTTAATCACTATGAATCAATCTGAATCACACTGAATCATCGTCCCAGCATTTATCTGGGTAAATTTCATCACGACCGAACCCTGTTCTCCCGAACCCTGGAATCATGGGTTATTTCAGGAAAATCATCCCCTTTTATGGCCGCAAGATTCAGGTTAGAGAATTATTATAGTAGTAGATGATTTACCCAGATATATTATCCATATATTATCCATACATTGTTGTCCCAACCACCAAATATAGGAAATATTGGGATTTACAGTAATTTACCATTGATTTTCCTATTGAAACCTGGGGGACATCGTGGTTTTCGCGTGGTTTTTTCATGGCACCAGGTGTTGGGCCAAGCGGCGGGGAGCACCAGAACCACCCGATGTGGTTGGACGCCTCAGATTTGGGGGAAATCTGTGGCAAAATCTACGGAAAATCTGAGGAAATCGATGGAAAATCTAAGGAAATCTATGGAAAATGGAACATCTAAGGAACTCTATGGAAATCTGACACTTTGGGGGAATTCGCACATAGTGAGGATTTACATATCATGGATGTGTAGCACCATGTATCTCAAGAAAAACTGGGGGTTGATTACTCGTGATTTGCTCATCATCTACCCAGACCAGGACGGCCATGAAACAGCCGGGGTCTGATGGAGTCCCCAGATCCCCATTGTGGCTTGTGATTCAAAAAGGATATTGGCGTCGAAAAACCATGAAGGATCATCCCACCCAATATATGTCTGGTAAGTATTGGTAAGGTATCTCTCGGTCATAAATTTGGGTTATTGACCCCTGATGCCAGGCGTAAAGGTCAGCCCATAGGGGGCACTGTCGTCAGAGGGTCCAACACTGTCCATGATGAAAGCCACAGGTCTCAGAAGCAGCAGAGTCAGAGGTGAGTTCCTGCAGGGGCTAGGTGAAACGATGGTTGGGGTCTTCATCTCCACACAGATCCATACATTTCTTCTCCCAATTTACCAGACCAGGTATGCCTTAATGGTTTATACATAGTCCTGGAGGTTTTTTTTGTGTGGTTGAATCCCCAATAATGATAATATGGTTGAAGAGATCCCGTTTTTAGTGGGTTAAGTCGCAGTGTAAACTGTGGTTGATGGCAAAAAAAACGATGTTCATTGAAGAAATGGTCATTCAGAATCCAGAGTTTTGTTGTTGAATTGTCATGAAATCCCCGTTTTTTCCTGAAATCTGACCCACAACATGGTTTGAACAGATTTCCTGCTGCTTGGCAGGTGGAAGATGGTAACTTGGACGAAACCAGAAAAACCTTGGGTGGTTGATTCAGTGGTTACCATCGATGAGACATGGTGAGCTAGGAATCCCTTACAAATGGAGCTAGTTATGGGGATTTTCCATTGCCATGTTTGATTATCCGATGGTATTTCCTTGTGTAGTTTTAGATAGTTTTAGATTGAGTAAAAGCAACAGGTTCTCGAAGTTTAAATGGTGTACAGCCGTATAGCCTCCATCAAACACTGGCTGCTATCAAACATCAAAAGCAGGATCTTCTCCCGGTGCTGCTGAATGGAAGGTGAATGGGCTGTGAATGGAAGATAAGGAGATACTAACCCAAGGAAGGATTTTGGGGGGGTAAAGGTTGTGATTTTGGCGAGTTTCATTCGTTATATGGGGACATAACTGGTGGTAGGTCAATAGTTTCATCGCCAGGGTGCAGTATTCATGAAGTTTGATACCCACAGGTTCACCCACAGGTTCACGGCTTTGCTTTACGATTTTCCATGAGGGTTTTTCCATTGCGATTTCAGCTGCAAGGGTTTTTGGCATCGATCTGACCATAACTGGTTGGTGGTTTCAGACACTTTTTTTTCTCCATATATTGGGAATAATGATCCCACCTGACTCATATTTTTTAGAGGGGTTAAAACCACCAACCAGTATAATAAATTGTCGATGATCATGCTTATGTATCCATAATTACCCTCTGGTAATTCAACATAGCTATTGAAAATGGTCATAGAAATAGTTGATTTACCCACTGAAAGTGGTGATTTTCAACAGCTATGTTAGTTTACCAGAGGGTACCATCCATTGATCATCTATGTCTATTACCATATCAAACATTAATCTTTAATAAATGGTCGATGATCATGAGCTCTGGTCGTGATGCTGACGTCCCAAAAATCTCTGCGGCCCAGATCCTGAAGATCCTGAAGCTGACGACAGGTGGGACCTGAGAGACCTGATCCACCCCCATGACACCATGATTTGGCTAAGGGAAAACGATAGGAACATCATCATGATATTCATGATTGATGATTGACATATATTGACATTTTATTTTTTTTGGGTATTTTCAGACAAGCCTAAACCCTAAACCACCACATCATTTCCATATTGAAGTTCAAAGGTGACTTGTATAATGGGGGATACACATGGATAGACCACAAAGCAATAAGACATTATCAATTTGTAGTTTCTTCTTGTATATATATATATATTATAGTGATTTTTTTGGCAACCAAATTGTTGATAGTTGGGGACGGTAAAAAAATAATTGTGGATTCCAAATTACAAAAAAAACCTTGCAGTTGAATGGGAGACACTTCTTCAGTTTCTTCCTGTTCTTCCCATGTAAATGGAGACAACAACACATGAAGTGTTTCCAATCTTCACTGAACTTCACTGAGCATGTACTCCTCGGAAAACACCTTACATGGAAGTGCCCAAAAAAACGTGAGTTTTACGAGAATTGTTTGCTTATCCCCCTATTGGAACCCAACACATCACAACATGCTTCCATTGAACTTGCCGGGCAAACAAAACATGTTTCCATTTCGAAATGTCCAAAGTTATCATTCAAAATGTGAAAAGAGTTTCCATAGAAATTTCACAATTTCCAAGAACTATGGACATTGTCCGATTTTTCCATAGAAATCACAGATGTTTTTCAATTGTTCAATATAAATTTCAAAAGAGTTTCCACATGAATTTTCCCAATTTGTCAAGACCCTTTTCGCCCCCGCCTTTGTCAAGGCCGCGCGGCCACAGCGATACGGAGGATGTTCCACCTGCACCACCGTCGTGGATGGGCATGGCCCCTTGAAGTTCAAGCGGCTGGTGTCCAACAGGGACATGGATTCCAAAGTCATGGGCGTAATGTGAACCCCGGAGTAATAAACCCTGGTTTATGAACGGGGGGTTTCTCCTCCAGTCATGGATCATCTGATGCTTCAATTGTAGCCTCCCAATTAAACGGCCGTAAACGGGGTTTATTAATCCAGGGTTGACGTTACCCTTAATCATGCAAGTCATGGACCATGACTTAGTATTGAAACAACCATGGTGACGACTGGGGACCTCCATTTTAAGAAACCACCATATGGTTATATGGTAGATTGAAGCATCAAAAATGAGAATTGATGTAGGAAAAAATATGATGAAGGGAAATTCTCTGGGATATATATATATATCCAACTCAAGTATAGCTTATTATATATATATAGACACTTTATAATTGTGATATTTACTTGCGGATGTAGTATGGTATATGCTGGGAAACTATAACCCATTAACTTGATACGACATTTGGCTGGGTCGGAAAATAAGGATTGGCCCCCTTTTTTTACAGTATATAATATTTCTTGTGTGTGTTTTCCTTTCAAACGATCAAACACATGGAATATCATTGACAGATGATCGTTGATTGGGTAAAATGGGGGCTGTACTACCTCAGCAGTGTGAAAAAAACCCATGGTTAGTTGATTAATGGAGATTCTATGCAACGTCCCAGTGGTAAGATATGAGTTTCATATTTATAAGATGGATTGAACAACTAGCAACCAAAAAGGAAAACAGCATTGGATGAAGAGACCATGAAATTACTAGAAACCTCCAAAAAAAACTCAGGGTAAAGACATCCCCGGTAAAAACAGGAAATGCCCAACATGGTCCCTTCATCAATCCATGCATGGGAAAAAAACTGTTAAAAATTCCCTCACGGGATCTTAGTCTTTCTGCAACACCCGAAAACCCCTGGTACTGGTACTAGTGGTGGAGTTTGCAAATATGTGGTACCTATCCCAAGGATATCCCAATTATATAGAAGGGATGACGAGCCATTTGTGGGTTTATTTGAACATATTTGAACATAGGAAACCCCCAAATCCACGTGTTAATCATCATTTTCTTTATTGACATTGCCATTGTTTTCAGATACAGCCGTATCCACCAAAAACACAAAGTCCCGGGATCATCTCAGTATTTGTCCTGATATGTCCTGATTGTAACAGTAGCATTGCGAGCAATCGGGCTATGTACAACAGAAAATATTTGGATGTTCTCCTTTACCATACCTAAACAGCCAAGTGTGTGTTTGTGCTGTCTCTGTTACAGAGAAACGTGTTGCTACTCAAGTTCCAGAATGTAGACCCCAAAGTCAGCCGCTGCTGATCCCATGGTTTCTTAATTGGTTGTTGAGGTGAACCTACTGTTTTCTATTGCACATCAAAGAAACAACACACAAGAACATTCAAAGACAAACTGCATCAAACTGGCAAAAAACATATTTATGATTATTTATGTGTATGTACAACATGCGTAGTGTGCGTATATATATATATAATTATATATATATGTATGTATAATATATACACTGTATGTATTATACCATACATCAGCCGCATCCCTTCAGTCTATCCTTTTTGCGGCAAAGATCTTCGCGGCATCCCTAGGTGGTGATTCCAGATGTGGGCTCCATCTTCGGTGAGGTGGAAGTCTGCATGAAGTCCAGCGAGGCCGCGGGTCATCTTTTCTTAAGCCCCTTTTTTTAGACCACTAGGTACCCATGACGGATCCATGGTGCTGGTATATATGCTAACATTGGGGGTATATTGATGGTAAATGTTACCATATATAGCATACATGGATCCTATGGGGTATGGAAAATCAATCTATTTTTAACATATCAATTTTTTTTAGCCCCCAAAATGATCCATCTATTTTTGATATATTAACATATATTAACATGAATATTTTGGTATGTTAACAATGTATTAACAGTTGATCCAGATTATAGTGAGGTGGACTATTTTTGATATATTAACCATGTATGAACATGTATTTAACATGTATTTTAACATGTATTTTAACATGTATTTTAACATGTATTTTAACATGTATTTTAACATGTATTTTAACATGTATTTTAACATGTATTAACAATGTAATTCACCATGAACCATCTATAAATGGTCCATTTTCCATGGCTATGTTAAATAGCCATAGGGTAAATGATTGCCACTTAATAGTGGGAATTTGGGTCAATTTCACAGTTGTGCTGAAAAACACCGGTGTTTGATACCAGGGTAGTTTTTTGGGACTTGCCCACGCCGAGATATGACACAATTGCCCACCTCTTAGGGGCAAGATATGCACTGTTGCTATCTGTTGCTATGGTAACATTTAAGTGGCGTCCATGTCCAACATATGTTGGCCATCGCCAAACGACAGCGCCGTTTCGTATTCCCGCAGAGTCCGCTGTCCGTCCTTTCGGCCAGCGGCTAACCGGACGTTCAGGTTGCGGGGATTTCAACGACACCGAAATTTCAAGCGTGCCACCAAATCGGCGACTATGTGCCGTGGATCCAAAGGGGTCAAGTGACGGAAGGTTTCAATAGCCCATAGGATCCATGGTGCTGCTATATATGGTAACATTTACCATCAATATACCCCCTTTATGTTAGCATATATACCAGCACCATGGATCCGTCATGGGTACTAAAATGGTCCAATGACTTGGATGATGAAATTGGGTACCTGAATAAATTGGAAACCTCATCAGTGTGATCAATGCTGTTCAATAAATCCCAAGAGGGTGGGTAGGTCAGGATGGTCATCAATATGAATAATGTGGTTAAAAGGTTAAAACAATGTCATGTTTACCATCCTCCAGTCATCACTATAAATTTATAGGTGGTATAAACCACCATTCCCAGTCATGGGTGGTAAAAATGACATTGTTTTAACCACCTTAGATCCAACATAAAATCCCATTGGATCCAAGCATCTGGGAACTTGTGTTGTTTTCCAGATTCAACCAACTGAACTGAACAGAACCTGTATAATCAACCAAACATGAACAAAACCAAACATAAACCAAACATAACCAAATGTTTCATAAACCATATGATTCATATGACAATAACTAGCGTTTAACTTCCATAACCCATCCTCAAAAAGAACCTTTCGGATGATCAACCCGTGTTGAGCACCCCACTGCTCAGGTGGTGCTCCAACCCAGTGTCGTGGTATCACCCGATGTGCAGAACTTCCTTCCCAGCGATGACGTTTTAGTCGACGAGTTGGAGCAGGGCCAGGTAGGGAATCTCCCGCAAGTGAGGGGAGGTGGACGTTTATGGCGGGGAAAAAGAAACTGTATGTAATATTCTCTATATATATATATCATATATTATAATATACAGTAATACAGATATCATATATCATATTACAGTATATTATAAATAGTATAACATATAGTATATCATATTATATATATATATTACAGTATATATATAGTATATTCTAACATTTATGACATATTATATTATAACATATGTTTGACACTTCCACACTTCCAGCCTTGCGCGCAGGAGATCAAAGTGGTGGAGATCTTGGAGCTACGCGATGAGAAGCGTGTGTGCTTGGGCAGCACCTAGAACGGTGGAGGTTGATCAAGGGCGTAAATGAACCAGAGATATACCCTAGGAAAACCATAGGAAAACCATAGGAAAATGGGAAAACCATAGGAAAACCATAGGAAAATGGGAAAACCATAGGAAAACCATAGGAACATGGGAAAACCATAGGAAAACCATAGGAAAATGGGAAAACCATAGGAAAACCATAGGAAAATGGGAAAATCATAGGAAAATGGAGGTTTACCCTCTGGTTATGACTAACAGTTCGCCATGGTATAGATGGGTATAGATGGCCCTAATCGAAACAGATTATTTTCCCAGCGACATCAACCTCCATTTATACACAATGGATTTTCCATAGCTATGTTAAATAACCAGATGGAAAAAAGAAAACGTTTCTAAGATGTTATATTATAACCCATATGCTCTATGGTATATTTTTACCTACATTTGGGTGATTTTTGGGGCAAATGTTGGTGAATGTTCCATACATTGAGCATATGGGTAAGGGGCTTATCAATATTATTTAGTATCTATATTTGGGGAGTGGTTGAATGATGTTGAATATGAATAAGGTTATTAACCACAAATAGAACATGACTTGCTGGAAAGTCATGGAACATCGTTCATTTAGTTCCCGGATTTTCCTTAGAAAAACCTCCAATAGAGAAGTTTATTTGCCATGTTTGATTTCCGGAGGGTATCAATTCATACTCTATCATTGGGGGGTGGTTGAATATGAATAAGCTTTGAATCTAATAATAATACACATAAGGTTTTTTCATGGTTGGTTTAGTGAGGTTGTTCATAAGGGCTTTTTTTTCATATCTATAAAAAAGGGGTATCACCTTTGGGGATGGTTGAATTGGTACTCCAACATGGCTGGGAAATCCTCGAGGGATTTTTGCGCAGGTCATATACTGCTGGTTTAACACTAAAAAACCAATGAAACATTCATAGATGTCCCAAATTCCCATTGGTTGGTTGATGAAAAAAGAGGGGTTTGAAGGTTTACCCCTTTAACAGGTAAATGATGATAGATGGTATACCAAACCGGCCCAAACCTATTTTTACCAAAAGGACATGATTGTGAAACATGGCGCTTTAGCGGAAGGAACATCCTTGTTGGTGATTGAACCCATGGAGCACTGCGCTTTGACGAGGTGAACATCCTTGTTATGATAGTTTACGCTGCAAAAAAAAAATCATGGTGATTCAATGAGCCTTTTCAAAAAGCACGAACTGTTCTGACTGGTGCATTTTACGCAGGGAATTTTCGGGAATGATCCACTGGCTAACTATCAATTTCATAATCCCAGCAACCCCCAGCAACCCAACCCATCCAGCAACCCTACGTTTAGCACGCACGCACGCACCAGAAAATGTGTTGATCATAAGCAGAATCAGTGGTCATAGTAGGGGCCGGACCATGGCGGACCTAATGGGGATTTGATGATGGGATCATCCACTTGAACCCAGTGGGATGGATCCTGAGATTTTCTCCACGTTTTTGCCATCAAAGGTAGCAATTGTTGGTCACTTTTTGGGGAGATATACTACTTGGGTTATTGGGGAAAGCTGAACTCATTGGATTGGGAAACCGTTTTCAACCAACTTGTATATATAATGAGATGGGATAGGGTTATTTTTAGTGGCTCACTTAGCACTTGGTCATGACCTCGATTTCATAGTGTTTATTCAGGTGAAAACAATGAGAAAATCTGATCACTAGAATGAGATTGCACATGTGTCATGACCATATGCTTGGGGATTTTAATTTTAATAAATACTGTATAATTTTGACCTATGTCAAACCATCAATGAAGGGGATAGTTGTTTGAAGTGATTGCTAGTCGCAACCTGGAATGATTACGGAGCCAATTGACATGTTCCAGCAGAGGTAGCTCCAATCATTGCTACAGATCCACATCTATCTATATCAACCTGTCAACTGATGAGATTTTAAACATGTACCTATCCAATCCCCTATGATTTATATACAATATCTAACATCTAGTATATGTATTTGCCATGTATACATATATATTATATACATATAACGTGGTAAAGCCAATATAAAACCATCCCCAATAATAAATGGGTGGTTAAAAAACATCAAAACATCCCCAAATCGTAGTCTTATTGCTAGGCTTACCGTGCTACACAGATTATGCATCTATCTATCTACCTATTTATCTACCTATCTATCTATCTACCTATCTATCTATCATTATCTATCTACCTATCTATCTACCCATCTATCTACCTATCTATCTATCTATCTACCTATCTATCTACCTATCTATCTATCTATCTACCTGTCTATCTACCTATCTATCTATCTACCTATCTATCTACCTATCTATCTACCTATCTATCTATCTACCTATCTATCTACCTATCTATCTACCTATCTATCTATCTACCTATCTATCTATCAATCTATCTATCTACCTATCTATCTACCTATCTATCTACCTATCTACCTATCTATCTATCTACCTATCTATCTAATTAATCTATCTATCTAATCTATCTAATCTAATCTATCTAATCTATCTATCTAATCTATCTATCTAATTTATCTATCTATCTATCTATCTAATCTATCTATCTATATCTATCTATATCTATCTATCTATCTATCTATCTATCTATATCTATCTATATCTATCTAATCTATCTATCTAATCTATCTATCTAATTTATCTATCTAATCTATCTATCTAATCTATCTATCTAATCTATCTATCTATATCTATCTATCTCTATCTATCTATCTATCTATCTATATCTATCTATATCTATCTATATCTATCTATATCTATCTATCTACATCTATCTACATCTATCTATCTATCTATCTGTCTGTCTATCTATCTATCTATCTGTCTATCTGTCTATCTGTCTATCTGTCTATCTGTCTATCCATCTATCTGTCTATCTGTCTATTTGTCTGTCTATCCATCTATCTATCAATCTATCTATCTATCTATCTATCTATTTGCATATCACCCGAGGCGTGCAAAGATCGAAGAGCCCTGTGTGGGGTGGATCACCCTGATGGAGACTCGCCAACATGCAGCGAAACGCAAATGCTGGATATACCCCCCCCTTTCCATGGTCGTTTTTTATAAGACAAGATGATGACAAAGCACTTGATTTACCCTCTGGTAATTTAACGTAGCTATTGAAAATGACCATTAATAGTGGATTTTCCCCTTAAAAATGGTGATTTTCCATAGCTATGTAAACGTTTACCAGAGGGTAAAGGTTTTCCCCGAGATTTTCCAACATATATCGGCTAGTCTTAAAACGTATATGGCCTATCTCGCTGATCTGATGTGTGAACGTTTGGCCAGACACGGGGAACAACACGCATATGGTATATATAATATACCCATTGGTTATTTAACATAGCACTGGAAAATCACCATTTTTAAAAACGGTAAACCATCTATTTCTATGGGCCATCTATACCATGGCTATGTTAGTCATAACCAGAGGGTGTGTATATATATACGTATTATTTGCATGCATGCATTTTTTGATGTTGACAGCACGATTTTTTTTCTATCCCAGTTCCAATGGATTGATTTTTATGGGACAGATAACCGTTGGGATGGTTGTTTTTGCGGGATTTTCATGGATTTTACTGAGGGAAACCCACATTTTTTATAGGAGTTTTATGGATTGTTCATGTGATTTACATTTTAAAACAGGAACATTTCTATGGATTTATAGATTCTTGGAGGTTTTCCTACAATTCTTCAGTAGTACATTCTTCAAACACTCTCCTTGACATCTCGTTTTCTCAAATTCTTTGAGCTGCCGAGCTGGGCTTGGTTTACAAGATTTAGATAGATTTTGGGGACATGAACATATGGGAGTTTCTCAAGTCATGGGGGATCCCCAAATCATCCATGGATTGGAAACCTCCAAAAAAAGAGATGGATCAAAGCAATTCTTACAACATTTTGGGGGATGAACATCCATTTACCAGCTATTAGTTTGTTTTCAAAGATTAGCAGGGTTTTGACCCATACCCAAATAATCCCATATATATATATATATCATTCAGGTTCCTACGGTTCCACGGTTAGGTTACTAACCACCATGATATACACATACATATATTTATATATATATATATGAAGATCGCACATTGAAGTATTCCTTGATTTTCATTTTTGGGTATGTTTGCAAATCGTCCAACTGGGGGAGTTCACAGCACGAGCTGAAAAGATGATCCAGCAGACCTTCTTCCAATCATTTCTTTTGCGCCAAGCATGATTTCTTTAGTTTGAAGACATTTTATCAAAAAAAATGTGGTGTTTCTTGAAACACCTGCGGTAACAATCTCCAGGTTTCGAAGGAAAAAAAACATGATGAAAATCCCACGGATTTTTTGCTTTTATTTTATGATCCCCATGGCAGCGATTCTGTCGGAGCTTCGTTCAGGATCCCTTCGGCACGCGAGCAGCCATTCTCAAAGAGAATTGGTGCTCAGACCCTGCAGTGCTGCAGGAGATGTTACTGAACTGAGCTCAGTGATGGTAATGATGGTAGATAATAGTGATTTGATCCCTATTAATCACCATCAACCAACCATTATCTACCAGGTGGTTTCATGGTGATTCATGGTAGATCATGGTAGGTTGATGGTGGTTTCATGGTGATTTTCTCGGGATTCAACCGACCTTGAGTCACTGAGTGCTCGGCTGCGAGTCCAAGACCTAGTTGGTGCTCAAGTATGAGCAAAAATTGGGAAAACGATGAAACATATGGGTTACCCTCTGGTAATTTAACGTAGCTATTGAAAATGGCCATTAATAGTGGATTTTCCCATTAAAAATGGTGATTTTCCATAGCTATGTTAGTTTACCAGAGGGTATATATGGCTTATACATCTGGGTAAATTATAACGACCTCACTGTGACATCACTGGAATCATGGTTAGTAAGGGAAATCATCCCCAAATGGCCTTAGTTCAGGTTAGTGAATTATTATAATTTACCCAGATATTTTCACTATAACTTTATGTTCTACCTCATCATAGGTATCACTTCTATCATGGCTGGGCATTTCGTAGAGGATTTTCGTGTCGCAAAATGTTTTTTTTGCGACTGGTGGTCTCTCCGAACATGGGTGGGTGATACTGTTTGAGGTGACGTGTCCATGAAGCAGCTATGAACTGGTGATTCTTTGTTGGTTTCAACCTGTATTCCAAAAAACCAAGCATTGGTCGCGTCCACACGTCGCCAATTTTTACGTCGTGTGCTGCTCTATCGACATGGTGGTTGGTCATAAGAGTCATAAGTGTTACATAACTCACCAAATCTGGTTGGTGGTTTGGAACATGTTTTATTTTCCATAATATATGGGATAATCCTTCCCATTGACTTTCATATTTTTTCGGAGGTGTTGAAACCATCAACCAGACATATATTGTCGAGTTCTGTTGTTGAATCCTTGCTGATCCTTTTTTTCTTTGTCGATTTACATCGTGAAACGATTGAGTCGCTGAGCCAGTCTTTGTTCGTCACCAGATCCCAAGCGCAGGACGATGCTCCGGGACTCTACGTCTTGAAGAGGTCACCATAGCGACCGAAGGGTCTGACTGAAGGTCACCATAGATCAATGGCCATTCCAGGATCCTAAAATGGAGGTACCTAGCATATATAAGGCCTATATAAGGCCTATGTAAGTGAATATCACCACAAAATATGGCCAGAAATATGGTACTAACGTACCTCCATTTTAGGATCCTGAAGATCTCCCATTGAATAGATAGCCTGTGTCATCCAACATGCAACATGGACATGTCCCCAGCCATGGTTGGATGATTAGACCAGCGAACTAAACCTTCATTTGCTTCGGGGATTTTCCATGATTTTCCAGTCATAGTGGTTATGGATGGTTATGGATGGTTATGGGCGTAGCAATGCTTCGCTTCTGACTTGTGAAATCTGCCGTGCTGGGTTCAATTCACCCAATTAACCCTAGCTGGAAGATCCCTTCTGATCCCGACTTGATGGGAAACTAATTGCAAATATTTACAAATGGGGGAATTTCATGGATTTTACACATCTACCAATGTCTACCAAGATTACATCTCATGAAGGTTTCTAATCCTCTAATCTTCATGGATTTTTCATGGAATTTCATTTGCAATCCTGTACCTTGATCAGAATTGACTTTCAGTTTGGAACCAAGATCCGACTCAATCAGTTTTTCATCCATGGTTTACTTATATAGCATTCATAGGGGTGTATGTATCAACCAAGAAACATCACTAGGGCGGCCAATATTGTAATCATATACATATATATTAATATATATTACATATATATGTATTACATATATATATATATATTATATATATTACATATATATTACATATAAATATTTATTATACACATTATATCATAGAAGTTCAAGTGTAGCACCAGTGGGTTTTTCCCTCAAGAAAGCCATCTCATGGTCCCATGATAGGCGCCTTTTTAGGGCCCCTGTTTTGGAATGGCGCACAACGGATGGAGAATGATTCAACCATATCTGGTTCTTTGAAATTCTTGCTTGTGCCATTTATGTACAACTATATGTTTTTCAACCCTATTACAACCATAGTTGATAGTCAACTGTTCTTTTTGGTTCCTTGAAATCATGTTGAAGTTCAAGCATATTTGGGATGAAAATCCCAACTAATCAACTAGTTGTCAATCTGCTTGAGATCTTCAGATTTCTTGTATCGATGGCTCAACCAGAAACAAGTCTTCGAATCGCCAGGATGGTCTTCGTTTCGCCCAGCTGTGAAAATATCACCCCAGAGGAGGAGGAAATTCTAGAGGAGTTGGAAGAAGGCGTGGCTGGATTTCGGTTTTTGTTGGCCAGTTCTTCCATTATTCCCAACCTGCCAGGGGCACGGGGGTCGCATTTGCCCCTACCTCATGTGGGGTCGCATTTGCCCCTACTCAAGGTGGAGGTAGGGGCGAATGTGACCCTGGGGTAGGGGCGAATTTGACCCCTGCTTTTTGTGTGGGAGGCGCAATAGTTTCAGAGCCCAGCTGAGATAGTCATTTTTACGTTCTCATTGTGAGACGTTGTAAAATCCATTTCAAGCAACTCCAAGACGCTGGAAGTTTCGTTGTAACATCCACTTGAAGTCACTTCCAAGACGCTCTGGATGTTAAGTTGCAACGTCCAGTTTAATCAACTTCCAAGACGCTCTGGATGCTACGTTGTAACATAACATCCATTTCAAGCAACTCCAAGACGCTGTGGATGCTACGTTGTAACATCCATATCAATCAACTTCCCCGACATATTCAATAGTGAGGCAAGCGACTCAACCAATGTCCACAAGTCCCCCCCCAACCGATGTCCCCAAGTCCCCCCTAAATGTCCCCAAGTCCCCCCTAAATGTCCCGTGTCCCCAGGTCAAACCCTAAAAGGTTGAATGGCATATTCAATGGACAGGATAGTGGGGTAGGGGCGAATGTGACCCCTTTTGGAGTAGGGGCGAATGTGACCCCTGGGTAGGGGCGAATCTGACCCCCGTCCCCCTGCCAGGTGAGGGTCTCTAGATTTACTGTACCAGGAGTGAGTAGGAGTGAGTACAAGTAGGAGTGAGTAAAAGTAGGAGTGAGTAAAAGTAGGAGTGAGTAAAAGTAGGTGTGAGTAAAGGTAGGAGTGAGTAAAAGTAGGAGCGAGTAAAAGTAGGAGTGAGTAAAAGTAGGAGTGAGTAAAAGTAGGAGCGATTAAAAGTAGGAGTGAGTAGGAGTGACTAGGAGTGAGCAGGAGTAAGCAGGAGTTAGAAGGAGTGAGTAGGAGTGAGGGAGTGAGTAGGAGTGAGCAGGAGTGAGCAGCAGTGAGTAGGAGTGCGTAGGAGTGAGTAAGAGTGAGTAGGAGTGAGCAGGAGTAAGTAGGAGTTAGGAGGAGTGAGTAGGCCAGAAAGAATACCAGAATAGATGCCAGAAAGAATGTCAGAGAGAATGTCAGAATATATGTATATATATATATACTTCCAGATGATATATCAAAAACTATGTCAGAATATTGCGTCAGGGTGGGGATCGCTCGAAATAAGGTATTTGTTTTGAAGAAAAATCATCCCATGAAGCGGAGAAACCATGGTGGATGTGAGTGGGGAGCTAGGGGATTTATAGTTGGACATTTGGTACCATTCACCATGGGGGTGGGAACATTTAGTGAACCGGGAATGGAATTCGGATGAGAAAACACGGGATACCAACCACACGGGCGATGGCACGGGAGATCATCGACGCTCCATAGTTTGGACCAGCATTTACTCCGAACAAATAGCTTTGCCTGAAAATGTTGGGGAAACCACCCTAAATCCATTGGTGAATGATCATTTCCCCAAGAATGGCCATTGAAAATGGGTGAATCACTAGACTCAGAGTCAAATCATGCAGTCTTGTAGGTAATTCCATTGAATATGGATATGGGCAAGGTTGGCTATGCCTTCGGCCGAGCCGACCTGATAGGCATGATACTTGATCAGCACAAAATTTCTGCACAGAATCATAGAAGCCATGTCCATTGCACATATATACTATTATCAGTAGTTCTCAACACCAGTAGTTATTGAAGAAAAACATATGTTATAATATATGTGATAATATGTGTAATACGTGTTATGTGTGTCTATATATATATATGCTGTATATATATATATATATCTCTCTCTCTTTTTTATAGAGATTCTCGACTCAAAGTGCCCATTTCCCATCAGGGCTTTCCGCTGCCTGCAGGGAAGATGGTGCGCGTGGAGGAAATCGTTCAGCTGCCGCACCAGCTGCGGGTGCGCGCGCGCTTGGCACATCCAGCGGGCTGGATTACCTTGCTGAATCTGGAGACGGGAAGGCCCCTGGAACCCCGGGAAGGCCGAAGTGGAAAATCCATGGGAAAAAGTGGAAAAACCTATGGAAAACCATGGAAAACCCATGGGAATCCAGCCTAAAATGCTCTGTCAGAGGTTTTGTCGTGAAAAATCATGGAAGTAAATGGTGGATTTCCAACTGTTCTGGGAGATGGAAACCATTAAAAAAAAATGATTTAGGCACGGGGATATGTGGATTTGTCATGGGATTTATAGCCAGCTAAGTTGGTGCAAATGACTCCAATAACCAGGGTTCATACTTATCACAATATGGAGGTGATATAGTCGGAAAATATGGATATGATAGAGATACGACCCATGACTTGCAGGATTATCCCACAGATCTTAACTGGTGATCGTAACAGGGGTTACTTCACGCACTTGTACATGGGATAACCCCCAGGAAATGGGGACTTACTAACCTGGCTTAATCAACAGATCCTCCAAGTATGGCACCATGGCTAATACTGCTGATATTATTGTAGATATGGGGATGTGTTGTTTTTTATATATATATACACAAATGTATATACAAAAAATCAGTTTTTGAGTGTTGCTTTTTTTGTTTGAAAAAATCATCATTAATGAAATATATCAACTTGGTGAGGACTAAAAATCCCACATATCATATCAATCCATATAAATCCCGAGAAAAAAACATAAAAATCTGGGTAAATTTCATCACGACCCTCACGTCGCGACCGAACCCTGGGAATCATGGTTTTCATAAGGGAAATCATCCCCTTTTATGGCCGCAAGATTCAGGTTGGTGAATTATTGTAATTTACCCAGCTCTATAAATTAATTATTATAATAGTAGATGATTTACCCAGATATATTATCCATATATTATCCATATACTATCCATATCCCATTGTTATCCCAACCACTAAATATAGGAACCATTGGGATTATCCATATAAGATTTTCCCAGTAAAACCTCCATTTATGGTTGGGATTTTCCAGTTCGCTATGTTAGTCATAACCAGATGGTATATTTCTCTTGGTGAAAAATCACCCTTTTCCCATGGCCAGTTTGATCTCGCCATGGCCAGTTTTTTTAATCCTCGCCAGGCGCTGGGCGACGAAGGCGGATGAGACCTTGCCGGAACAGCCAGGCGGTGGGGAAAGCTTCAAAACCACGTGAATTGATCGGTTATTATAGGTCATTTATGGGAAATCTATAGGAAATCTATTTCGGAAATTATAGGTTATTATAGGATGTTTTTTAGGATTTTCCCAATCTATGACCATTGGTAATATATAACTACATTTTTTTGGGCCCCCCAGTTCTAAGTTGGTTTTAAAAACCACCATGAATACAGTTATAACTAACCAACTTAGGAAACTCGTTCGGGGGCCCCACTTTGTAGCTAAAAAATATTGTTGGAAACTTAGGACAATAAAACTGGCTGTTATAGAACAATAGGTTCAATTATGTTCAATATTTAATCACTGGCCATCTCAGGAACCTAAATTGGAGGTACCTACCATATATAAGGCCTTTGTTTAAGGCCTAAATTTCAGGGACCAGGGAATACCAGAAAATATGGCCAGAAATATGGTACGCTTACGTACCTCCATTTTAGAATCCTGAATTTCCCATTGATTTAAGAGACCCTGGAAGTTGATAGCTTGTGAAATAGGGAATTATATATGCTGCCTGGTTACCTGGATCCACATGGATTGTTGGGGATTGAACAAACACATAGTGAAAGCTATCCACCAGCTGGGAAATGATTTTCATGGGATTTTAATGGGATATTTGATGGGATTCTTATGGATTTTGATATGATTTATTCATCAATATTTATTGACGATACCATACGATACCCCTGTTGATGAGGATCTAACCCTGGTTGACTAGTTAGTCAACAGTTCGTAAATGGGATGCAAGCATCATGTTTTAAAGTGTTATTGGGGCGTTAAGTGCCAAACATATGGAGATATCATTGGTACATAGGGGCCCTAGGGCGGTCATTAACCTGCCCCTTCGCAGTGGCTGCTAGACCTGCTGTTTGGGGCGATGATCATAATTCAGGAGCTGGGAATGTTTGGAACACTGATGCGATTTGTAGTGATGGATACCCTCTGGAAATTTAAGATAGCTATTGAAAATGGCCATAGAAATAGTGGATTTACCCATTGAAAATGGTGATTTTCCATAGTCATGTTAGTTTACCAGAGGGTACTGATTACCCTATGGGAAAGTAAGATAGATGTGGAACCCCCATGGTTTTGTCTGGAAAATCTGGAAAATCATCTACATCTATGGTGGGGTGGGTGTTCCACATCTATGTTCGTTTACAAAAGGGGGTCATATCCTGGGGCATCTTGGGGCTATTCATATAACAATTTGGCTATATATGAATGCCAAACCTTACTGACTGTTATTTGATTGTTATTCACCCTTTTTTTTTGGCTATATGGATTTTATACATTGTTCTATAGCCAGTTTCAGAAGGGATAGCCTTTGGTCATTGAACAGTTTGCTATGTAAAATCCACATGAACATCGTCGGTAAATCGGTAACTTCCACGGCTTGGCCAGGGGCAAAATATTGGGGCCATGGCTTCAGGCCTCTACGAACTGCTGGCGCCTGTCACTGTCTCGCCCTCTGCAGCCCTGTTGATGCCAAATGATGAGCAGGTCCAGTGACACCAGGGGCACCTCCTCTTACTTTGCCACAGAGGGGTCACAATTTTGGTCCTTCAACCTCGCAATTTTGTGTACAATGTGGTGCCCCCCAAGTTATAAGTTGATATTCCCATTAACTATAGATATACCTATAAACCATAGTTATTGGAGTTATGTTCACCAACTTAGCTATCTTGGGGGCACCACCTTGTAGGCATGTTTGGACAATTTGTGATTTGTCCAAGCTTGCAGCCTTGCAGCTGTGTGGATTCTTGCTTGTCCACTTCTATGAGATTGTAATGATATAACCTTAGTTATAGGAGTTATAATCCCATTTATAGCTGTTAAGGGCCATAAGTGTGGGGATATGCTGGGGATATACCATGAAAATCCATGACACTTGTGGATATTTTGTTGGGTTCTCAAATCCCAAAGTCACCATGGTTCTTAAAACATACGAAGTTATGGTCATGGTGACTGGATGATTTGGGAAACCCCCGATGGATTGGAATAGCAGAAATCCTCAGCACTCTACATATGGGGGTCGTTCTAAAACCTTCCTCTTAAAGTTTAGTAAGCGGCTTTGTTGAGAACTTTTGGGTAGTATATCAATTATACATATATTAGGTTGATGGTAATTTCTTATGATTCAGCCAGAAAAAAAAACATCTATCACAAGGATTGACTTGGTTATACCCTGGAACGTATTGATGATTTTGGAAACAAGTCAGTGAATGATTCATCATTCTCATCATTCTGCCATTGTCAGGGTGCGTTCAATAAACCCAAATCATCCAAATCCACAGTGGCCCTAGTCTCTACCTGGGATGACACTTCCCCATTGACCCCATACTGTCATGCTGAAAAGGCATGTCTCAGAACTCTACTAATTATAGCTGGGATGATTGGGATGATTCCTATGAAGGTCTCTAGTTATATTTATATATTTCTTCAGTGGCTTTTTCCGATTTCCGATAGCACCACAAAGTTCTTCGCGCCCTACCAGCGCCGCAGGTGGTGGAGGATTTAGAGAAGTTCAGCAGAGTTCAGGTGCTGGAAATCCTCAAAGTCGAGGAACGCATTCGCGGCCGCGTGGCAAATCCCTCTGGCTGGATCACGCTGCGCCACGCGCAGAGCGGGCAGCGCTTCGCGCGGTTCTTCGCGTGACGGTGGACCTCTGGTGGTTGGCCAACGGACACGTATCCGTTTGATGTTCACCTCAAACCCATAGGATCCATGTATGGTATATATGCTAACATTTGGGGTATATTGATGGTAAATGTTACCATATATACCATACATGGATCGTATGGGAAATGAATAAACCCCCAGTTTACGAAGAATTAGGGGTCCCAATTTGACTGATTAGCAATTTGAATGTCTAGTTGTTTGGGTACCCCCAATTCATCAACAGAGTTTTGTGTTCGGGGTTGACATAAGCATTCGAACCTTGAAAAATCGGAAAAATGATATGATGCAATCCACAGAAATGATGGTTGATCGATGGTTGCACATGGCTTGATGGACTGGTGGAATGAACATTATCGAGTTGTTTAGTGAACTGAAGCCTTATCAACCAATCAGTCGCTATACCATGGTATACCATACATGGGGTTCCGAAAAATGGGCTAGCCATGGCTACATACAAGGTCATGGATGACCATACTAAAGTGTTGATACATATATTGAAGCAACCATGGTGACTTGGTTGGGGATCCAACAATTTTTTTTTGACTAACATCTTGGTCACCAGTGGACGAGGCTCATGTGTCGTGCGAAAGAGCGCCATGATTCCCAGTCGCTTAGCCAGTTGGATCAGTTCAGGAATGATCTTTTGTCATCCAACAAAGCCATTCTAAAAATAACCCTACCACATCTATGGCTTATAATATCTTATCATATCTGACAATCCCCAATAGATTAAAGTACAACTCCCTACATGAACCAACCAGGCTATAACTTTCATGGCTCAGATTTTCTGAGTCGAGCGGCTCGGTGTGCTGAATAGCCAAGCAGCATCCATTGGCCGCTGAAGATCTCCACTACGGACGTATTGTTACCATCTTTGTCAGACAGCTGTTCCTGTGGTGAAATCGATGAAAGTTTGATCATTTTTTAGTGCTGAATGCGAAGAATCCCTAAGTTCGGTCCATGTTTGCGTCGATGGAAAGTTTCATCCTGTTTCCAAGCTCCAAAAATGCGGCTCATGGAAGCACGGACATCCTAGATGCGTCTAGCTCATCGTAGGCAGGTTTGATCCATCCGGAGCTGAAGGAACCGCGGTGAGACCCTGGTTGCTGGTCAGCTAAGGCAAAACCCATGAAAAACTGGATGGTTTCTGGTTGCACGCTTAGGTTTCGAAATGTTTCTCATGTGGTAAACCCAATAATACACCATCCCCAAAATCACCATCTTTGGTGGTAAAAAAACGTTCCCAGTCATGGTAGGTTTATGGCATTGGGTTGCTCAGGGGAGCACCAAGAATCCAATTTCTTCAAAGCAACAGTCCCAGGTACAGTGCCGCTATATGCCGCGATATTTAACGCTGTTTAGGGCCAGAAGTGTACAAGATTGTTCCAGATTCTGGGGTTGAATGGGAATATCTTCCCGGGTCAGGCTTCCCGGGTCAGGCTTCCCGAGTCGGGCTGCTTTAACCGAGGATATCCCAAGATCTTACAGGTCTCTTTATGGATATGATATGGAGATTTGCCTCAATAGGGGATCCTCAAAATGGATGATGTATCATGGCAAATCCTATTAAAATGGGGTACCATCTGGGGTACCCTCTGCTAATTTAACATAGCTATTGAAAATGGTGATTTATAGTGGATTTACCCATTAAAGATAGTGATTTTCCATAGCTATGTTAGTTTACCAGAGGGTAGCCTTATTTTAGGACCCCCCATATGGCTCCAATTTCCAACTAACTTGAGTAGAATCATCTCAGCACTGCAGGCCCTTGAGATACCCCAAAATTCATCCTACCAGGGTTTTCACCGGGGTTAGCTCAAGCACCAAGCCAACTTTATTTTGGAAAGGTAGGTTTCGCAACAAAGGGGGTGAACACATATCCCACTCAGCGTTGAGCAAAGATATTTCTGCATGCATTGTAGCCGAACAGTTGGATTCATCAGCCGGCCCGGCAACTACGATGTTTTTACCGTCCCGTCATGTAGGGGTGGACCGTGGAACATGATTTGTTCTTGGAACCCACAGACGTTTGGAGAAATCAACAAAAACCACCTGTTGTGACTCTATCAGAAAGCTTGGCGTTGGATGAATTTACCAATAGTTCGTTCATGTTCGTTATATTATATAAACACATTCGCCCATGATATCCCCATTCATATCCCAATACATCACCATTTTCCATCATAAACGCTTAGATCCCTACCGCGGGTAGCCCAATCGCGTCATTCCGCGGAGTCAACGCGACGTCAACGCTCCGGCAGGGTGTTTGAATGTAGGCCGCTGTGATGGGAAGCCAATCTAAGAGGCCAAACTGGAACCTGGGTCAACCTTTGAGAAATACTTAAGTACTGTCTTTTGCTATGGTAAAACTATGTAAAACCTTTTTTAAATCCATAACACATATATGTAAAAGATAGATTTGTAGGCAGGTATCTAAGATTTACCATGATTAAACGTTACTAGCCTCCGATAATGCAACATAGCTTTGGAAAATGGTCCATGTGTAGATGATTTAATTACCTATTAAGCATGGTGATATTTGATAGCTATGTTCCTGTTAAATTGCCATAGGGTATACCCGGAATATATTGCATGTTATATCGTAATTATATTCATTCGTAAGTAATACTCTACCCTAAAAAGAGAAACACATGGTACTAGATTAGGCCCTGAAAATGTATTCCCATCCCCCGTTGCTTTTAGACACCTCCATTTTATGGTCCCAAATTGTGGTTTCATCCCATACGTGTTACCACGGTTTCTGCGGGGTGTTTAATATTGTACACGACGTGTGTATATTTACACAATTGACATATAACACGCCATATCAGAATGAGTTGACATATTATGTAATCAAACCTGATTGAATTCCTGTAAGAGATGCTTTGCTAAAGTCACTTGAAATCACCAATCGAAGACTCAAATCATGGCTTAAAAGAAGATGTTGCGGTCGTGTGAAGTATTTCTGGGCCAGGACGTGCTCCGCAAGTTCATTGCCCTGTCATCCAGCCTGGTGAATATATGCTTCAGACGTTTAGGTTTTGAACGTGTTTTGAGCTACCAAATGGTAAACTAACATAGCTATTGAAAATGGCCATAGAAATAGTGGATGTTCCCATTAAAAATGGTGATTTTCCATAGCTATGTTAAATTACCAAAGGGTCCCAAATTGTTGATGGCCCCTATCTTTTGGCTTCCCACGGATTGCAACTCAGCAACTTGCACCTCCCATGACCTCAAATGAGGTCGCGGTTGCGCGGTTGTGTGCTGCAACTTGCTCCAGATTTTAATGATGGAAGGTCTTAGCCTCACCCCGTAGCAGCCCCTACGGGAGTGCGGTCCATCGATACATTTTTCGCTGCGAATCCAGCAGCATTTTGTAGCTGCAACCAGGTTGCCACCTGGAAGTGTGAGTTTGATGGTCTATCAATCTATATCACCATTTTTATATTCAAGAGAAGAACATCCTGGGTACAATTGCTGCACACCCCATTTTCAGACCTACCCAGGGACCCAGATTGGAAGTATTTCCTGGGTTTATTCCATTGATAGCTGGGGAAACTGCTCCCACTTAGTAACCAGTTGCGATTCTAGCGCTATGGAATGTGTGCTCACGTGCGGCCCCCGGGGCACAACTCCAGCTGTGACATCAATATGGATTACGTTCGGAACGCAAACCTGCAACATGACTGGTTGTTGGTTTCAAACATTTTTTATTTTTCCATTTCATATATGGGATGTCGTCCTTCCCATTGACGAACTCATATTTTTCAAGATGGTTATTGCACCACCAACCAGATTATTTTACCATGTTTTACTATACTTACCCTACTTATCCCTACTTTAGCTTCAACATTCGACCCATTGAACCGAACCGTAATATGTAATTCACAAATGTGTAATTCACAAACCGAACATCGAACCGTTGAACGATGAACTCCGATGGATCAAAGCAGCAATCGCGAGGTCACAAAGAATGGATCCCTTGGGCACGAAGATTTGCCAAGGATAAACACTTTCAACAGAGGCTGATGCTATGGATCAATACACTTTGCAATCTCCAAAGCATGAGTACAATCTTTTAGGGGGATGAACATCCATTTACAGTACCAGCTATTTTGATGTTCACCAGTGGTAGTTGCACTGCTTCAAAAGCTTATGACCATAGAAAAATATGGCCTCTGTGAACATCCCAATAAAGCCCATTCTGCTGATGTTTGGCATGTTCACCAGCAATTTTGGTAGGCATAGAGACTGACGCGGTTTTTTTTCCTTTTTGCAGCCCTAATCACCCCAATGTTGGAACGCGAGTTTGACCGAGTGGCGTCATTGCTCAGCCCTTTTTGGTTGCAGCTATCAACAGATATCAGATGAAGGTCGCTCTGGCGCGTGTTGGGCAAAGGGACCAACGCAGTTGCGCTTCACAACTTGGAAAATGGACATGCACAGGCTGCGGATCTATTTGGATTAAAATGGATTATATATATACAATGGGATTTAATATCTAATGGGAATATAGCGGGATTAAGTGGATTATAGTCATCTAGTCCCCTTAAACCACCTCATATTTAAAAATATCTTAGAAAAATACACCGCACATGGATCCAGATGGCTCCCGAAATAGCCAGTCAGTTAAGATCACCATAATTTATAGCTGCTGCAGGAATTCCTATCGCCAGAGGAGGCAGAATATATTTGAATCTTTAAGGGGAAAATCATCACATCTAAAGTCATCCTGGAGAAGATAGAACATGGAATCTCAAAAAAACACGAAGATAGGAATATCTTTGAACATTCTGTATTCTATCCACTTCAGGATTATTATCACTACATATTCAGAGGTACTGATGTCCCCAAACGGTTTCTGAATTCTCTTCATCGGGCTTTGAGCCGACGACAGTCGTCGACAGCAACAGGGTAAACCTTGGTAAAGGGTAGGTTCATGAATTATGAACAATGTCTTGCCATGCAGCAATGGGGGGGCTATTTTGATTCCCAACTAAGAATTTGCATGTTTTTTCAATGGATTCGGATAACAGATTAGCCAAGAAGTTTCTCCATGGACGTTTCAGGAACCTAAAATTGGAGGTATACCTACCATATATAAGGCCTATGTAAGGGCATGTAAGGGCTAATTTTCAGGGAATATCCCCCAAACATATGGTGCACTACGTCCATTGTAAGGTCCTGAAATTCTCACTGAATACTTGTGGGCGCATTTCTAGCTGGGAAAACCATCATATTCCCCATTATCATTCCAATACCATTCCAATATCGTTCCAATATCATTCCAATATCATTCCAATAATTACCCCAATATTATCTCAGCTTCACCCACATTCACCTCTTTGCGACTTTGGTGAGTGGCCCATGACTGGTGCGAGTCTTCAACCAGTGTCCACTGGTTGTGGATCTCATGAAATGGCAGTGATAGAAGTTTTCTGTATGGCTTCATATAATACATATGTATATATAATTAACTTTACAGGTATAATATACATATATATATATATACACATTATATATATATTTATACATAATATAATATAAACTATGCATGCATACATGTATCGATCTATCTATATTATACATGGATATTGTTAAACATTCTTTGACACACGGCAAAAATCCTCAAATCACCAGCAGATGATCCCCGGCATCCAGCAACCGGCGACCCTGTAGTGATAGCCTTGATGTATAGCGATGGACAATGATAGAAATAGTCATGTTGTATATATTCATATTATATAATTTTATAATGATAGTATATGATATGTGTATATATATATATATTGTATATCTTTGATATACATTTATAATTATATATATGTGTTTAGTGACAATAAAGCCTAGCAGTGGAAATCTTAACCCCTGGGGCTCTGCTTGGAAATTGTAGGAACATCAGCATGGAAATCTTCGGAAGTGGAAAGTTGTTTAATTACGGTGGGTGGGTGGGTAAGCACCTTTGGGGTGGTGGATACCCTCTGGTAAATTAACATAGACCCTGAAAATCACCAATTTTTAGAGGAAACTAGTCTTCCAACCCCTATCTACCAGGGTCTATGTTAATTTACTGGTGGATATCTCTTGTTGGTTGGCGAAACTTACCACTGCAATCTTTTTTTGGGAGCACAACTAGAAGGCAACCTCTCGGCGCCATGGGGCAATCCTCCGCAATGGGGCAGCATTGCAACTGTGCGCCCAGCCTCTCCGTGCTGCATGTGAAAGGCCGCTGGCCTTTCTAAAACTGGGCTGTCTGAAATACTCAAAACATCTCAAAACTTTAATTGGATGGGAAAAGTTGCAGCAAACCACTTTATTTTGTTGACTCATTAGCATTTATCAAAATCAACCAACTATGAGTGAGGATAGTCCGTTGATGAATGCGTGAACTAACCACATGTAGTTCTAAGCAAACGTTTGTACCTGGGAGGCACCACTTTTTGTGATACTCATCCAGGCACTGCTGGTAGAATCCTGTGTAGCTGTATCCCCCATTTTTTGAGACACTCCCATATCATGTATTCCCAGATTATTCCCATATACTATCTTAAAATGTATGTATTACGTATGGAATTTTATTTCATATTCTGATATATCCATGATATGTTCATTTTATTATAGATATATGTGTAGAGTTACCCCGCAAAAGACAGAAAGGTCAATTGCCACTATTTTAGTAGGACTCTGCTTTTCTATTTTTTTGGGATTACTATATAGGCAATCTCTGTGGGGCCCCCCAGTGATGTTTGTGGGCTGATAAACCCCATGATAAACAATAGGTTGGAGTTACAGTAAATTGCACCAAGCTACCTATTGTTCGGGGGCTGTATGATATCTTTAATTTAATATGAGACCATTATAATTTTTAATCCATCACAACATTTTATCCTGTATATATATATAGATAATCCCATTGTCAACAATGAGGTAGGTTTATTACTGTATTGGGTTTACCCCATTGTATAGGTTTTGGGTAATTATATCAATTTCAAATGGGTGGTAAAAAAAAACAAACATAGGTTCAGAGTAAATTAACTCAATTATAGATATTCCCACGGTACATCTTACACATATTTACATTATATACAAACATTGTATGACATCAACTATAATTTTGACTCTGTGTTGATTTACAGTATATGTATGATATAAGTTTATAACATACAATTTGCATTAATCCTTAGTAATATATGGGAGAAAAACTCCCATCCGCCCCATGCCATGCGCAGGTCCCTGCTCTTCAGGAGCATCGCCTTGCGGAAGCCCCTGCCGCGCCGCCGTTTCTGTCGCCGAAGCCGCCGTTTCTGTCGCACAGCAAAGGATCCAGGTGGATGAACTGTGGTGAGGATGAGGACGCCATGTTTTCAATGTTACCCTCTGGTTATTTAACATAGCCATGGAAAATGGCCCATTTATAGATGATTTTCCATAGCTATGTTAAATAGCCAAATGGTAATATATATTATGATACCCTCTGGTAAACTAACATAACTATGGAAAATCACCATGCTATTAATGGGTAAATCAACTATTTCCATGGCCATTTCCAATAGCTATATTAAATTCCCAGAGGGTATATTATATGTGCATATTCATAATATGTATAATTATAATATGTTTACAACCATGTTGATATGGCTTATAATGGGGGTAAAACTGGCTGTCATGTTTACCATCCCCCAGTTATCACAATCTTTGGGAATGGTGGTATGTTTACCATTCCCCGTCATGGCTGGTTTATGATTGTTTTAGCCACATTATAATATTAGATATGATGGGAATGATATGATAATATATATGTATATTATATCTATATATATATGTCATGATATGATGGTCTTGTAATGGGAATAAATATTGTACGAATATAAGTACAAGTGAGGGCCCCGTTTACGATAGAATCCATAGGAAATTTTGGGATCAAATGGGATTTATAGCTGATCTAGAATCTATGATAGCTAAGTTGGCGCAAATAACTCCCATAATATATGGTTTATTATGGTACTTATAACTTATAACTATAGTATCCACGGGGTTTGTAAATCAACAAACATCACTACGGGGCTCACATTGTAGCGATGTAGCCACAGACAACCATTATAATGCATATATATTATATATATTTATACATAAATAGATACTGTACATGAATATCCCTCTGGTAATGTGACATAGCTATGGAAAAAAAATGAACATCACCAGTTTTAGTAGGTAAATCATGAAACCAAGCCAGGGCCTTTTTGTTTCCGATTCGCAAAGTGTAACACATTGCCAGACCGTGATTGGGTATCCTCTGGTAAACGTTCAGTAAGGGAGCCAGATGTCCCGCGATCTAATGGGTGAGGCGTATGAATGGATTAACGAAATTCCCGCCATCCCTATACCTACTATCTAGCGAAACCACTGTCAAGCGAACGGGCTTGGGATAATCAGCGAGGAAAGAAAATCCGCTTGCACTTCTCGTGTATTATTTTTGTAGCAAAAACAATGACGGTTTTGAGGACTAGAGTATAGACATGGAAAGGATTCTGCGTCACAAGCTGGTTGACACGCGAAGCGCTCTACAAGACGGCGCCTTTTTTTCTCAGATGTTATTTTGGCGGTATATTCGAACGGTCTGTTCAAAAGTGAGCGGTAAACTTGGCCGTGACATCCGCGAGCCATTGTGCTGGCGCATCGCTGCATGCTTGACACGCAGAGGCGCATCGATTCTCTTCGAGCAGCGCAAACCTGTCGATAGAGGTATATACCGTGACAATTGCCTGTGCTATCCCCTCGTGCACGGGTGGATTGCTGGTCCATGACCGTGAAACCTCGCTCTTCAAGGGAAGAAATCAGAGGAATGTATTTCTCAGCCTCTGTGCTAGCATGTCAGGTCATCAGCCGTATTTGTTTGAAATGCCCGCTGGCTGCAGAAATTCTGTTCGCACCAAGATGACTTGCGTTTACCGCAAGCGCGCGTAGCAGACGCTCTGCTTGCGTCGGACGCGAAGATGCACTCCTCGGGGACAAAAAGCCTAGCGCGGCCTTCCCTATATAGCCTTCAGTGGTCTCTGGTGGGTCGATGGGGCGTATAGGAGGCTATATGAGCCGTCTACCTTCGCCGCATGCATGCACCAAAGGGCTGCTTGTGTCCGGAGGTCATCAACCAGTCGGCGTGTACAGAAGGCGGCTTGACACACGTTGAACAAAGCGGATCAAAGAGCCACGAGCCCTTTCTCTTCGCCTGGAGCTGTAGACACAGGGATCCGCATTCAAAGCGAGAGCTACTGAAGCTGGGCACAACTGGCCGCCCGCCGCTATAGAGGTCGGCATTCCCATCGATTTTTGTGACCAGGCGTAGTGCCAACTGCCTCGCAGAATCCTTGCACAGGCATAGGAAAATGGCCAAACACATACATGTCCATCCGTATATGTGTCTTTATGAATTGTAAAACCCAGATAACATATATAATTATATTAGTTCTAGTTCCTCGACAATCACCCCAATAACCTTTCTAACACATAATAATGTATATAGTAATAACCGCATAAATCGCCGGTTATCGGGGCGCGATGACAGAGATGGCCTGGCGAAGCCCGGCAAGGGGAACAACTCCAAGTCGGGCATGAAGAACGCAGCGGAATTGGCAAGAGCACCCAAGGATCTGAAAACGTTCCTGGCACACGAAATTGAAATGCCGCGTAGGGTAAATATCATGCAATGCAATACCTCCCAGTTGCGCACCCTAATCCCCATATGTATATATATATATTATATAATATATACCCTAAATAGTTTTAGAATAAAATTTATAGCCAACTGGGAGGCATTGCATTGTATGAATAGGACCCTTAGTCTTGAAACTTGAGGGATTGTCAAGACTAGGGGGGAGTAAACCCTCGCTACCGCTGCCCTAGTGATTTGGCCCCGTGGGGTATCGCATGATACTCCGCCGGGTCAAATTGCGAGGGTGGTAGCGAGGGTTTACGTCTTAGCGGCCGAGCAGGGAAGGGATCCCTGGAGCGGCGGGCCACACGCTCCGGGGATCCCCACAAGACAAGAGACACCCCTTTGCCCGCTGGGTTCTGGGGGGGGGGGCCTGCGGGCCCCCTCCCCCCACTTGGGCTCAAGGCCTTCGGGCCTTCCCTGCCCCTTGGACGCCTTTGGGCTCCCCCCCGGCCTTCGGCCCCCCCCCCTAGGAAGAGAAGAAAGAAAAGATGATAACCTCTGCCAATTTTTTTTTCTTCTTGCGCCCGGTCGGCAGGAAGCATCGAGCGAGCCTTAGGGAAGGATGCTCGGAGCAGGTGGCCCTGCTCTAGGCGTCTTTCTTCTAGGTTCCTTGATGTGGAACGTCGACCTTTCTCGGGGGCCCGAATATAGGGAGGGCGCCCCCCGCTATTCCTTTCACCTCCACTTCTGTTCAGCTCCTCTTTCCTCCAATCTCGAAACTATGCCTGTTTTTTTGCCATGATGTTTTGGGTTGACATGAAAGGGTTGAGCCCCAGAAGACCACTTCGATAACCAGGCTTTGCAATTTTTGGGTTTCCCTGCTTTGAGATGATATATATTTGTTGCATGTTGTTGCAGTTTACGACACATAATTTGGGGCCATGACATATTGCTGGACAAATGCTTGTATACATGCAGTATACAAAATACCCCCAAGCAGGTGACCGAGAAATTTTACCGCGGGCGTTCACAGTTCGGGGCACAAATCGCCTATATCATCTTTTTTTTAAGCACTGCGATGTGGGATACCCTCTGTATATACCGGATGAATGCAATGCCTTTGTCCAGCAATATCCACATGAATCACCTGGGTCCAGCCTTCCCGGTCCTCGCTCGCTTCCTGCCACGGCCAAGCCGTGGCCGTGCGTCGAATCCGACGCGCCAGCCGCGTCGATATGCAGGATGTGACGGCAGCTCTGCATGCATTATTAGCTGCAATTAATCTGCATTGGTCTGCATTGGTCTGCATCATTGATACATTTATTATTCTCGATGCCACTATTCGATCTGCCGCTATATTCGATATTTGCGCGCTATCTTCCGATATTCGGCGTTCTTCTCCGCGCCGCTGGGGCTTGCAAGAGTCGGCACTAGTCTGCACCAGTCAATTTGTTTTTCTTTGGTGGTACAGACCCCTTTTTGAAGCCACTGGAGAGAAGGCCGCAGTGGGAATAAGAAATAACCAAAGTTCCACCTATATAGAGACAAAGGGGATGGGGGGTGTTAGAGAGAGCCCCTGTTGTTCTCCTCATCAGCTTTATAACAGTATAACATTTGCGGTCCTGGACACTTTCGGCCTGCCGGCTCAGGTATCGGAATATCGCGCGTCTCTGGTCTGCATTCATCCCCGCGCGTCAGGCGCCGCGCTCGGACACCTTGTGATGTCTGTTGTATATGCTGCAAAGAACCTTCCTTCAGTATGAACGCTCAATGCACCGGTGTAAAGTCACTATCCATTTATAGGCTTAATTCTGCCTGTTTTGTGACGCCGGGCCAGGCCCGTCGCCTTCGACGCCGCTGCCTCGTTCCCCACGCGTGATCTTTGCCTCGCGTCCAAGCCTCAAAGCTTCCATGTGTCGACTGCAGTGCATCAGCCATGTTGATACCGTCGCATGTTGAACCTTTGCATAGATGTGTGACCTGCCCGCAGAAATTTTCAAGCTTTAAAGCTTTCTGCCTTTCAGCGACTTTCAAGTGCCCTTGCTCCTTTGTCCGCGCCCCAGATCAAAGCTTCCACTTTTGTGCTCCGCTTATGTATTCTTTTCCTGTATATCTATCGCCGGTCACCCAGGCAATGGCTTGCATTGGCGACGTGACCTTGTTCAAGGGCAGCTGGGCCGACGTTGCGTTGGAGGAGGCGCGTTTCGAATGGTGCACCGGCGTGTGCACCTGAATCGTCGTGTGCCTTGCAGCATGCCAGGTTCCAGTGCCGTTGGAGGCACGGCTGCTTGCTTTCGGGCTTGGAAAGTAGGGCGGCTGCCACATCCCGTCCTGACAGGACTACGTCCTCCAAAATGAGGCACTGCTGGACGAGCTCCAGGAGGCGGTGGAGGCCCCGCAGTTTTGGATGGTTTTGGGATAACATCCCGTCGCCTTGCCACCTGTCAGGTCCCTTTCGAGGCGACGCGCACCTCCTTCACCTTGGGCAGCTCGGCCACGAAGAAGGCAGGGTCGCTGATAGCGTCTTATCTTCAGAACAATTTAAACTGTCCTGGTCTTGGCCGTGCAGGCACCGCGCCGTCGCGGTGGTACCTTCGTGGCAATGGAGCCGGAGAAGAATAAGCGCGCCAGCGCTGCAGCCTCAGTCCGTCTGTGCCATCTGTTTATACATCATGCAGCACCCCGACACGCCGGTGCCAAGGGACTCTCGCGTGCAGAGAAGCGCTGGCGCAACAAGGTCAACAAGGAGCGCGCCAAGGCGGGGCTTGGGAATATTTAATTTGGGACTTGGCCCCGCGCTCGTGTCGCTGGAGTGTGTCAGGCGGCAAAGCACCGCCGCGCGGCACCTTGTAGCGCAGCACCTGGAGGGGTCGCGACCTCAAAATGCCAATCATCAGAGCCAACTTGGCCTTGTGTTTCTTTCAACGGCCAATCTTCCTTTTGCCTCAAGGACGCCGGCACCGGCAAGCCGCCGTCGGTCCCTGCCTTAGATTGTATACGGACTGACTGTCGTTTCTTCTCTTCTTCTTCTGCTTTGCATAAGCCATTTTAAGGCGAAGCCTGGAGCGGCGTCCGCTCCCACTGCTCCGCTTTTCGCCTTTTCCAACCTTGTCCCCAGCTCAGAGGTCGTGCGTATATATATATTATATATATATTATATATATATATATCGATTTTATTATATATATATATATCCTGTCTGCCTTGCACGACTTTGCCTCAGGACCGTAGACAGGAGCGTCGGTTCATGAACCGACGCGCCCGCCAAGGCGCGTGCTGTCTTTTTTCCTTGTCCCCGCACCTCGTCCATCATCCATCCCTTTGCAGCGTTCCGTTGCTTGTCGTCCAGGCCTTTCGGAAAAGGCGAACCGACCCCCCTCCCTTGGGGAGTGGACCTCGGAGGGGGAGGCGCGGGCCCCAGCGCGTTTTTGTGCGTGTCCTTTCTTCACAGGCTTCCGTCTCGCATGCACGTCCTGCCCAGTGCATTCGTCACCCAGGCTGCGTTCCGGTGGAGACCAAATTATCTCAGCAACAAGGCGCGGGGCCAAGTAATTACATAACTATGGAAAATCACCATGCATTTTTCATGGGAAAATCCAATATTTTTAATTTTCAATAGCAAACTGTTAGTTTACCAGAGGGTAATTTATCCACATCTTAGTGGTTCATCCAGGACGCTTGGCAGGCGCTGATAAGTCCCATGAAATCCACCCCGTTGTGATGGGGGCTGGGGAGAACTCAGGCCTTCTCCCAAGCGCAGTCTGTTGATGAACGATAGAATGTGGATAGACGAGTTGATATACTGGCGATATTGATTATATTGAGGTATTTTCCGGGAACGTTGATGACTACAGACATGAGTTGGGGGTTGGAAGACTACTTTCTGACTCAGAGTGCTAGTTGGGGGAAGGTGAGATTACAATGCGTTTGATCAATGCCCACATGTTTGGATGTTATTTCCATGCTATTCCAAGTGTTGCTAAATCCCAAGCAAAAACCAGTTGGGGAGGTGGCATCTGAAATCAGCCCAGCAACAGATTGTCATTTCTGGTGTCCGTACTTCATTGCAACTTCCGAGATGCTTCCTTTACTCCTTCATTTCTTTCAAGTTTGCTGCTTAAATAAGTTAGTTATATAATGTTATGTATATGTATGTATATATGTATGTATGTATGTATGTATGAATGTATAATTATATATATATATGTATAATATATATATATATATACACATGTTTGTTGGGTGATTAAATCCCGATTTTTTGGTTGGCTAATGCGGCTAATCAGCTAAAAAAGTGCTAAAACATGTTGCGAACACCTTAAAACCTACATGTTTGTTCAAATCCGCAAACCATTCTGGGTGAACTCTCAAACGTTTGGCATAACTTCGATCGCATCGTCACTTCGCAGGTGCCCAGTGACTTTGCGGTTGACGTTGTTTCCCTTCAGGCCCTGGTGAAGGGTGGTTTTGTTTGGGTACAACTTCCCTCAAAATGCCCATTTGATGTTGTAAATTTTTGAAATTTGCGGAGTGAAATTTGGGCGATTTTGGGGTGACCTATGGTGACCTACTGTATTTTCCGAGAAACTGGTAGAAGCTTTCCAAATTTTGTTGACTCATCAATCCGATGACTTGGAAATGGCAGGGTTTTATACTCCAAATGATCCGCATCTGAAGATTCTTCTTGGTGGGATATTTTGGGAACATCGTTTGGTTGTGATTGGTTGTGAAATATTTATGAACTTGAAGCGGATCCTGCAAATGTAGTATATAGTATCGACTCAATATTCCCCCATGATTTCGAGAACAACGCGACCAAATATAATTACAAGGCCTACCAGTGATGTTTGTTGGTTTATAAAACCAATGAATACTATAGTTTTCAAAACCCCATGAATAGACTATAGTTGCAAGTACCATCAACAAACCAACTTAGCTATCGTAAATCAGCGATAAATCTCATTAAAGCACCATGTTCCTATGGTTTCTATCCTTCGGGGGCCCCACGGTGGGCCCCGGGTACTTATAATTGTACAATCATGTTTCCGTGTGGCTATTTGTATGCCAAAAAAAATGCTGGTCGTCCAAAATATGTTCACCAATTCCCAGCCGCATTGGCTTCGATTATGTGATTATACAATTTGGTGTTAATTTATGTTGATTTGAACTTGTGTGATCGAGGGATTATGACTCATATTACTGACACAAAATGTGACACTTTTCTAATTTGACTCCCAAACTTGGTCAACATGGTGTGATATTTTTTGATTTTTGTGTGATTTTCTATCGTCTTTTTTGAGAAGTTCTTAGTTTGGTTTACCCAACTGGACCTGGCAGTGAAGCGCATTTTTTACAGCCACGATACTTTGTTCACCATGGCTACCACCAATCAGAGGGTTTCTTCAAAAACAAGATTCCAAAAATCCACAAAAATCTCTAGTGGTTGATTCGTTTCTCTTCATCTTCACCATCAACCCTCTGGTTATGTCAAAATAGCTATTGAAAATGGCCATTGAAATAGTGAGTTTTCCCATTCAAAATTGTGATTTTCCATAGTTATGTTAGTTTACTAGAGGGAAAATGACCAGACTGGTCGGGTTTTTATCATGGGCTGTGCATCGACTTAGAGTTAGGAACCCATGGGGATGTGGGGTAGATCCAGGGATGTTATGTCAACGATTGAAAGACCCCGAAAAAGGCTGTTTTAATCTAAGTTGGGTGGTAACATTGAAATCATTGAAGTATCAGATGTTTATATGGGTATGGATCAATAACTATTATATAATACCATTTTTAGTGGGATGAACATCCATTTACCAGCTATTTTGATGTTCACCAGGGGTACAAGGTTTTGAAGCACTGCCATATATGTTTATTCTATTTGGGGAGTACCACCCAGTAAGCCGGGGTTGACATTTTCCCACGTGTAAATGGGTTCTGATATGCTGATTACTCGCCCCATCTCCAAACCCCAAACACCCCCATACTTTAGATGAAGATATCTCCCATTAATAGTATCCTCACGAAATAGTAGGTTATATATTTATAATGTATATATATATATACACCTCTATTTTTGTTGGCAAAATCATCATTTAAAGCCATTGTAGAAGCCATTTCCGCTTAGAAATGGCTATAGAATCAGGGTAAATCTACCATTTTTGCCAGGCCTTTGTTGAGCAACTGCTCCGTGGTCTACGCTTGACCCTGAACATGGACGGGGTTGGTTTGGACGTCCATGCCAAGTTGGATCAAAAATGCCGCCCGGCGACCCTGCGGTTGACGAACATATGGAAAAACGCGATGGTTCCCTAAGAAATCAGTCTATAAGCGGAGGAAATTCCTTATTGATATTCATTGGCAGTAGGATATGTATGTGTACATAATATATAATTATATAATTATATACATACATGCATACATGCATACATGCATACATGCATACATGCATACATGCATACATATATACATGCATACATGCATACATGCATACATGCATACATGCATACATGCATTACATGAATGCATGTATTACATGCATACATGAGCAACTGCATGCATGCATACATGCATAAATGACATACAGCATACATGCATACATGCATACATGCCTACATGCATACATGCATACATGCCCATCGTACATGCATACATGCATACATGCATACATAACATACAACACACCCCATACACACATTACACACCATACAAAAATACACACATACACACATACACACCATGACACACATTACACACAACACACACACATACACACGACACACAGACACACAGACACACAGACACACAGACACACAGCACCAACAGAACACAGACACACAGACACACAGACACACAGGACACACCAGACACACAGACACACAGACCACACAGACACACAGACACATTATAAAGATACAGAGAAAGAACAAAAGAGAGAAAGAAAGAAAGAAAGAAAGAAAGAAAGAAAAAAAAAAAGAAAGAAAGAAAGAAAGAAAGAAAGAAAGAAAGAAAGAAAGAAAGGAAGAAAGAAAGAAAGAAAGGAAGAAAGGAAAGAAAGAAAGGAAGAAAGAAAGAAAGGAAGAAAGGAAGAAAGGAAGAAAGGAAGAAAGGAAGAAAGGAAGAAAGGAAGAAAGGAAGAAAGAAAGAAAGGAAGAAAGAAAGAAAGAAAGAAAGACAGGAAATTAAAGAATAAATGAAAGTAAATACATACATAGATACATACATACATACATACATACATACATACATACATACATACATACATACATACATACATACATACATACATACATACATACATACATACATACAATGTACATGTTTATAAGAAATGACATGCATTTGATCATAAAGACTGATATGTTTTGTTGGGAGCGCACTTCTTAGATCGACTGGTGAATCATCCAAAAAATAGAACCAAAGACCATACATGGACATCATTGAGGGAATGGTTTTCAAGATCGCTTGCCATGTATTGCCATTGTCATCACACTCTTGTTTTCAACCATAGTTATAGCATGTTATAGCCCTTCAACAGTTATAAATGGGATTATAACTCCTGCAACTAAGGTGAGTCATATATCCCACTTATATAATTGTGTTTTTTTAGCCAGATAAACCACGCTTCAGGGCCACAGGGATTCCAGTCATCAACCGGGTCGCAAAGCCGCTTCTGAGGTACTTGTTTGGAGTTGACGTTCAGCAATGTTTCTGGGCCTTTGGCAGTTTTCCTTTTTGTCGTAACAGAGAATTCCCAGGGACATCATCATATCCCATAGGATCCATGTATGCCATGTATGGTAACATTTACCATCAATATACCCCAAATGTTAGCATATATATCATACGTGGATCCTATGGGTATGGGGATGGTTGGGATTCCCTTATTGGATTCTGAACATCCCCAATGTACTGGATAACATACGATAAGCCCTAATTACAAATCATCAAAGAACGGGGGTTTTGCAGCCACTGCTCGCCATATGTCTCTCTAGAGATTTACCCAGACCGATGTGGTGTGCAATTTCCAGAAACATGACCTGGGTTTGTTTAAGGTGATTGTTTAGTTTCCCAATGGAAAATCCACCATTTGGGGAATTTATACTGACTATTTTTTATTTTTTGGGGACCCCGGAAGCAAATCCAAGGGGCCATGGTCGCCATGTGTCGCCATAAAGGAGCAGCACTATGTGTATGATATATTCTAAACGCTATCCAAACCTTGCCCTCTGGAAAATTAACATAGCTATTGAAAATGGCCATCTATAGTGAGTTTTCCCATGAATAGCATGGTGATTTTCCAGTTCATTATGTAAACGTTTACCAGAGGGTAGCATCCCCAAAAATCACGGTTGGTTGTACCCCCAAGGTGACAGAGTCTTAGATTTGATGCTGAAACTTGCAGCTGAAACTTGGAGAAAAATATACGGTGAAGTGTCAGCCACGTCGTAAGGAAACCTTTGATCATCATACTGAAATTGATTGATATCTTCAAATGGGATTTCAGGTCCCTAAATTGGAGATACCTACCATATATAAGGCCTATATAAGGTGATATCTCCCATTGATATCTCCCATTTATTGGTGATAAGCGATATGATACTGTGGATGGAAGAAATCCTGCACCACCTTGGATGGTTGAAACCCTAAAAAATAATGGGAGAAACCATCTATGAAAAGTGGTGCAGGAATTCGCAACCATCCACAGTATAGCCATGATTTTTCTCCAAGTTTCAGCTCCAAGGTTTTGATCATCATGATTCTTTGTCATCAATTTCGCAAGAAAATCTGAGGTCATCCCAAGCTATTGATCTCTCCTAGGTTCTCAAATCCCAGTCTTAGCTTCCATAAATCGTTGTATCTCCGTTAAATCCTATTACTACATCCCATCAAATCCCAATTGAATCCCAATTAAACTACATGAAATCGCAAGCTAAATACCATTAAATCCTTAAATTCCACGAAGTCTCAATGAAATCCCCATGAAATGCTCAGGTTCTCAAACGCATCTCGCTGAAGTCGATCCGCTCCGTCCTTCCCGCCGTCTCCACGGACGCGGTGCGCTCCCTGGAAGATCTGGAGCGACCGCCTTGCAAGGCGGCGTGGGCAACGAAGATCCAACTGGAGGATGAAGCTTGGAGGATTTCGGGAGAAGCCTATGAATATGTATATATATATATATATTGGCTTATTATGGGTTATTTATATATATAATATAATGTATATTTATATAATATATATATATATATTGGCTTATTATGGGTTATATATATAATATAATATGTATATATATATATATACACCCTGCTATATATATATATGTATATGTATATGTATGTATGTATATATTATCGGTTATATCAAAACCGATGTTTCCTCACAAACCCGAGAAATTGCAAGGGTTTGGAGGTATAGGGTATAATATATATAACATATAATATATATATATATATATGAATAACCATTTAATTGCATTTAATTAATAAGAATTTCATGGGATTCGGAGTTAATGGGAAGTATATAGTGGTTGATGATGGTTAATGGCTTATTTGGTTTTTAGTTGATAGAGGACGAAGGTAATTTCGGATGAATAATGGCTCATTCTAAGCTGATTAATGGGTAATATTGGCATTTGATTGTTAATTATGATTATTATAAATCACATGAAATGTTACAATTGGGACGGCCGATGGTTAATGATTAATGATTTATCAATAATTGATGGCTAATTTATGGGATTTAATGGGATTTGAGAATTGTGAATTATGGTTAATCAAATCCCATGTTAATAAATTTGATAATTATGGTGATACCTGATTAATGGGATTTGACAATTGTGAATAAGATATAAATTGTGATAAAAAAAATACCCATCTTATTAACAATGATTAATCTGATTCATGAGTAACAATGGTCAATGTATATACTCATGGATATGGATACAGTATTCATTAACATCCTATTACTACATCCCATCACATCCCAATTGAATCCCAATTAAGCTACAGAACCCCGAGATTCGATACTTGCAGGATCATCCGGTGGGTCCGTACCGTACCTGAGACACTTTTTCTGGGTGAACAGGTCTGCCATAAAAAGGACACGCCACGTTCTATGGGGACTTATGTTCTTTTGATCTCTTTTGTACAATTTAACCATCTAACAGAATCTAAGAAGAATCTGAAGAAATGTGGGCAGTCAGTGAGGAGTGGGGACTTATCATCACCACTTAGTAGAAGTGGTGAGTAAGTGGGGTTATATCCCGTTCATAAATGGGATAGTCCACTTAAGGGACTTATCATCAGCAGTGTTATTCACCACTAAGTATGGTCCTCCAAGAAGGATTTCTCAAAAGTGTTGGAAAGAACCTGGCCAAGGTGGATTCGATGGTGAAATCATCAATATTTCGCTTGGGTGTCTGAGAAAATTGTGGAATAATTCTGGAAAGTTTTGTGGATTTGATGTGGATACAATGGGATTTCATGAACATTTCATGGGAATTCATGCGCGATATTCATTGGGATTTCATGGAAGATTTAATGGATTCATTTCATGAGATTTACCTCGCGGTCCTGTGAGAATTCGCCTCTGGTCATGGATACATATGGAAAATCACAGTTCTAATCGGTAAATCAACCGTAAATGGCTCATGTTCCATAGCAAACTGTTGGTTTACAATCAGAAAATTGAATTCTGATGGATTTCAAGGTATCATTTGGGGGTTTGCCGCTATACCCTGCAAATCCCTACAGGCCCTGAGGGTCGAACAGTACCGAAAATGGGGGGATTTGACCCGCACAAGCTGTGATTTGATCAGCGATTGTGATAAGCAATGGAGAATTGCTTACAATCTATTTATGGTTGAATCACTATATGGATATACCATCTGGTAATTTAACATAGCTATTGAAAATGGCCATAGAAATAGTTGATTTTCCCCTCAATAGCATGGTGATTTTCCATAGTTATGTAACAGTTTACCACAAGGTAAGCATGGTTAAACAAGCCCCTGGCTCTTCTTGGGTGTTAAAACCGTGTCAACCCTTTGGTTTTCCTGCAGATCTCCCCTCGAAATCAATTCAGTCATTCAGCTTGCGATCTATTTGAGGTAAACCCCCCAGGGTTTCTACAGATGTTCCCGAAAAAATTCGACCCGATGTGAACATTTGGAGGTTTCCTAAAGTGGGGAGTAGCCCAAAATCATCCAAGTCATTAGACATCATTAGACCATTCTAGTATTGAAACAATCATGGTGACTTGGGGATCCCTCATCAAGAAACCCCCATTTGTTTTTTTTCCTACTATCAGTTTATTCATAATATTTAAATATCGCATTATAGCATCTGACTATTCCCATTATAGTATATATATATATATATCCCATTAACCTCATTAAATCGACGATGAACTTCCCTTGCTCAGGATCGCGTTTGCGAGTTCATCTTCGACGTGCAGCGGGAGGCGGAATACTTTGGCTGCAGCCTCAAGGCCCTTGATGGAATTGATGGAAGTGGATCGTTAGTTCTTGAACTAGGAAACATGGTTTATAGATGCTTATAACATAATATTGATGTTATATTTATGTATAAAGAGTATAGAATGATACTCTCTGAAACTGATTGTTTATATATTTATAAGATAAGAACCATGTGGATTTTGTATAAATACTAACCACTATAGTGTTGCAACAGGAATATAATACATACAATACAATACCATACCAGACAATACAATACAATACATCCATGCATCCATGCATCCATGCATGCATACATCCATGCATCCATGCATGCATACATCCATCCATCCATACATCCATACATCCATACATAATACATAATACATAATACATAATACATACATATATGTATATTATATATACATATTACATTTATATATGCATCATATACATATACCTACGTAAATATATATATATATATTATGTATCATACATATACATATATATTTATACATAGATTCATCACATATGTATGTATATATACACATAAATTCATCACACACATATAGTATATATGATATATATATATATACATGTATATGTATACATATGTTTTATAACTAACTAACATGACGTGCTTGGGGAGTAACTCTGAGTAACAGACATAGGAGTCCCTGAGTTGTGAGGCTTCGCAAACGCAGAAAAACACCGACAGCCACAAGTTTTGAACCAGGAACGCAAAAACACCCCAACAGAGTTGAAACGGGCAAACAGTTCAACAGTTAGACACTGATATTGGTGACTGTTCATACTTTCGTTTACATTTGTACCAGCATTTTGGTTGGTAAACCCCCGCAACAAAATTGTTGGTGAACCTCCGTCAGCTTGCTTCAACCCACATACAGGATTGGCCTCCCGAGTTATAAGTTGGTTTAAAACCCCATCTAAATATAGTTATAAGTATCATACACTATTGTTATTATAGTTATGTTCACCAACTTAGCCAACGAACTGGGGCCCCATCCTGTCTGTTTGTCTGCTGACACCTCAATTTTCCGCTGTTGAAGGCCATGTGCCAAGACGCGCGGCTCCAAACGGCGCGGCCCTTCGACGACGCGGATCTAGCAGCGGGATTACCTACAGCGAGGTGCACCGTTGCATGGCCGTTGCGGTTGTGGGAAAACCATGGGGATACTCAGGATGGTCGTTGTGTGGGTAAAGCAATGTCATAAACCAGCCCATTTTGGATGGTTTATACATGTTTATACCACCCATAAAAATATAAACATGGGTTTATAATAAAGTTTATACCACCCATAAAAATGGTGATGACTGGGGATGGTTTATGATTGTTTTAACCACATATCCCCCTATATTAAATCCCAAATGATACACCCTCAACCCCTCTATTATTGGGGATTATGAACATATTTCCCAATTCATCAGACTTACGCTCCATTTCATATTGCCCAATTCCTCACACACCGCTCTTTCAACACACCTTCCTTCTTCTCCCTAAAAACTTTCCCAGCTAGCTTTCGTCCCGTATCCCTTACCCTGGATCAATCCGTGATAGTTGATGACTATACTATAGGGATGAATGGGCATATACCCTCTGGTAAATTAGCACATGGAACATGACCCATTTATATAGTTTGATCATTTACCATCATCAATTTCCATTCCAGGAACCCCAATTGGAGGTACCTACCATATATAAGGCCTATGTAAGGGCTATGTAAGGGAATATACCCCCAAACTATTGCCTTATTATATGGTACAGTACCTGGATTTTAGGATGGAATTCCCATTGACATCATGTACCTCTGAAACATGGTGATGTTCAATAGCTATGTTCAACTCCCAGGGGGTAATTCCAGCATGCCAGAGGGCCCCCTAGGTACGTTTGTTTGTAAGTAAGCTGAACAAGATTTCTGGTAGATATATCCATAGGGCACTGGATGGGGTTATAAACCAGCTTATAATTTTGGGGTCCTTCCGGTGGGTATATACCTCACACATAATTGGGGTTTAGCCAGTTGCAAAAACGGAGTATCTTGAAATCATCCATTTTGTGGATATAGAATGGTATCATAAATAGGAACGGGGACACAACGGATTATACAACCAACCAGAATATGGATACAATGGTGACACAACTTTAGGCTTATATAACTATAACTTCAATATTCGGTTGGCTTTGTCCCCAGATGGAATTTACACCATGTTATTGCCATTTTTATTGGCATGATCATGATTGCCCCTTAGATTGGGATTAACCGTACCCTCATCTTCCAGTTACCTGTCAGATAGGCAACCAACCCAGAGCAAGACAATCTATTTCTGATCCCCATTGGAAGTGATTTTTCGGGCTCTACATCCATCGATTTTTTCCATGATGACACACAGAGATTGTTCATTTCGTAGTAAGGTTTTATTGCCTTTTCGCAATGGAACATTACCAATCTTTAATACAATTTTATTGGTGAAGATGATTTTCCATTGCCATGGTTGAGTGGGTTTGTCTCAAACTGATGGCCATTCTAAGTCGTAAAAATTATGATAGACCAAAGTGCGATGTCGCTTTCCATCAATAAAAGATGGTTCAAGAGAAAATCTTACGCGGAAACCATGGATTTTCCCATGAAAAAGATGGGCTTCCATGGGATTCCATCCCTTTGATCCATGACTTCCTTCTCAGTTTCAGGAGTTTGGCTCCGGAGGACCAACTCATGGATCCTGAAGCCTTCATGGATGCGCTTTATCAGGCGAAACCAGTCGGACATCCATGGACCCTGGCAGTGCAAGAAACCAGTGTTTTTTAACATGAATTTACACCATCAATTATAAATTATAGGGTTTTCTCTTCCGGAAAAAAACATATGAAACAGATCTCTTCATGATGCTCGGCAAGGTTACACATTAATGGCAAAGCGCGATTCGTTGGAATTATGCCATTGGAAGATGTAATATTCTGTTTCCCCAGACTTATGCGGGGAGAGCGGGTTGTGCAAGAACTGATGAAATGAAGATCTTTGAAACCAACCCGGCTACTTTTGGAATCACTGGGTACTTAGGATTGTTTGCTACTCAAACACCTACCAACAGAAGGGTGACAGTCAATTTATTAACACCCAGTTATGGAAGTGAAAAAATAAGATTGAAATACACTGTTCATTTTAAAATGCTGTTTTTTTGTCCTTATATTATTTTTCTAGGGGCAAGACTACCCCAGGATTTATAAACCACCATTTTTGTCACTATGTTCAGGACCTTTATGAGCATAAATAACAGTGGGGTCATTAGTCCCCGGTCTTGAAATTACCCCAAATTAGATTATTATATTCATTTATATATTAATGCCATTACATGCGATATGAATGCCATTAAAAATACCATTATTAATGTCAATTCCAATTTATCTTGACATATACCATCAAATCCCATTATTTTTATCCATTTATATTATTATTATTATTATCGATGGCTATCCAAGTATAGATGCTTATATATATAGCATTATATAGCCCATTTATGAACCCTACTACAATCGGATAGTTAGATTTGAGTAGGTCCATTACATGTCATAAATCCTAGTACATCACGCAATACCCCATTATATTGTATGTATATACTATATATATAAATATGCAATATGTATATATGTAATTAGATACATATATATATATATACACATATTGTCTAGATACAATACAAATATATATATATATAGACACGTGTATATATATATATACACATACATATTCAATATACAAACAATACACACAATACATATATGATCATATATGTATGTATACACAATATTTACTGTATGTACATATCCGACATATCCCATTACAGTTGGAGTGTACCATCTTGACTGCGCCAGGCCTTGAAAGAAAACGCCGATTCGCTAGCGACCGAAGGGTCCGAGCTACCGACCGAAGGGCTCCATGCCTTGTGAGTGTCCAAAAAGGGGCGAAGCTGAGAGCCGAGTTTCTGGCTGTACAAGAATTATACCACCCATTTATGTGAGAAGGGTACAACAATTGTATATTCAAGAGTTATACAACAGTTATACCCATATTTTCCAAGTTTAATGTGAGAACCAAAATTTCATCTAATATTAATGTGGGTAAAACAATGTCATAAACCGCCCCATTTTGGATGGTTTATACCACCCATAAAAAATGTGATTTTGTGGATTGTTTATGATTGTTTTAACCACATTACCCAGAACATCCATAAAGAACACGGTAAACACCGGAAGATTGTCCGGGTAAAGCCAAGTTTCGTTAGTTTATCTGGGAGTTTTGTTTCTGGCGATACCGATTATTACATGTGATGACACATGGGGAAAAAACCTTGAAAGCAGTTCCTTTCCGCAAAGCATGCCCCGAATGCCAGCTATATAGCTCAGTGTTTGATCATTGGGATGGGATTCTGATTTCGCAGGGATCTGTCAAATTTCAGCAGCATTCAGCACTAGGAATCATTCCAAAAATTGATAAACAAGTAACAATGACTCAGTCAATGATAGAGTTGGACAGTAGACATTGTTACTTTTGGATTCAGATATTTCAATACTTCAGGTGAGGGAATTATTGTGTTTTCCCAGACTCAGTAGCGTCTGACAAAGCTCTTCAACAGCTGGGATATGTGGATAAGTGAAGCTACTGCCATCTACTGCCCAAAATGACCACAGTGCGCCTACCCTTTTGTTTGGATTTGTGGTTGTTTTCCATGTTACCCTCTGGTTATTTAACATAGCCATGGTATAAATGGCCCATAGAAATAGATGGATTACCTATTGAAAATTGTGATTTTCCATGGCTATGTGAGTCATAACCAGGTGGTATCTAGATATGTTAGCCAGACTTGAGCAACTGCACAAGCTACTTGTCACAGAGCCTGCTCGTGGCATTTCTACTGTTATACAAGACACACTGTGAGCGCATGGTCTTTTTGATGCTTACCCGGCCTGGTAAACTGTTAAATAACTGTGGGAAATCACTATTAATGGGTAAATCAACGATTTCTATGGCCATTTTCAATAGCTATGTAACAAATTACCAGAGGGTAATTATGCAGATCTCATCATGCATGATCTGGCACATGGAAATACATATAAATACATCGAATCACGCTGCTGGATTCAGGTTGAAGATAGATGAGACATGATGAGACCAGAACAATTCAAAACATTCCTTTTTAATGGGTAAATTTTAACACCCAGCAGTCAGCAAGTCAGTTCGTGGGTGTGATCGTTGATACCAGGGACGAGGTCCGAGGGTTTCACTTATGTCCTGTGCATGAAAGAGTAGACCTAAAATGTTTGATTATATACTGTATATATATAATTTCTTTGGTTAGTGATTTGCCTTTAAATCGATGTTTAACTAGATAGTCACATCTCCGGCCCTGCCACAAGAGTAGACGCTGACAGACGCAACGCTGCGTGATGGGTGCACTTTGGTGGCAGAAAGATCGGGGGTGGGTTGAGGGTTTGAAACCTGTATTGATTGGGTTGCATAAGTGAGTTTTTTGGTGCTTGAATTTGCAGTGAATCCCAATTGCTTTTGCAAGCAACAGATCAACAGCCTGTACTTGGATCTTCATCCGAATCTACTGTAATAGTGGCTTCATGAGCATGTCCATAACTAGATTAACTATATGTTTGCAATGATCCATATTTATTTTATGCTTGGTGCTTATGTCTCATGGCTTTTTCAACAGGATGATCAACAACTTGTTCAGCCACGCTGAGCATTGCAACGCTCAGGGCTGCCCGAGCCGGAAGTTGCCATATCAGGATTTCCGCATCTATTTCAGCGACAGGTGGACCCCGCATGGGCCCCCTAAACCACTGGAGGGGGAAGAATTCATGGCCCTGGCCTATGTGAAAACAAGGGATACACCATGCCATGCCATTTCCACTACATAAATTCATCTAATTTCCATCCTAATTTCCATAAATCTGAGCTTTGGGGGATATATGTGGTGGATGCATGATACATCAATAATTGTACTGTGGATGGGTGAACATGAAAATTTGAGAGTTTCAGACGGACTTAGACAAATTGTGATTTCAATAATTCGATGAAAATGAAGTAAAACCATAGAAGCTTTGGAGCCATCGGTGTTGTTTTCATCATCTTACGGGTTTTCGGATGTTGGCATCGTTTATTTGCTGCAGGAAGCCATTTGCGGCTGTGATTTCAAACACGGGAGTTGATCAACCTTTGATCTTTTGTTGCAATTTGTAATGTTTATATAATGATGAAACAGTTATATAGAGATGATCTTATATTAATAAGATCTACATCAACACTTCTTTGTTTATATAATTATTTTTTTCAAAGGAACGTTCAGATTGGTTAATCGAGAATAATCAATAGTGGCCAAGAATTGCAAGAAACCGCTTCCATATCAGGCTGATCACACCAAATTAATCCAAATGATATAGAATCATACAGGTCAACATCCAAAAGTCACCAATGCCGCACGTTCGCATGTGTGATTTCTTTGCCGATTCGTGACCATCAAATCCATATGATCCCCTTTTTTTGTGGCGATTGTATCCACATTCATGCCATGGGGTATTTGTCTTCAAAGATATCAGCAATGGAGCATGTTTCCATTGCTTCTTCCGCTGTCCGATGGTTTTTTTTCCAACTAGGTGATGCCCCCAAGTGACTAATGTTTGTTGGTTTGTAAACCCATTAACTCGTTCGATACATCTACGGTAAACCATAGGATAGTTAATTCACCTAGTGAACTCTTCACCAACTTAGCGATCACAAATCAGTTTAATATAAATGATTTTACGAATCCCATGAAATCATATGAAATCCCAATTTGTCTTGGTTAAATCATGTTAAATCAAATAATGTGCCTATGTTTTCCTATGATTTTCCCATTTTCCTATGGTTTTCCTATGGTTTTCCTATCGTTTGCCAGGCTCATTTTGGGCTGGGAAGAGTTGCTCTGCTGTCCTGAGGTGGCACCGACTCGGGTAAATCACCAACCATACTAGGGATATGGTGGATTTAACCATTGAAAAATATGGATTTGATATGGAACATCCAGATAATTGTGATGTTTATGGGGATACACGATGGTATATTATGCAATATCTATATCCAATTCACTTGAAATAATATGTGTGTCTGTCTGGAAATAGAATAGCTTGTATGTCGGGTTCTAAGCATCCAAAAACATGGAACAACCAACTGTATTGTAGATGTAATACGATGTAATGGACGTATCATTGGATGAAATGGGACATAACCAAAAATATGTTATATGGGTCTGTCTGAAACTGGTGTACTGCGTCAGGCTATGAAATCGAGAAAATGATGATCAACCAGTCAGTGAGGGGGTATGCTATTCTCTGACAAAGCCACTTCTACGGGGTCAAAAAACCGCCTGACTCCGCGACAATCCATTGATATCTATGGCTAATGATCCAAATTAGTAGGTTCTTCAGAAGCTACCCTCTAGTAATTTCACGTAGCTACTGAACATCACCATTTTTGATAGGTAAATAATCCGTAAATGTTCCGTGTTTCATCCATTTTCCATAGCTATGTTAGCTCATCATAGGGATCCACAGGGTAACTTTGAAAAACTCTTCGAGCTTTTTTTCACCACTTGGAGCTCGGGACATACCGGAAAAGTCCCTCAACAATTGATGGTTGTGAAGGAAAAAAATAAAAACATCTTGAAACAAGATAAAATAGATATACAGTATATATATATATATACTTTGTTAGTTAACCCATGTTAACCCAGGAATCTTGTGGCTGAATCTTCTCCACTTTGGCGTCCCAGGTGTCTGGGTGTAGCGTCCGAAAGTATTCTGAGGATGACCCTACTGGTGGACCTGTCGGGGGATCCCAGTGGTGAATGGTTGGTGGATGGTAGGTGGATAAAAAAATCAGCGAAATGAACATGGAGGATTCTATCGATAATTTTGGGACACAGGCCTGTATCCAAGCCACTAGCACCATGCGGTGGAGAAAGTTTATTGGTTTGATGTTTTTTTGTTTAATGCATAATATCAAACAACTATTATGCCCCAAAAGAATATGTTGGTTGTCAAAGGTTTAGCCAGAAGGAAAGAGGTGGGGACGGTTGATGTTTTCGTAGTGAGAGGCAATCGGATAATCTGTGCTGTGGTTGCAACGGTGCAGCATCATGGATATCCTTTTCACGACCGCTAGGTATACAAATCAATTTGTTAGATGGTGTACCATCTCGCGATTCAAATCATTTTTTCACACCCTTAATTACAACATTAGATTCAATTAGTTTTTTAATGTTTTTTTTTAGTTCATGAAAATTAACTAATTTTCATTATTCTGGCTTGTGGTTTGGAATATTTCTTGTTTTCCATAATATATGGGATAATCCTTCCCATTGACTTTCATATGTTTCAAGGTGGTTTTTTAACCACCAACCACTTATTATGGGTTATTAATATATATATATATATATACGCCCTGCTATTGATATACCATTATTGGTTTATACCATCTTCTTCTATCAAAACAAGCATCCGGTCTAAAAAACCAACGTTTGGGGTCACATCACCTCTAGAGCCCGGAGATAGAGAGATCGGTGTCCCGACTTTACTTCGACAGAAGTCAGTACTAGCCTCTGGTAAACTAATGGGAAAACCATGGGAAAACCAATGGAAAATGGAGATTTAGATGGAAAAGCCAGCATTTTGAATGGGTAAATCAACGATTTCGACTGGGCCATGGCTTCCAGTTCGCGAAGTGTTAAGTTACCAGAGGGTATCTGGTTTGGGAATGATAAAAGCTGGTATCATCCCCTGGCCAAATCTGGTTTTTAGCCTCCAAGCTGGCCTCCATTCAAAGATGAAATTGGGATGATCCATTTCCCATGACGGATCCGGCTGGTGCTGGGATATATGCTAACATGACTGGGGTATATTGATGATAAATGTTACCATACATAGCCACATAGCATACATGGATCCTATGGGGTATGGCTTAGTAATGATGATGTTTGGTTTGTATAGGATTTGGGAATGATCGATGGTTACGTAAAGCAAGAAGAACTAGAGCGGCTCGTCCGGATCCATTCCTCCGGATCTCTAGGGTGCTGCTTTTGCTGTTCACCGAGGGACAAGAAAACAACTGGGGAACAACCAGAAATCTGGGTATGGATCAATACCTATAGATACATTTTTAGTGGGATGAACATCCATTTACCAGCTATTTTCATGTTCACCAGGGGTACAAGGTTTTGACACACTGCCAAATCTACCAAAATCTATACATACTTTGTATTTTGATATTTATAGTAATATTTGTCACTCAACAATCCAAGAAACTTCCACTATAGATGTTCCCTTCAATAATTTCATGGCGTAACATGGCGTAAGAAGTGTTTTTTTCCCTGGCGAGTTCCTTTACCTTCCGGTTATTTAACATAGAGAACTTTTTAAATAGCTAGATATAGCTAGGCATGTTTTTGGTGCCGGGCATTTGAGGGGGCCCCCGCTGTTGTCAGTTTTTGACATTACACTAAAAACAACATCATAGACGAGGGGGGTGGGGGGGGTGGGGTGGGGTGGGATAATAGCGTCATTTGCTGTACGTTCTCATGCACTTGCACACATACGTCATGCTACGCTGCTGTACGTTCTCATGCACTTGCACACATACGTCATGCTACGCTGCTGTACGTTCTCATGCACTTGCACACATACGTCATGCTACGCCGCTGTACGTTCTCATGCACTTGCACACATACGTCATGCTACGCCGCTGTACGTTCTCATGCACTTGCACACATACGTCATGCGACGCTGCTGTACGTTCTCATGCACTTGCACACATAGTTGGCTACCTCGTAGCATCACAACCGTGCAGAAAGGAAAATTGAACCCAGCACTGTACGAATACGCGTACAGCTGGTTTTGGAGATATAACCACCTGTCGCAAGACATGGATGTCGCCAAAGCTTTGCATAAGCTTGGATGTCTCGCTGCCCCCGCTTGAAAAATGGGCTTGCCAAAGTGCCATCTCCAGAATGATCAACATTCAGATGATGATGATGATGATGATGATGAAATTGCTCCTGATGCTAAAGTTTCGTTTCTCAGCGTTTTGTGGTCCCCCCTGTAAAATGTTTGAAAAGTGACAACAGCGGGGGCCCCCTCAAATGCCCGGCACCATGTTTTTGTACAAGCCGCAAGGACATAGAGACCTTTGAGCGCTGTGAAAGTGTGATATAGCTAGGCACATCATCATTTTCATCATCTATTTCTATGGGCCATGGCTTGCATTGCAAACTGTTAAATGCTAAACAGAGGGTAATTTTCCAGTTATGTTTGTTTACACACCCATTAAGTATAGAGATATCATGAGATATCTATCATAAACCCTATTTAACCTAGTTATAAACCACATGTGGTGTAAGCACATCTCCAACGGCCAAGGTCGAATACACTGTGATGAGAAGTGCCTCGCCGATCAGTCACGACAGGGTGAATGGTAGACGAGTCTAAACCTAGCGGATACCGACCAGTTCATGAGAATTTTGATATATTTTACCCTCTGGTAAATAAACTTGTTGACCCTGAAAATAGCCCATTTTTAATGGAAACTAGTCTGAGACTACCCCGATGACTGCCAGGGTCTATGTTAATTTATCAGAGGGTAATAGGGATACTGATGATACTCAGATTTGGGGTATTCGATCTGTTCAGACAAAGCCATAGGATGAACATCCATTCACCGGCTACGCTGTTGGTGCACCGTATGTAACCCCGTCCTAATAAGGAATTTTGGACAAATGGGCTGTCTTTGTGCTATGATGATGGCAAATTACAAGGTCACAAATATTGGGGTTGCTTGGTGATGCTCCTAGTTAAAAGGGGATTACCCTCTGTTACACGTTTACATAACTATGGAAAATCACCATTTTGAATTGGCAAACTCACTGTAAATGGCAATTTTTAATAGCAAACTGTTCGTTTACCAGAGGGTATAACATATTACAAAGCAACAAACAACACTGGGGGCATCACCCTGTACCTATTCTCTGCGTTTCTGCGATGTTCGTCTCACCATCTTTAACCGCACCAATTCTTGGTTCAACAATTAACATCCAACAAGATAACCGATCCCAGCTGTTCAACTCACCAATTCTTGGTTCAAGGGATACCCTCTGGTAATTTAACAGTTCGCTATTGAAAATGACCATAGAAATAGTGGATTTTCCCATTAAAAATGGTGATTTTCCATAGCTATGTAAACGTTTACCAGAGGGTAAACCTCCATTTTCCTATGGTTTTCCTATAGTTTTCCTATGATTTTCCCATTTTCCTATGGTTTTCCTATGGTTCAGCCGTTGCGGATCTCCGATCGTGACATCGCGATAGCTCCAGGTGTATCCTACAGTCCATACGTGCTGCAGCTCAGGGGATGAAGATGGATGAAGGTTATCAGTTGACCTAGAAAAAGGCGCATTGGATCAATTTTTTCATGGATCATATGATGATTCTGGGATATACATGGATATACTGGGTAAATTTCATCACGACCTCACTGTTCTCCCTCACTGGAAGTCATAGTTAGTAAGGGGAATCCCCTTTCATGGCCGCAAGATTCAGGTTAGTGAAATATTATAATTTGCCCAGATGATATCATCGGTCAGCTTTAATGTGAATGTGAACCATCAGCTAAGTTGGGGTATGATTGAACATGTACAGATCGACTGATTCTTGGTCGACAAATCTCGGTTCACATGATCCCCTTGTCGTTGACCATGCGACAGTTCATTGTGCAGAGTACATTCACATTCCTAGCTTTGCACGCGCATGGCTGTTAGCAATGTTCCAACATTTCTTGGCTATCTAATATTGGGATGGGTCAAAACCTATCATGAAAATATTTTGCGGAATACACATCCATAAACCAGCCATGACTTTGGGTACCATCCGGGTCCCACGGTTTTGACCAAAATGGCTGTTGGTTGCATCCCTGCAGTTGGTTTAGCCCATGGATACTACAGCTATAAGTATCACAAACCATAGTGACATTGACATTGGAATTATGTTCACCGACTTAGCGACTCTGTAAACAAGGGCCCCACTTTGTATCCTTGTTGATTTCAGTTAAAGTTTTCGTTGGTGAAGAATCCAAAGTTGCACTCTGAACAAATCCGGATTTTTCTTCTCTGTATATCCCCCAGGATCGCTGCGGGCTCATCCTTAGTTATGATCCTCATGCAATGGGTCAACCTTTTTCAGATACTAAGTAGTAACTAAGTTTAGGCATTGGGTTTATCACGGAAAAATCCACAAAAAAGGCATGGGGAACCAAGGTTGATACCCTCTGGTAAACTAACATAGCTATTGAAAATGGCCATTTATAGTGGATTTACTCATCAAACATGGTGATTTTCCATAACTATGTAAACGTTTAACAGAGGGTATCCAATTTTGATGATCCATTTTGTGTTGCTTTGTTGGTGGTGTCCCAACGAGTTCCAACATGGCTATCCATATAAGGCTTATAGGCTTGCCATGCAAGAAAATTGTCCAAAATCAGTTCATTGCTTTCAGGGACACAGGAACCATCCATTATACACGGAGGAGTCCAATGAAATCTTTATAAATCCACGCAAATCCATACAACATATAAAACTAGAGCCCATATATAAATAGATTAATGACATCAATATAAATCCATATAAATGACACCATGGATTTCATACACCCTATAAATCCATGTATGGGTTTGTCTGGAAATGGTGTACTGTACCCCTCAAACCCACTGGTTAATCATCATTTTCCCTCTTAAGTGGCTATAATTGTGGGGCATAGCCCATTTTCAGACATCCACAAATGGGCTTAATCTTCATTTAACACCGTTAAACCATGTTAAACCACCATGTCCCATAAGTTTCCTGAATATCCTCTGGTAAAGCTGTTGCATATGTATGGAAAATCACCATGCTATTAATGGGTAAATCCACTATTTCGACTGGGCCATTTTCAATAGCTATGTCAGCCATTACCAGGGGTAACTATTAAACCAGTTTATAGGTTATTAACCAGTATTAACCATTATTAACCATTATTAACCATTATTAACCATTATTAACCATTATTAACCATTATTAACCATTATTGTTATTCCATAAGTTTCTGAATGGTAAATCACACCGTGAAACCATGTTAAACCATGTTAAACCATGTTAAACCATGTTAAACCACCATTTTCTATAGGTTTCCGGAATAAATCCACATCTAAACCAACTGAAACCCGTCCTAAAAATAGCGTAGCAAGGTGCCTCGCTTCGTGCTGGAGCTGCGCAGCCGCAACGTTCCACGACCCGCCATCGTAGGCGACTCGTGAAGCGAACGGTGGCCGGTGGCCATGGGCCGCGACGACTGCCACGGGGAACAGCATGAAAACTTGCCATAGAAATAGTGGATTTAGCATGATTTAGCCATGAATAGCATGGTGATTCTCCATAGTTACAATGGATATGATTCCATTTGGATTCAATCATTCACCGAGATTCAATCACTCATTAAGTTGAAACATTGGGGAAGATGGGAAAATAATCTGGTTGGTGGTTTGGAACCATGGAATTTTATGACTTTCCCAGATTAATTGGGAATTTCAGACAATCCCAACTGACAGTCCATCATTTTTCAGAGGGCTAGGCTCAACCACCAACCAGAAGCGGTTGAAATAAGTTGAATTTGGAGTTAATCATTCACATTCGAGAGTTGGTGCAGGTGGATATGGTAGATGATAGTCACAGGGACATAGATTTACCAGTTCAACAATTTATCCCCCCCTAGTATTTGCGGTGTTGGGAGCAACCCTGTCAACGTTGTCAATGGGTGTTGATGGTTTTCATTTTGGTTATTTAAATTGGTTAAATCATCCATTTGATGTTTGTTTTTGGGTTTATGGGATACAATGGGGATATAACATATGATATTATATCCATTTATATCCCCATTGTATCCCATATGATATTATATCTGCATTTATGTATATAGTCAACAAATGTCAACAACATATGATATTTGGCTTAGCCGCTTAGCCTCAAAATCGGGGATACTACCCCAAATGTGGCCAAACGTTCATTTTCAAAAAACGGGACTTTGGGGTCCCAAAATTCGCAACCAAAACCCCAAAAAGCCATCTGGCTGTAAATAGTGGTTTGTCATAATTTGTATACGGAGTTGTTTGAATTGAACCTTACGACTAATACCACCCCAATTACAAGTTGGTGGTAGAAGTGTGCAAAAGAGGAGCCATCTAAGCCAAAAATCATTCTATGGGCCAGTGGCCATTTTCAGGAACCTAAATTGCAGGTACCTACTGCAAGTACCTACCACGTATAAAGTTTGTGTAATGAGATTGAACAATACAGATCTCATCCCAAGACTACCTCAAGGTGTAGATTTAGTGTCAGGAGATTTCAGAAACATTATGAACTGATCATAGATGTCCTTTTCCCATTGGTTGGTTGATTAATAGAGGGGTAAATGATTTACCCCTTTAACAACAGGTAAATGATGATAGATGGTATACCAATCCTCTATTTTTACCAAAAGGACATTATTGCTGATAGTTATGATTCATTATTTTAAATATGATCATTAAATCAGGGACCATTATTGAACATTAACCATTAAACATTAATCTTAATATCTGGTTGGTGGTTTGGAACATGTTTTATTTTCCCATATATTGGGAATAATCATCATCCCAACTGACTTTCATATTTTTCAGAGGGGTAGGTCAACCACCAACCAGATATTTTGGAGCCTATGTCTTATGTAACCATAATTACCCTCTGGTAATTTAACATAGCTATTGAAAATGGTCATTTATAGTTGATTTACCTATTAATCATGGTGATTTTCCACATAAATCCCCATTTCCCCATGGTTTTCCCATGGTTTTCCCATGAGTTTACCATCAAACATTAATCTTTATATAATCGAAACAATCTCCAAGTAGGCCTGGCTCAGCCAGGCCGCCTGGAAAAGCTGGACACCATCTTCCGCGCAAAGACCGGAGAGTGCCTTGCGGTGAATGGTTGGGGTAAACCACTCTTGGAACTTAAAATGCTTGGGAAAGTGGTGGAAAGTGGTGGAAAGTGGTGGAAAGTGGTGGAAAGTGGTGGAAAGTGGTGGAAAGTGGTGGAAAGTGGTGGAAAGTGGTGGAAAGTGGTGGAAAGTGGTGTCAATTGACCTATCATTGTACCGCAACTCCGGAGATTTACCAACCATGAATCATCAGGCAATTTGCCGGCGATGCCTCGATCATTCCAAACTTGTTGAACAAAGAATGAAAAACAACTAGTTTAAGTGTGGTTTATGGTAGTTAATCTATAGTTAATGGGGTTTATAAACCAACTTAGCTGTCTTTTGGGGGCCCCTTATTGTAAGTTGGTGCCACTGATCAAACTATCCCAGACGTGGTTGACGGAAGATCTTGCGTTCGAAGCCAAAACAAAGTTTGTTGGACAAATGGTTTTCGGTAAAACAAAGTCAAAAGATCCAGTGAAACTAGCCAAACACATTTTGTGATGGGTCCCAATATGTCGCCGCAGTTCCTGAAATCTTGATGTAAGTTTGGTTATGTTTGGTTTTAGGGATGACTGTTGGAACACGGCGCCTTTTTGCACCGTGTTTTTCATCGCTGTCGGTTGAGGTTTCTATGCATCCACCTCTGGAAATTGGTGGTGAATGGCTTGCAGTGGACGTTGGGATCTCCCAGGTGTCAGGTTGGCAGATTTGGGCACCTTTTTTTCAGCCCAAACACATTATGAAATCATACATTCAGATATGGGGATGGGTCAAAACCATTCAAAACCTATAACCATGTTTGGGGGCATGGACAAGAATTACTGGCTATTTAGATGTTCACTAGAGTACCAGGGCTTTGATCGAATCCATGTTCATATTCTTTGGAGAGGTTTAAGATGCTTTGGTAAACAACAAAGTTGCGTTGGTAGATCTGCCAGCGTTGGATTTATTTTAGCCCTTCCGACGTGGCAACGGAACAACCGCATCTTCTCCATGTGAACGCTATCCTCTAAAACAACATCAAGCGAGTTTAGTTTGTTTCCCCAACACTTAGAATGGTCACGTCAAACATCTCAAAGATGCTCATTGCAGTGCAACTAGCCCAGACATATATGGAGAGGGGTTACATCACGCCAAGTATTGCGTTTGACCGCGTAAACATCAAAATAGGTTCAGCTTCCACTTTGAAAAGGGCAACACCTCCTCTCAACCTCTCAGAATCTGTCAAAGTGTATATAAACGTGATAATCCGTTCTTTCCCATCGTAGATTTCCCATCGTAGACAGTGTGTCATATTGGAAGCGCTTGCTTAAATCAGCATTGGTTATAAACTAACGCGCTATTCTGGTTGGTTAAGCCAGTGCAGTGGTCTTTTTGACTTCTTGAGTGTTGTTTGTTTTGTCACTATTTGATCTCCATAACAATATGATCGAACGAAGTTTAGAAGTCAAAATTCCGACAATATAGACAGATGGAAAAGCAGAGGTGGGAAGAGTCAGAGAAGAGAAGAGCAGAACAGAGAAGATCAGAGAAGAGAAAGAGTCAGAAGAAAGAAGATGCAGGTGCGCGAAAAGGTAGGAAAGTCGCGAAACACTGTGTTTTTCCAACGATTTGGGGCTCCGGAGGGTTGAAAAGTAGGCTCGCTAAAGCGGCAGGTGCGGAGCCATCTGGCCAGATGAGAGATGAAAAGTTGCACGCCGTTGTGGCGCGAAGCACATTTGGAAGTCAAAATGTACAAAACACACCATTCTCCCGTCAGCTCTGCACTCAACGTTCCATTTTTGAAGGACGTCTCGCAGAATTGCTTCGTTTTTGATGTTGTCAACTTGGAAAATTGAGGACGTCTCGCAGAATTGCTTCGTTTTTGGTGTTGTCATCTTCAAAATTTGAGGAAGTCTCGCAGAATTGCTGTGTTTTTGATGTTGTCAAATTCGAAATTGAAGAAGTCTCGCAGAATAGCTCCGTCTTCAAGCTTGCAGGTAGACAGATAGAAAGAACTACAACTACAACTACAACAACCACTACCACTACCACTACACTACACTACTTTGCTAATGCTACATTACACTACACGAATTAAGCACACTACAACTACAACCACTACAAATACAAAAACATATACAACTGCAACTACAGTACATTACACAACACTACACCACACTACTTTACACTACACTAATTCCACTACATTACACTACTACACTAAATTATACCACTCGACTAATTACATTGCACTACGCTACGCTACACTACAACTACATTACAGCTACACTACACTACACTACACTACACTCAATTACACTACACCACGCTACACTACAACTACAACTACCGCTACAACTGCAACTACACTACGTTACACTACACTATACTACACTAGTTACACTACACTACATTACACTACACTACACTACACACACTACATCTACATTTGCATCTACAACTACAACTACGGCTACACTACATTACACTACACTACACTACTACACTGCACTACACACAATTACACTACACTACACTACACTGCACTACACTACGCTGCGCTCACACTACGCTACACCTACAACGACACTTCATTACACTACACTACACTACACTAATTACACTACACTACGCTAATTACATTACACTACGCTGCGCTACACTACAGTACACTACACTACATTACACTACACTACACTAACTACATCTACAACTACAACTACAACTACACTACATTACACTACACTACACTACACCCCACTAATTACATTACACTACACTACACTCCACTCCACTACGCTACACTAGACTCCACTACACTACACTCCACTACACTCCACTACACTAAACACCACTACACTCAGTTACACTACACTACCCTACTCTACACTACACTACACTAACTACAACTACAACTACATTAGACTGATTCGACTACATTACGCTACATTACACTACGCTATACTACACTAATTACATCACACTACACTACACCACGCCACATTACACTACACCACACCACACTACACTACACTTACTACAACTACAGAGTACAGCTTCAACTGCAACTACACTACTTTACACTACACTATACTAGACTACACTACACCACACTACCTTACATTCGATTGCACTACACTCATTACACCACCACACATGCAACTGCAACTGCGCTACACTACTCACACTACACCACAACTACAACTCCACTACACTACAAGTACAACTACAGCTGCATTACACCACACTACATCCAGCAGTTGTGGGTGAGGTGACCGACCAGGTGAACCACCCCAAAAAACACAACTCCAACCACCTTCCGGTCCATCAGTGGATTCGCTCTGCCATCCGGGATTCACAACAACCAACCTCTCCTATAGGCTTCCTATTTTTGAAACTTCCGCCACCGCTTTGTGCGGTACTACTGGTAAGATTTTTTACATCTACAATATTATGATAAGATGTTTTTGATATCTTTTTCTATGATAAGACTATTTTTTATTTGATACCTATATGGCATGAAAACTTTTCCAGATTTCATATAGAACATTATCAGATAATTCCATGGTAATTAGATTATTTGATGTTAACATGGATTAACCTGATGACATGGAACATTAAATATTCCGGTTTTCCATTTTATGGGATTAGTGTTTTATAGCATTATCATATTTAACATTTTAAAACATGTCCAGATTTCTTTAAACATATTTCATATACCACATGTCCATTTTAAACTTTTAAGTAAATTAATTTTCTATATATTCCATGACCCAGAGGATCCATGTATGCTATATATAGTAACATTTACCATCAATATACCCCAAATGTTAGCATATATACCATACATGGATCCTATGAGTGATGAATATGTTAAGGAATTCGACTTGTCACCCCCATGGTTTCTCAGGAATTCAAGGAGGCGATCCGTCACGTCCTCTGTGCCGAGCTGAGCCGAGCCGTTGGGAAACGCAACGAGTCGAATGGTACGAGTCGAATGGTAAACCCTGTGGTGATTTTTTTTGGTATCTATGGTAACTAATATGGTATCTATCTATTTATGGTTGTATATCCACTCATTAAATATATATATATATATATATTATATATTATATATATTATATATATTATATTATATTATATTATACTATATTATATTATATTATATTATATTATATATATTATATTATATTATTTATATTATTTATATTATTTATATTATATTATTATATATATTATATTATATTATTTATATTATTTATATTATTTATATTATTTATATTATATTATATATATATTATATTATATATATTATATTATATATATTATATTATATATATATATTATATATATTATATTATATTATATTATATTTATATATATAGATATATATTATATTATATACATATATATATAGATCTGGAACTGGAAATGGACCCCAGGTTGGTGAAGTGAAAATTCCAGTAAAAATGTAAGGATAGAACCTATTGATGAATATGTGGTTGATATACAATAAAAAATACATAGGTTTCATCAGGTTTCTACTGGCAATGAGGATTTTGATGACGATTCAAAAACATTATGCTTGATCGTACGCTATACACGATGTGAAAAAATGTAAATTGTAAATCGTGTCATCAAAGTGGTTTGGATGCTCACCGATGGAACAATCCAGGAGCAAACGTGAATTAGGACCCAAAAGATGATACGATATTAATCTACATTACAGGTCTATAAGAAAAAATACTCCAAAATGCGAACGCCAAACAACTGGTAGCGGGGATGGCAGAAGGTGAAAATGGGCACTCCTCCATTCGTGTGCCGCATCTTGGCAACCTGGTTGTTTCATATTGTTTCTGGCTGCCTCAGGATATTTTCATGAAGCTTACTGGTAAACTAACATAACTATGGACAATCACCATTTTTAATGGGAAAATCCAGTATAAATGGCCATTTTTCAATAGCTATGTTAAATTACCAGAGGGTAATAAGGTAAATCATCCCCCCAAATTTGTCAATTTTGGGCGTTGGATGGCCATGCAGGAAGGTGATATGCTCGTTCAGCACGTGGGCATTGTGACACAGGTGCCTGGGTGTCAGAGTCCAGACCGGTGCTCGAACTGCATGTGGGATCTATCAGTGCTGGATGATTTCCAACGACTTTATCGACTTCACCCTAGTTATAAATACAATAGGTATAATTATTTCACTTTGGTGAATTCTCATACTTTAGCCAGAATGAATTATGTCAAATATGCCAAGGTTGCCAGCAATGGATGTATGAGGATGTATGATCTATGAACATGTGGGACCTCAATAACTAGCCTCAGAAGTGGAACTTCCAGCTGTTGGCTGTACAGTACAGGTGGAACTTCATCACCTTCACCAGCTTTGGATGATTTTTGGATCCATTTTCTCAAAGCCTCATAGGGTATTTTCATGGGTATAGAATTGGAATGTAAAATATCTTTGTGTTTGGCCATTTCTGGTAGTGAGATTCCAGCTTCAGCAGTTGCACGAGGCATGTCATGTTTTACTTTGATGCTGGACCGATTTCACCCGTTTCATTGTCATCTAACATTATTTTTCCCAAAATCGGATACTCACTATTTTACAGGGAGCAGAGGGTTCTCCTGTTTTTCTTGATTCGGTTATATCCTTCTTTCTCCTGATTGGGTCATATTAAACAGGGTTTAACTTGGCATTGGGACATCTAGATGGTGACCAGGGTTTTCAACATACGTCATCACGCCATCTATCGCCATCGAGATCAGCTCCATAGCACAGCCGCACAGCCAGAGCCAGGCAAAGATTGACTTTGATCACCCGAGCGATATTGAATGGATCCTCAAACCAGAAAGTGAGAGGCGTGGCCGGGTCGATCGGGGGCTCGTTTTTTTTTCGCTTTTTAAGGAAGGTCGATTCTCTGTAGTCAAAGTACTGTAGTTGAAGTAATCCGAGGGGAACAACAAGAATTAACAGAACATTTAATAGAACATTGGTGTTTACATACCCATAGGATCCATCTAGAGTATATTTACCTACATTTGGGTGATTTATGGGGTAAATGTTGGTAAATATTCCATACACTGAGCACATGGGATAGGGAAAGTGAGAGACATTAGGTACTATCGCTGGTTTGTGCCGCCAGTTGGAGAAAAAAATCACAGAAATTCAGGAGTGAATCTCATCATATCTCATCCGAAAAATACCCAGATTTTGGCACTGAAATTTGAACGTTTTGAGGGCCAGTAGTGAAGCAGGATTTCGTAGTAAAACATTATATAGCCATGGTATAGATGGCCCATAAAAATAGATGGTTTACCTATGAAAAATGGTGATTGTACCATAGTATCACTGGTTGGTACTTTGGAACATGATTTTGTTTATTTTCCCCAATAGTTGGGATGATGATCCAATCTGACTTTCATATTTTTCAGGGGGGCTGGAACCACCAATTAGTATACCAAGGGGGAAGAGATTACTGACTGGTTTGAAGGTCCAAGTACTCAACTGTCTCAACGACACCCAGTGGCGGTTGCCTTGCAGTGATGCACTCGATAGCAGACTTTCTGTCTCTGGTACACTCTCCATCAAGCAGTGCATGGCGATAGACTTTGAATCCTTATGTTTGCCAATTGTTTTTTCCGTGGATCCATTTCAGAGTTTGATGTACGTGTCTATTGTGGTTACCGTTTGGTAAACTAACATGTAACATATCTATGTAAGCAATGGCCCATAGAAATAGATGATTTACCGATTTACCCATTAAGAATAGTGATGTTCCATAATTCGTTATGTTAGTTTACTGGAGGGTATCTCTTTTGGCTACATCACCAGCTGATGCAAACGTCTGTTGAGTTTGCTTGGTCGATGGGCTGGAATAGTTTCGTCATCGAATCACAATGTGTTTCCGTTTTTACCCTCTTCAACTCAGTAAATTTGATACCCTCTAGTTATTTAACATAGCCACTGAAAATCAAAATTTTTAATAGGCAAATCAACTATAAAGGGCCATTTTCTATGGCTATGTTAAATTACCAGATGGTATTTGTTTTTTTAAGACCTTTTTGAATGTTTCAATTTCCTGGAGCATTCCCTTGAACTTGACAAAATTATAAGACTGGAATGTTTCATCAATTTTCTGTCCAGCTTCCTGTATTTGCTTCCTTCGAAAGTCCCTTGAAAATCATACATGCCTTAGTCTGAAAGTATGGTACCCCCAAATCCTATGTTTTCATGGTCTTTAAGTTCAAACCCACCATTAGATCATCCTTGTGGCTCGATGTGTTTTTGTGACAATTGGTGAAGAATTCCCTGTTTTTTCAGCCTTTGAATCCTCAACATTCCTCAACTCCCATCCTAAATAAATCAACAAAAAAACATTCCCATCAAGCCTTTTTTCATCCAAAAAACTCTTCATGGCAAACCTCCCATTACTTAAATCCCCATGAAAATCCCCCATGTTCATTCCACCTTTTTGTTCCACCCGTTTTTTTTTAACGGTCGAAAAGTACGGGTCGAAAAACGGGTCGGAACGTCCCAGGTGGATCCAAAGCGTCAGCACAGACCATCCCATGCTGGCCATCCAGAGCCGAAGTCGGGGGCCGTGCCTTGCCGAGATCGGTGCAGAAGAAATGGTGATTCGCCATAGTTATAATGGATATGATTCCATTTGGATTCAATCATTCACAGAGATTCAATCACTCATTAAGTTGAAACATTGGGGAAGATGTTGGGAAAATAATCTGGTAGGTGGTGACTGGAACCATGGAATTTTATGACTTTCCATATACTAGTATTGGGAATAATAATCCCAAATATATTTTGGCAGAGGGGTTCAAAGCATCAACCAGATTAACATAGACCCTGAAAGTTACGAATTTCTAATGGAAACGAATCTTCCAACCTCGATGACTGCCAGGGTCGAACTGTTAATTTACCAGAGGATAAACAATCGATTGGATTCCCCATTTTGTTGAAATTCCTAGTGGGATCCTTGTTTTCATCTTATAAGTGTTATGGGAATACTTATATTAAACTATGAAATTCCAAGGAGCAATATATAATATAAGTTCTGAGACTAGTTGAGACATAGCATGATATTACGCACTCCTTGGTTTATATTTGAAGGGGAACGTTTGTCCCCCTGATTGAAGGCAGCATTGCGCACACAACCTTCCCAGAATTGGGACATATTGGGACTTTTTGGTGTTTTTTGTTTTTTGACGGAGGGTTCATGAATTCGAACTTTGTATAGAATTTCTGCTTGGTGGTTTCAACTATGTTTACATGTTTACCGCAGGGTTTTTACTAACATAGATGTGGAAGACCTGGCTGGTTTCCCTCGGAAAATGATCGGTAAATAGTGGTTGATCCACCTAAAGGGATAAAAGGGTAATTGTCACATTTCAACCCTACAGGATGGTGCCCCATAGTTAGCTAAGTTGGTTTATAACCCAATCTAACTATAGTTATATCTGCCATAAACCATAGTTATGGGAGTTATATTCACCAACTTAGCTAACGAACTGGGGCACCACCTTGTAGGGACCCTATGTGGACAATCCCGGATCGTCCGAGGCAATCGTCGCCCTCAGACTTGGTTGCCATTCGGCTGCTTGGCGAAGATTCCTGGGACACAAGCGATTCCGCTTCCAGAAATATTGGGGCCCACCCCGAAACACACACACATTCTGTAGGCTTCGGAATCGCATGGTGACTGGGGGTTAGGCAACATAGAAATTACTAAAACTTCGAGTGATCCCTGGCATTCTATTCTGACATTCTAGTCTGGCATTCTATCTGGCATCGATTCTGACATCCTATTTGGCACCCTTTCTGGCATCCATTCTGACATTTTCTCTGGCATTCTATCTGGCATTCTTTCTGATATGCTTTCTGGCAACTATTTTGATATTCTTTCTGGCATCCTTTCTGGCATTCTATATCTGGCATTCTATATCTGGCATTCTATATCTGGCATTCTATTTGACAATCTATTCCGGCATTCTATCTGGCATCTATTCTGACTTTGTTATTCTGCCATTCTATCTGGCATTCATTCTGCCATTCTATTCTGACATTTTCTCTGACATAGGATCTGGGCCCGCGCTTGAGGTCCGGCAGTGCCAATTAAGAGAGCTGGAGTCGGCTGTTGGGACAACGCAAAGATATGGAAATCATGTGGGGATTCTCCCCGGGATAACATCTATAAATCGCGAGTGAATTGCCCAATATCTATCCTCTGGTAAACTAACATAGCTATTGAAAATGGCCATTTATAGTGGATTTTCCCATTAAAAATGGTGATTTTCCATAGCTATGTTAGTTTACCACTGGGTATGTTAATTTGATGTAGGGAAGATTAAGACATACTTTTCAGGAAGCTCCTTTTTGATGGGGTTCTTTCAAGATGAGTACATTGACAGGGACACACTTCAAATGCGTTTAGTGTCCTTAGTCCCAATTAGGCTGTGAAAGTTGATTTGCATGGTTCCAAGGGATCAGGATGATCAGGTCAGGTCCAACATGGTGAATCTGTGTTGCAGGTTTAAAGCAATAATTTGTGATGTATTGCGATGCTTAACTGTTTAAATGGTTTGTTTGGGGACCCAGGCATGTACTGGTACAGTATCTCATGTTGGTTCCAGATGAATGAAACCTGTGAAAAACTGTGAAACATATTCGCTCGGTCATTTTGTTGCCACAACAATTCCTCAAAGGTTTCGTAGCTACTGCACGCCCTTAACCGTATGTGTGCGATAGTCTGGCACAATCGGTGGAAATCAGGATGTTTGGGGCACGCGTCCCGATACATAAGTTTGAGAATTGGGGATGGATCAAACCCTATTCTACCATATTTTGGGGGATGAACATCCATAATTACAAACTATTTGGGGGTTCACCATGGTACCAGGGTTTTGACGAATATTCAATATTTAACTAAACCATACTAAACCCGTAACGTCCGTGGGAAAAAGGGGGTTAACCTAACCCCAAGAGATCGCGACACCGAGGTTGAAGTACGATGGCGAGTTGGTTGGCACGGCCAAACAGCAGAAATTTGTGAATTCCGAAGAGGCCACGGCTGGGTCACGGCGAACGCGTCACAGTGAACTCGGAGTGTTTTGGGCTGGAAGATCCTGGTTAGTTGCTTTCTGTAGTTTCATGTGGCTGGAAAGTCAGTAGCAATCATCAAGAATAACATGAAAACATCATGGAAAATCATCCCAATTTGCAGTGGAGAGTTCTGGTCACTTTGTAATAACCTACAAATTGGAATGAAAAACATAGAACATGATAGAAATTCAACATTGCCGTTAGCAATGGAAAAAAGTCGCCGATCTTAGATCTTTCAGCTGTTTCTGATTTTGATCTTTAAAAAATCATTCGTTGAGCTGGGGGCATTTCGTTGAGCTAATAGGTGGTGCATTAGGTATGTGGTTTCAATTCAAGTCATTAGGTATGTTTTCTTGGGCACAGAGAGTGTGGAAAAGTGCAGTCTTCTCAAGCTGGGTTGGTGTTTTTCTCTTTGGGGTGATTCTCCCAACTGTTCCTCACAAAATTCTAATATATGGTTTGACCTCGCCAAGAAACCTGATAATCTGAAGTTTTCTGAAGCATGTACAATTAGATTATCAGATATTTACAGATTATCATAGATATTTACAATTTATATATTATATATATTAGATATTTACAAAGAGAAAACTTTCTAGGATCTTTTCAGGACAGCTTGGAATTTTGAGCTACACATTTCGTGATATTTCGTGTAGGAATCTACATACCCTCTTTGTCTCCATAACGATATATATATATATATATAACTATATACGCGCAACGCCTGGGTTCTGCCCAGGCGTTGCAGCGTATATATGTCCCATTCACGAACAAATGATGTTGCGAATTACCATAATTCCTATGGGAAAAGTAACACAGATACTAGAGACTATCAAACAAACAAGGTCAAAACAACCGAAATTCCTATGGGAAAAACAAAAACGGCATAACACCTGCAATTCCTATGGAAAAAACAACAAAGGTACTAACAAATTTTAAACTCTCAAATCGTGAAGATTAAAATTCAATTAGGAAGATCAACAAAGATATTAGGGAATATTAAACTCCCACCCCCGTTAAACCTTAAATTCCTATGGGAAAAAAAACAAAGATACTAGGGACTATATATATATAAAAAAAGTCAAAACACCCGAAATTCCTATGGGAAAAACAAAAAGCGGTATTAGGGAATATTAAACTCCCACCCCGGTTAAACTTTACATGCAATTGGGAAGATCAACAAAGATTTTAGGGAATATTAAACTCCCACCCCCGTTAAACTTTACATGCAATTGGGAAGATCAACAAAGATATTAGGGAATATTAAATTCCCACCCCCGTTAAACTTTACATTCAATTGGGAAGATCAACAGAGATATTAGGGAATATTAAACTCCCACCCCCGTTAAACTTTACATGCAATCGGGAAGATCAACAAAGATATTAGGGAATATTAAACTCCCACCCCCGTTAATTTTTACATGCAATTGGGAAGATCAACAAAGATATTAGGGAATATTAAATTCCCACCCCCGTAATGATGATGATGATGATGATGATGATGATGATGATGCGTCGCCCGTCGTCATTGCGGGTCCGGGCAGAACCCAGGCATTTGCCGTATATATATATATATATATGAATTTTAATATTTCCTCAAAAGCATCTATTCATAGATTTGCTGAAGGTGAGTTAGTGTTTATTCTATGTTATTTTCCAGCTTGAAAATCGGCCAGTTTTGGCAAATGGATAGGGATATTTTTCCGTGGAATTCCATGACCTACTGAGTCAATGATCAAACAGATGGATTCGAACTTCAGTGTTTTGACGGGGTCGAAGCTGGAACCATAGTGCCACACCATAAAGGGTGCAAGTCCAGTTGTAGGAGATGTAACCAGAGGCTCTGGGGTCACATCCCAACTGAGGTCATCGTAGTCATACCGTACCAATGTGTTTCACCCAGCACCTCTAAGCAATCAGACATTCCACATGAGATCTGGACACTAATCCTCGTACTCTTGTTGTGTCTGCACGGATTCACTTCATGTCATCGCTGTCCAGCGGAAACAAGCTGGAATCAAGAGTTCAAAGAGCTTAACTCCAGATTCTAGCCACTCCTGTGCATGGAGCTGCCAGGGGCTTAACTCCAGAGTTAACTCCTTTCTAATTTCTAACTGCAGTTTACAGCCAATCCCCTGTCCAGCGAATCAGACACGTTCCTGACGATCATGTGTAGCGAATCAGTCGGAAAACTCCTGGAGCGTTGCCGCTCTGAAAATCGGAGCGGGACATGTGTTTGATTGTGTTTGAGCCCCAAAAAGAGCCATAGATGTGGTTAAAACAATGTCATGTTTACCATCCCCCAGTCATCACCATTTTTATAGGTTGTATTTGCACCATTCCCAGTCATGGGTGGTTAAAATGGCATTGTCAAATAACCACATTAGATCCAACATAAAATCCCATTAGATCCCATGAAAAATCACCACTTTTCATGGTGAATTCCCGATGGAAAATCCCGTGAAAATCCCATGAAAAATATAAATAATCCATCGATGGACAAGTCCCTATAGCATTCCAAATTTCCTTGGACAGCTGTCGCGACAGCCAGGATTTGCGATCATATCTGGGTGTCCAAAACTTAGTCAGGATGGAGTCAGCATTGCGCTAAAGCAAGGTGTGTAAGATTTTGCCAACAAGTTCATGTCATTGAATGTAGGGCCCAAGATTTTATCTGGTTGGTGGTTTGGAACCATGGAATTTTATGACTTTCCATATATTGGGAATAATGATCCCAACTAACTCATATTTTCCAGAGGGGAGGTATACCACCAACCAGTTATGTAGTTCTCTCAAAGATCATTTCTGAGGGATTATCCTTGCCCCCAACTCCCAGGCACCGCCCATAGCCCCATCCAAGTCATTGGACCCAGTCAAACAACCAGACCACTGGGATCCGCCATGACTTTCGACGGGAGGTTGAGGGTTTTTCTGGCTCAGGTACAGATGGACGTGGCAAAACTTCAGGCCGAACTCAAGCTTGGCAGTCAGGATGTGTAAACGCTATTGGATTGAAAACCGGAAGGGTAAAGGGTAAACCCCCATCGAACAACCAACAGACCGGCCCATTTGTTTTTCCCCAAAAGGAAATTGCAATGATGTTCTCACTGGAAGATGGTCGTGTTTGGTGTCCATCTTAATCTGTTGTTTTTTTTTTGTTGCGATTTGCAAACAACATTGGAGGTGTGGGGATGTCTATCTTACCCAGCAAGTGCCAGTATGACAGCGGGCTGCCCCAACCATCTTATTGCGATATTGGCATATATTGGCTGCATTTGTTTATTGGTATTTCAATTTATTTCAAAGATTCTTGGTTGATATTGCCACCATTTCCACCATTTGTTACCTCTATTACAGTAGTATTTGTGGAATGTTTGGATGAATAGTCCACTTGTAGACTTACCAACACTGCTGAGCAACATTCCTGGGTCCCGTTGCCGACGTGAAACAGTGATAGAGCTAGGATAGATGAATACCATTGAATACCGCATACCCCAATTCAAGATGTGTAATGGTTATAGCATATATAATACACTAACCCACACAGTATATATCATACTTTACATGTATGATAATATGATGTACTATGATGTATTATATATTATACAATGTTATAGCATGTGATAGCCCATGCACAAGTGAGACTATCATGTTCCAAAGCCATTGCAAATTCCCTGCGCCTTTGGAGTTTCCATGTTCGCTTTGCAGGGTGTAACTGGGGATGAAGTCTGCAACATTCGGGTGAAGCTTAGTTCATCTTAGTTCGAACCCCTTGAGGAAAGTTTTTTAAAAAAAACATGTACTGTGGCCCCCAGGTATGTTTGTTTTGTTTATAAACCCCGTGAATTGTATTTAAAAAAACACAGTGTTTCCGCAGGTTTCCCACCAAAGTTCCCTTGCCAACATCAACGCCATGAATGCGAGTCCTATCACCCCATCTTTCTGCGACAACGTCAGAACAGGACAAAGCCACTGAAGGCGGAGAAGACGAGGTGTGTTTTGGGGCTGGCTCAGTGGAAGAGAAACGTGGCAATGGAAAATCCATTGGTCCATTGCTGTGTCCATTGCTGTGTTTGATTACCAGAGGCTACTGATCATTCTGTCCTCTAAAAAGATTGGAGAATCTAGAAGGCCACAAAAAAATCGAATTGAGATTGAACATCACGAAACATGAGTGGATCCAAGCAGCCGAAACCCAAGAAGTGCTTGGATTTCATTGACAGTTCTGGTGTGTCTTGCTCTATGTCTCCCAAGTATCAAAAACAAGGCTTTCGAAAGAAATACCATGAGGCCTACAATCTAGACTAAACTGGTCCATTTTTTTTTGCATAAAAACACCCTCCCTTGGTGTTTCACCTTCTTTTTCCCGGAAAAACCCGGAGGAAACACCCTGTCACCGTACAGGAGGTGGTGAGGCATGCCCTGACCACCGAAGGGCTGATGATGTTGTTGATCAGCCTCGCATGGAGTCACTGGATCCCAAAATTCATCGATCGCTTGTGAGTTGATGCACAAATGGCACAGAATGATACATAGATAGTAACTAACGATACATAACGATACAATGGCACATAATGGCACTGTGGTTGAAGGTTTTTTTTGTTAACACATTTCCAATGTCACTATGGTTGAATGATACAAAAATAACAAGAATTCGTATGGGGTTTGGAAGTCAAGAAACATCAGAATTTGTGGGGCCCCACTTTGCTGAAACCTGGGTCAAAACTTGGAGACGACAAAGAGGCCTTATATTTATTCATATTTTGCATGTTCAATTTATATCTGGTTGGTGGTTTCAAACATTTTTCATTTTCCATTTCATATATGGGATGTCATCCTTCCCATTGACGAACTCCATCATTTTTCAAGATGGTTTTTTAACCACCAACCAGATTTGATTCTACATGGTTCTACGATTCTACTGGTTGGTAAACCGCCACAACGGTCACCATCCATGAACTTGGAATATCTTGGAATCCAGGTCTGAACCAAGCAGTTTTTACGCTGTGCCGCTCCATGGTGCTGGAAGATTCATCAACAACCCGAAAAACATCATCCTTAAATGTAGGTAAATAATATACCACCATGGGTTGCATCTGGGGTATACATTTTGAAAAATGGAATGACAGATGGTTTTGTGACAGGGTATCTGTAAAAAGGGGGAATGAAACGAGACTTGGTCAAGCCGTTGGGGTCAAAGAAAAAGGATTTTGGGGGGGGGATCACAACGAACTCCTCTCAATGCCCTGAATAAATGGCAAATTATTGTCCAAGATATTGAAGTTGAAGTGTTCAAACAATATAAGATAATAATGGAACAGGCCGTAAAAAACCGTATGGGATCCGCGACTTGAGGGGACTTTTTTGGCGTTGTCCTGCTGGTTTTGCATGGCTATGTTAACCAATTTTTCCTTGATTTAATCAATTTAATTCCATTTTTCTTATTGAACTCCATTCCAATGCTAAAAAAATGTTGGTTGAACATCATTGTTGCAGTCCCCCCTTGTTGATTGTTCCTAAACTATGTTGGATACGCCAGAGTTTGTTGCTCACATCCCTACAATGTGAGGCCCCCCAGTTATAAGTTGCTTTATAAGTCCCAGTAACTAGTTCGTTATTTGCGTACCATAAACCAGTTCGTGACATTGGACTTATGTGAACCCCAACTGAACGCTATCGTAAACGGGGGCCTCACATCGAAATTTGATCGCCTGAGCGCCGAGGTCAGAGCACATTGATGTTATCGGGCCAAGATCATCGTTATTGGAAAAGTTTCGTTAAGGCCTGCGCCGTGCTGCGCCAATTTGCGCTTTGTGGCGTGGTTTTTTGGGGAAACAACAACAGTTATTGATAGAAACATTGGAACCCGGGAATTATGGTTCGGAAGCATCTTGAAAAAAACACATCCTGGACACATTTGGTAATCTCACATAGATATGGAACGTGCCCCGTGAAAATAGATGACATATCCATGCCATGGCCATAACCATAATGTTGCTTTTCCATAATCCGAATTATCAGTTGATAGATGGTAAACATCACATTGCATCCTACTGGGTTCAGGGTTTCAACAGTTTCAACCATCCTTTTGGTGGGATAAACCGTGATAAACCCAAACAAAATAATGTGATGCTTACCATCTATCAACTGGTGACTTGGATTTTGCAACCATCCACAGTATCCAATACACTGGACGAGCTTCCGAACGGCTTGGGCATGGCCGGACTTTGGGTTTTGTTCAACATTCAATGGGAATTCCAGGATCCTAAAATGGAGGTACTGTACCATATAAGGCCATATTTTGGGGGGATATCCCCTTACATAGGCCTGAAAAATAGGCCTTATATATGGTAGGTACCTCCAATAAATCGGATCCTGAATCTCATTGAAACATGTAGATGAGTGGCAAATGCGGGAGACACTGGTCGGAGTTGGACGAATGGCTGGTTTTCCTGCTCAGTCGACTTGTGACTCGTGAGATGGGGCCCTGGGGTCAAAACTACCGAGACGATGTTCAGTAGTTTCAACATCTTTCAACCATCCTCAAGGTTTGTTGTACATTTCACCCACAAGTCTAGTTGATTGTATTATCTTGAAAATTCCTTTGAAACAGATGAGGAAAAAGTATGAGGATTAGTAAACTTCTCCAGAGGGGCGCTGAACTCAAGTTGTGCCAATGAATTGCCATAGTTTCATCATAGTTCATCTATTTCAGCAGGTGCTGGGTGAGGCATTCAAGGAAATCCCTCTACATGAAGCCCCGGGTTGACAGTGTAAAGTTCTGAACCCCAAAAATGCGACGTCTCCGAGAAGGGTAACGTGAAGTTCATGGCTTAAATTTTAGCGAAAAAGTCATGTTCTAATAGCAATCTACTATCCCACTGTGGTTCAGATGTTTACCCCACTTCGTAATACTGACAATCGATAGCTATCATCTATTGACTATTCCACAATAATAACAATAATAACAATAATGACAATAATGACAATAATAACAATATTAATACTATATAACAATAATAATATATAACAATAATGATATGAAATATAATGTATCTATATATAATATAATATACCATATATAATATATAATATATGATATATATAATATATGATATTTAATATATAATATATAATATATAATATATAATATATAATACATAATATATAAAATATAATATATAATATATAATATTTAATATATAATATATAATATATAATATATAATATATAATATATACAATATATGTAATATATAATATATATAATGATTAATAATACTTATTATTAATATTGATGTTTGGCCCGTGCCCGATCTCCAAATCCCAACGTGCGTTTGGTGCGTTTGTCCTGGATCGTCCTCTTGGGGAAGCACCAAAGGTTCCTAGTACATTTAATCTAGTTGTTTATAATGTAAGATATACTATATTACATAATGTATAGATATATCTATTCTATAATGTAATATAGTATATCTAGTTTTTTTCTATATATTATAGATATACTATATTATGAATATTCATTATAGATATTATTTTACATTTATAGAATAGATATATCTATATATTTATGGATATTACATTTATATACTATGATCTATATCACTGGATTGGTTTACGGGAAAAATTACAGGAAAGCCCTATATTTCATGGGGAAAACCATGGTTTCCTGTAGGTTTTCCCTTCAACCAATCCAGTGACTATAGATACAATGTGAGGCCCCCAAGATATAAGTTGGTTTATAAGTCCCAGCAACTATAGTTATTTGCGTACCATAAACCATAGTGACATTGGAGTTATTTGCACCAACTTAGCTATCGACTGGGGGCCTCACATTGTAAGTTGAGACATTTCAGTGGCTTAACTATGGTTCATGATAGATATAACATTATATAACTATAGTTTTCATGGGGGTTATAGATATCTATCCAGTGATCTATAGATATCTATACTATATCAATAGATATACATTTCTGCACCACAGCGCAACGCAGGCGATGCGGAGTCATCCCGATGAACCCGGAAGTGGAACGTTGAGCCATGGCAACCATTGGGATTTCACCATGAAAAGTGGTGATTTTATGTTGGGATCTTTCATGGATTTTATGTTGGATATTATGTTGGTTAATGATGGTTAATGATGATTACATCATCTGGTTGGTGGTGACTGGAACCATGGAATGGATTATGACTTTCCATGAACAGTTGGGAATTTCATAATCCCAACTGGCGAACTCATATTTTTTGGAGTGGTTGAAACCACCAACCAGTATAGGATATTTAATATATATATATAAGATATGCAAGATATGTACTAGTTATGGATGGTATCATGTATTAGTTATGAAGTTATATAATATATAAGATAATACATGATATATATATATATATTCACCATCCAGCTATACCAGATTTGTTTTGGGGGAACCGTTTGGGTACAGGTTTTTTTGACCCATATAAAGTAATATCCTGAAGTAGATAGAACATGGATGTTTAAAGGGATTGAACATATAGAATATTCCCATTCGGGGAATAATCTTGGAATTTCCATGTGCTATCTACTCCAAAGTCGTTATGTATATATATATATAATCATAGTCATATGCATATGTCTATACCTGTGTCTATATGATGTATACAAAATATGTCCCAGTAATTCGAAATTAGGTTCAATTTTCTCCAAGTTTTACAAAGTGGGTATGGGTCAAACTGGTCAAAACTGGTACCCTCTGGTAAACAAACTTGAAAATGGCCCAGTCGAAATAGTGGATTTACCTATTAAAAGCAGTGTGATTTTCCATTGTTTTTTGCACGTTTACCAGAGGGATCCAGAGGGAATATCCATGTGAATCCATATGAATGGGCCATGTTCATCCATGTTCCATTGTACGTTTACCAGAGGGTAACCCTTGTTCGAAGGTGATCTCCTTGACCTAGCATGAATCATGAGATGTTTTGATTGTCGGGGAAACATCTAAACATCATTTGTCCTGCCATGATTGTATATCTTGATGATTATGATCATTATAGTATCATATACATTCATATAATGTATGGAAAATGCATTTATACAATATAAAATGTGTGCTGTATTCAAATCATTTGTGGAAAACATGTCATGCTCCGCGGCTGTGGTTCTATATGTGTTTCCAATCTTCTCAGCAGACAGCATAACTCCGATAGTGTAAGAAACTGTCACTGTTCTGTCCAAGGAATGGCTACCCTTCTGAGTGGAACGTCATGGATGCGACATGGCTAAAGACTGGCATGACTGGATGGTTTGTTTAAAGAGGCGTTTCACCCATTTCACTCTTCTCAATGGAATATTTGTGGAACAAGAACCAAAATACGTCAGGATTTAAGCAAGGACTGGGATACCACCCAGAACTGATGGTGGTTCATTGGGGGACTATAGTGACTATACCCTCATTCATCAGTTTTTTCTTGTTTTTTCTTTACCGCGAACTAACTCGATTTTTTAAAATTTGCATAAGGTGATGTCAGGCAAATACCTCACCCCAAATCCTGAAGGGCCCAAATGGGGATGTACCAGACATCTTCATCAAATTTCACATGCCCTTCGTGGAGAGATGATTTTCCGGATCCGGTTGATGTAGCTATTTGGAGGGTCCAGTGATTAATGTGAGTTTCCAGGTAAAAGCACTTAGAAAAACCATTAGCAACTCCTCCTGTAAAGGCTTGTACATTTTACAAATAAGTCCCTAAGTTTACATTTAAGCATCATTTTACAATATTTTACATCCGTTTTTCAGAACCAAAGCCACATGACCAACTCGTCCCTCGTGTTTTTATCTGCCGAAGATCTCACCAGGTGAAGAAATACTTGGCGCAACACTCTTGGTGGTTGAGAATCCATGGCTTGGGAACCACAGATTGGGTTGATACCCGGCCTGGTAAACTAACACTTCACTATGGAAATTGGGTAAGTTATAGTTTTCTTTATAAAACCTATTAAAATTTTGTTGATTTTTTATGGCGAAGTGTTAGTTTACTGGAGGGTTTCATAAGTCATGAGGGTACCCCCTTGCATCATCCAGTGGTGATGACCATGACGACTGGTATTGAAACCTATGATGACTTGGGAACGATTTTAAGAAACTTCCAAGTGATACTTGGGAATTGGGCTGGGGAATCTTCCCCACATGCGTGGCTAAAAATTATGACTCAGGATTTTCAGGTTGCTGAATGTGACGTATCCAGAATGATTAAGTGACGTGATTCTGGGCTAACCATGGGAAAACATCTGGTACCCATTTCCTTAGGCTTATTTAACAGCTGTGGAAAATGCCCGATGTTTTTGTGATAATCGATATACCTGATATACCTATTGAACATGATGATTTCCATAGCTTCGTTAAAGAACCACAGTATAAATGACGTCATTGTGGGATAATACGGGAAAGATATTCGGTAAATGTTGGGTTCATGATCGTAGACACCGTCCCTGAAGTTTACAATTGATATTGGGTATGTCAATGGGAATTCCAGGATCCTAAGATGGAGGTACTGTACCATATAAGGCCATATTTGGGGGGTATATCCCCTTAACTACATAGGCCTTGCATAGGCCTTCTATAGGCCTTACATATGGTAGGTACCTCCAATTTAGGTTCCTGAAATGGCCATTGAACATCATCAAAGTTCTCCAAGAATCACAATAGCAACGCTCAGAAACTGCATTGATTGTTTGTCAGATACGTTAGTATTGAGACCAAGCTCATATTTTCGACAATCTTGGTCAAATAGGAGAGCCTGGAAAAAATATGTAGGGCTTGGATATTTTGGTGGTGGTTACTAAAACTTTATTGAGGTCCAACAAAAATAATTATAATCTTTCAGACCCGATTTGTTTGCCTGGATGTTGGTTTTCAGGAGGTTTTTTTCAATGAAATAGCTGGGTAAAATTCATGGCCATACCCCTTAAGTATTCATGGGTAAAAGTCGACTTAGGGGATTTCATTCCCTTTTGGTGCATCGCATAGGCCCAGGATCATCCCAAATCCAATGGATTGGTTTAAGGGCAAATTTTAACCGGAAACCATCGGTATTTTCCCATGAAGATCATGGGGCTTAAACCGGTTAAAATTTTCCCTTAATCCAATCCATTGAATTCTATTTTTTCGAAACATCCCATCCCCTTTTTCGATAGTTCCCGAGTAAACGGTTTGTATTTACGGAGAGTTGATGGGAATCTGGTTGGTGCTTTGGATCATTTTTTTGAATATTTGTCCATTCAGTTGGGAATTTCATCATCCCAACTGACTCATAGTTTTCAGAGGTATACCACCAAACAGGAATGTATTGATAAGATATACCAAACATTCAGTCCTTGAATGGGATGAAGGCAACATCTGGGCTGGCTGATGGTTTGGTTCATCTTCTCCGAGATGGGTAAATGGGTCTGAAAATGGGGTACACCGGGTACAGTATATGCACCAAAATGGCAATTTCAGGAATTAACATTTATTATTCAGTGTATTTGGGGGGCACCACAATGTACCATATTTTCAGACAAAGCAAACGCCTCAATTGTGAAGAAAGCAAATACTATTGTACATTCGTGTTTTGTATCTGTCAACATCCCATTACATCCCACAATCCTCTTGATATCATTTTATATCCCCATTCTGGTTGATTTTAGAGCAGCATATGTCAGACTGTCAAATCACCATCGCCATGTGACACAGTGGAGACCCCGGAACGATAGCTAGGTTGGTGAACATAACTCCAATATCTCAATGGTAATTTCAGGTACTGTACCATATAAGGCCATATTTTGTGGGGATATTCCCTTACATAGGCCTTACATAGGCCTTATATTAATGGAATCGGTACCTCCAATCAATCGGTTCCTGAAATGACCATTGAATATCTACTTCTTTACGACACTTATGATTAAAGCCATAGCTATAGTATGCTATACCCTCTGGTAAACTGTTACATAACTATGGAAAGATCCACCATTTTTAATGGGAAAACTCACAATTTCTATGGTCATTTTCAATAGCTACGTTAAATTACTAGAGGGTAGTTAAATTCGGTTGATAAATCAAGTTATAATAAAACGGGGCCCCACATGGTCCATTTTAGACATTACACGATTGGTACCAGATTGGTGGTAATCCATCATTTCCTTTCAATGTATCCCAAATTGGCCCAGGAAATACTTTAATTGTAATTAGACCATGTGAACTGAACCCCTAGTGTTTATGAACCTTATTATTTATTGCTGTTTATGGTTACCAGACTTGTTCTTGCTTAAATCTTCTAAAATTCCTAATAGTTGATGGTTGAATAACTGAACAACATCAGGGCAAGAAATGCAAGTGATACATGATGTATAGGATGATCATATCCCTTTGTATCCCCATTGAAACATGATTATACCGCCATTCTGCTTGGTTATTAATCCCTCCATAAATTTAGAATCTACACATAAATATTATGATATTATTTATACACCAATGAAATTGTTGCTTTTGTACATCCATTAAAACCAACCTGATCATGGCTTTTCTTCCATAATGGGATAATCTACCTACATATACTATGATTAACACCACATAAACTATCCATTTTTTTCTGATGAACATCACCATGGTTTCCTTCAGAAAACGGCCTTCAGAAACCAAGGCTGGGATACTGAAGCGGTTGCTGAGCCGCCTGTTGAGCCGCCATCTCAGTCCCCAATCTCCCCGGCGACCACCATTCCGGGGGGGGAGTCGCCCTAAGATTTCCAAGGCGAAAGAAAGGAGCATACACCATGGGGATGTATGAAATAAAGAGATCCATGATTCTATCCATGTATTTATGATATGATGATTATGGATGATGATGGTTTCCTTATATTTATGGATGAATTCTTTGGATTTATGATGATGATTTATGGTGCATATACCAGCAAGACAGATAGAAATTAAGAATGAACCTATGGTTTATGGATGTTCATGGTATCGACATATCATCTTAATGATAATCTGGAGTCTGTACCCTTAGGTAATCAAACGTGGCTGGCTAGCTGGGAAATTCCCGAACTCAATGTGGATTTTCCATTGCCATCTTTGATTGCCGAAGGGTAAAGAAAATCCCCAAAGCAGATAGAACAACAAATAATCACTATGTGAGTACAATGTTACCTTTCTATCTTTTAGTAGTTAGAGTTACTCTGCATAAGTTCAGAAGTTAGACAAACTTGTAGAACAATGATAAGCAACATAAACAGGGATGAATTAGAATAGCGAAATCGGTCGACTTCTCACAGGAAGAGGTCCCCCTAGAGGCCCGGTAAGTTGGTTTATGACTAGGCTAAGTAAGATCGATGATGCTATATTTATACTATGGATTCGTTTATAAGCACCAAACACAAGTGGGGTGCCCTTTTGGCATGATTTCTCCGAATACTATAGAATTTATCAACCAAAAAAAGGTTACCAGACGACTACAAACGTGGTTATTGGCAGAGATTTATGTGTTTATTGAATGCTGAAGCCATTAAAAAACATATAGGTGGTGAAACAGGGGAAGGAACCTTGGCATCGCCCAAAATGGATGGATGAGTAGCTACTGTATCAGACTATATCAGACTATATCCATCATCAAGAAAATAGTGAATGCAAAATTGTCTCAGAATGCTCGAAATATTCCAGCTTTTTTAAGTGGCAAACTCCTAATTGTTGCAGGGTGTCTCAGATTCGTCAGCAAAGATCTCACCAAAAATCCTGGTCCTTTTCGGTGAAACGCATCACCTGAAATGGCTTCGTGAAACCTGCGAAGCCGGATGTGAAAATAACAGCAACGTGGCATGGCGTGTGATGAGTTTCGGGGTATTAGGCGCACATCAAGTTATGGGTGAATATGGGTGAATAGTTAAAATGGGGAATCCCCAAGTCACCATGGGTTGAACTACTAAACTAGTCTAATTTTGCATGATTGGGGGATACCCCCCATTTTAGGAAACCTCCATATGTACATCTTCATGGATTATTATTTTATTGTTTGCCATTTGATGGAACATCTGATATTTCAGCAGAAAATCAACTCTTTCCAAAGTACCTAATAAATGTCATGTTGGCGGTTCAACAGTAATCATACAAAGTTGATGCTTATAGAGCAGCCGTGAGGAAGCTGACAAAATGAACGCATTGCAAACATATGTATGTATATATATATATAACGCTATGCAATTATATATCAATCACATTTATGAAGTGTCCTGTCAATTCCTGTCAAAAGAAATCTAGTACCTTGTTCCTCGTTCGTTGTATCATCAGGCGCTGCCTGCTTTCAAAATCAGGAAATGAATGAGCGTATCTAACTCCCCTTATCATGTGGTCAGACAACATTTGCGGTATCTGATGTTTTACTTTTTGGTTGTCATGAAGGATTTACATTGGACAATAACCTGGAACGGTATTCCTACAAGTCGTGAAAGTAATTTTTCACAAAACCTTCCAGCTTGCATGATTGCCATTCTTGTCCGCTCAGCTTCAAAGAAAACTTCAAACATGTTTGCGATGCGTTGAATGGCACTGGAGGTTGTCTTCAAGAAAGATAAGAAAGCAGGGGCAACTTTGATCAATAAAATAATTCTGATGTTAGTAAAACAATTGCAAAATATCCACCATTTTACCATAAATGTGTGGTATAAACTATCCAAATATGGATGGTTTCCTGTATTATTCGTTTACCAAAATTACGTTCCCTCAACACACAGAGTGTAGTATCGTGTCAGTGGGGTATGTATATCATATACATATACATGCATTTACAATACAAATATATGGCGCACACACACACTCACACACACACGCATATATATATATATATGTATTGTGTATCCATGTCGCAGTACCTCCAAGGTTTTGAGCAGGCCAGAGTGTTTCTGAAGATATTTGAGACCTGACATTTGTTCGCTTCTTAAGATGGCTGTGGGAACTAAAATCAAGTTGTCGACGTCAGGCCCTGAGACCACTCCATGCATTCATGTTTAAAGTTTCCCTTTTCATAGAACTTGCTAGTCATAGATGCTTGAAACCAAACGACCCACAAGTTACTTAGGGCTAAACAAAATTATTCCATAGGTTGCTGCATGTTACATTGTTGTCATCTGGGCCATGTTTGCATATACGGACCATGACATGTGCCTCGCATGCCATGGAAGAACGGCCATGCCTCAGATGAGAGAAGGACCGGCCTCGCCTTTGATTAGGTGACCCTAAGGGAGCTACTGTAGCACCACTGGGGGTTTCCAGAAATGTGGCTATCCAATAGCTGGTTGGTTTATTTCATTTATTTCGTGGAAAATCCCCATCTAGAAATGGATGATGACTGGGGTAGCCCCACTGGATTTTTGGGGAATCTTCTGTGATTTTTTTCATCTTTACATAGGCCTGATATATTATGGTAGGCACTCGTACCCCCAATTTTGGTTCCTGAAATGGCCATTGACTTAATACTCTTGAGTTACTTGGTGGGAAGAATTATATAATTATTCATCATATCTGCCAGAAATGGGACAAAAAAAGTTGCCAGGATACTTTAGAAGTATCCACTACGTGGCACTAACTGTACTTGCTGGGGGAGCTTATTTTGATACTAATCATGTCGCAAGTGCCATAAATGCCAGCCATAAATGGAAAGAATTGACCCTTGACCCAACCGGCTCCAGATTTGGTTGCAGATCCAAACCATCCTGCGGGCAGATGATCGCAGCCACCACCCTGGCAGATGATCACTACCAGCCACCGTGCCTCCAAATTTGCTTGACGTGAAAGAATTGGAGGTACCAAAAAAATAAGGCAATTTTTTGAGGCCTATGTAAGGAATATCCCAACAACATATGGCCTTATATGGTACAGGATGGGGCCCCCCAGTTATAAGTTTGTTTTTTGACCCCATCATACCCCATCTAAATATAGTTAAAAGTATCATACACTATTGTTATTGTCTGGAATATTTTTTATTTTTCCATATAATTATTGGGAATAATGATCCCAATTGACTTTCATATTTTTCAGAGGGGTAGGTCAACCACCAAGCAGTAGTTATATGGTAGAGTACCTCCATTTTAGGATCCTGAATTTCCCATTGATTTAAGAGACCCTGGCAGTTGATAGCTTAAATACCTATAACATGATAACACCCTACATCAGAAAAAAGAAAAACACAACTCATTTTAGGATTTCCATTTCAATTTGTTCCCATTGATTGAAACTCTTTCCTGACCCCGGACGTTTCGCAGGCCGTTCCTCCAGCTGCGTGTGTTCCGCAGACAGGCGGCTGCAGTGGAGGCGGAGCCGCCGGCGACCGAGCTGTACGACTGAGGTGTCGACCCCCCGAAAAACCGGACAACCCATAGGAAAATGGGTACCCTCTGGTGAACTAACATAGCAATGGAAAGATCCACCCATTTTTCATGGGAAAATCCACTATAAATGGCCATTTTCCATTGCTATGTTAGTTCACCAGAGGGTATCTAGTGGGATCTATATAACTGATTTTAGGAATCAACAACGAAGCATAGGAAAAGCACTGGAAGATGATGATTTTAGAAAGACAGGGGATTTAGTGGGATTTAGAGCTGAATTATGATAGCTAAGTTGGTTGAACTATATATAACTAGATAAAGTATGGGTTTATGGTAGATATCAGATATATCGAAGTAGTTAATGGGTTTATAAACCAACTTAGTACTGGGGGGCTTCACCTTGTAGAAGCCATGTCATGTAATTAGCCATAGTACCCTCCGGTACTTCAACATAGCTATGGAAAACCACCATTTCTAGATTCTAATAGATTCTTAGATAGATCATCTGTGCATCGCACATTTTCCATAGCTAAGAGCTAAGTGTTAAATTACCAGAAAAAAAATAACGCTTATTTGTTAAGTTTCACATTTACAGTTGAATCTCCCAGCTATAAACTTCCATGCAGTTCAGGGATATATGATCGGATCTATTGGGACATGATGAGATGTAGGATATATGGGATACTTGGGAAATCCACAAACCCACTGGGGTACAAAAAATGGGATATCGACGATGACTGATATAGATGAACATAGAGAATATATGGGATGTATGGTTTGCCTAGATGTTTATAGTTATATATAATAGACCCACTCATAGACCCACTCAAAACCAATTATCGGATTCTAGTAGGGTTCATACTGTCATAACATGGAATATATATATATATACATACCATCCATAGTTGGACAAGCATCCATTAGTGGATATGTATATATATATGGTATATGTACTTGGTTTAAAATTGATCATGGGATATAATTGGGATAATGTGAACTGCAGATTACTGTAGTAACTCCCTTGGCTCTTGAATTGGGGCCACCATCTCAGGGCAAATTACCACTATTTGTGGTGAACCACCAAATCAATCAACAGGATGTTATTGATATGGGCTTGACATTGCAAATAATGTAATATAATATTTCCTTAACACAGTAGGGTCCACAATGGTTACAATAGGGTATATGTGATATAATAGGCCCATGAAGCCATTAAAGTTCAATTATCCGATTGTAGTCTGTTTACAATGGTTTATAATTACATGGTGTATATCCCACAGGTTTTCACATACCGTACGATGATTCTAATCATTAGATATCTGATTATGGCAGGGTTTATTATGGGATATAATTTGATCAGAATCTGTACATGGCTATATGATTGTGCTTGGGGATATATAAAAGTCAACATGCCAATTTTGATCCATTCTCGACAACCATCCTCGGGTTGAACTGGGGATATCGTGGGATATCTCTATACTCTATCCAACTTGATATGAAAATCAGTTGTGTCTGAAAGAGGGATATGCTCCCACACTAGTAATTTCAATGAGGAAATGTATGATATTTTATGATGGATGAAGCATGGGATGTTCGGGTAATCACGGCAAACCTGCAGTCAACAACAAGGTGGAATTGATCAACAACATGTGAATACTGTAGTCAAGCTCTACGTATTTGAATTGTTTGAAGCAACTGTGAGTTTTCCCTGCTGTAAACCAACATAGATGTGGAAAACGACCATTTGTAGATTGTTTTTCCAGGGCAACCCATTGGTTTTCCACATCAATGTCAACGTTTACCCCAGGATAGTCGAGAAAAAATCGAATCGAAGAACATTGGGATTACGACTGCAATCGAATCGTTAAACCCTGGAGATGGTGACAGTCCCCCAGATTTGAGCGATTCTGATTTAACCCACTCTCCGGTCATACGTAACAGTTCGCTATGGTGGCACGATGGCCCACGGAAATAAATATGTTTTACCTAACAATGGTGGTTGTCCATAGCCATGGTCATATACCCTCTGGTTATGACTCACATAGCCATGGAAAATCACCATTTTTAATAGGTAAACTATCTATACATGGGCCATTTTCCATGGCTATGTTCAATAACCAGAGGGTAAAATGTGTAGACCCTAGCGTATATGTTTGACTCGTTTTGGAAGGCAACATTTATTCATATTGCATTCAAGAACTGACCGGAAACTGGTCCAGACGTCTCAAGGTTTGAATTTCGACAAGTGCCACTCATTTTGTAGAACATATTTTTCCCATTGACCGTTGAGCGCCTCAAAAAATGATGGATACTAACTTTTCAAACATAATTCTTGGAATCCAATTGGGAGTTCCTAAAATTCTACAGTATAGAGTATACATGGACATGGGTCGAAAACACTATTCAACTATATGGATGCCTCCAAATCGGGCTCCTGCTCTTTGAATAAACTAATTCTGGCAGAAATACCCAAATGTATATATATATATATTATATATATTATATATATATATTATATATATATTATATATATTATATATATTATATAATATATATATACATATGTACATATAGTTGGGTCGAAAGCTTTCCAACTGTAAGATAGCATGTAGATATGTGATGTGGAAACAATGCCAATCAACCACATGTGAAGACAAACCTGAATGGCTGTTTGTACGTGCTGCTGGAGAACCTATTTCTCTAGAAAGACGGAATAAGTTTTGTATGTGGACGAGAGTCCCAAATTTCCCTTGAAAAGAAAGAGACAAACCAGAAAGGGATGGATTGAATTTGAGTGATTTCACGATCAAATATGGCTACTTGGCTCGTGCCTAGTCACCACCTATGACGAGGTTGTACCCCTGGAACTCCCTTAATTCGCGTAGCCCCCAACTTGTTTTGAATTGCCATGTCAAGGTATGCTAGGATGATTCCCACAGACCTTTTTTGTGGGGGACAACACGGAATAGTAGCTAAACAGAAGCAGCATTCGGAAAATAGTTGCAAAACCTCAAATAATTACAATTCCAAATGGTACTATTGTATACTATTGTTAGTTAAGTTTGTTTCCCATTTTCACACAACTTCTGAATACTACCAAGCCAACTGCTTCTGGGACTTTAGCAGCGGGGCGCTTTGTGCAAAGACGCTCTTTTTATCTTGGGCTCAAAGGTCCCGGGCGTCTGGGACATGGCTTCCAGCATCTCTGGATGGGAGATGCTCAGCAACGAAACTTTTTAAGTGTGGTTAACTTAACGTTCCAGTTGATCGCCTGTGAAACACATGGGAATTTAGATAATTTAGCCAGGTTTTTCAGAATGGTTAACAAAAGTGAAGAAATCGCATACATGTATGTACATATACACACATAATCATACCATATTGATCCATATTGTACCAATTCATCATATAAGCCATATTAAACCATGTTAGCAGGTGCCATATTATAGTTTTACACATATACACATAATAGACAGGGTTTCAACACCAAGTCGTGCAGATTTGATCCAGGTCAGCCCTGAAAAATGTCCTGTTGCGGCGATGGCTTGTTGAAGCAGAATTGATGTTTTTTTTTACGCTCATATGCTGGATGTATGGTACAAACATATATTCCAAACATCACCCAAAGCTAAAAAAATGCTGGATAGATCTGGATAGCCTTTTGGGGATGGCTTTACCATGCTTTACCGCTTTACCATTGATCCCGCTACTCTGCGAAGTTCTGCGAAGTTCTGCGCTGTGTCAGAAGTTGGCTTCGCAATCCATCTAATATGATTATGATACGTAATGTCAACCCCGGATTATCTAACCATGTCTTCTGATTAGGGGGTACTCCCAATAGTCATTGCATCTGATACTTAAATGGTACCCCCTCAATTGACAAGCCGTTTTGTTGACATTATATGTATGTATATATATATATAGATATACATAGTTCCGGTCACAATCAACCAACTTGAAAACCTTATGTCATCCCCTCATACTCGTTAAGAACGATATTCTCCGTTCATGTATTCTGATAATCCCCAACAAAAAAATGAAGGGTAGTTTTTGATCCCCGAACTGATCATCAACCAAGTGGTTTTGAACAATGCCCATAGTTTATCAAGCTATATATATATATATACAGATAAACATCCAGTCACCATCAACCCGACACAGGTAACCCAGTTATGTGTTGTTGAAAAACTTAGCAATTTCATTCAAATCAGCTATAAATCCCATGAAAATCACTATGGTGATGGGTGAAGTCAGCCTTTTCCTATGGTTTTTCCGATGGTTTTCCTATCGCATCATCCCAGGACATCGCGAAGCGAGCGAAGCGAGCGAAGCCGCAGTCCCAGAGGCCTGGAGTTGTTCTGAAAGTTACAGCCTTGTTGAATGGTTATTTCATGGGGATTTTCTCCCAGAATCCCCCAGATTTTCAGGGTTGATGTGACATAAACTCATGCAACATCGCAGGAGCAAGACTCATCAGCGAGTGAATGGAAAAAAAAAATGGGGATTTTTGACTGATTTAACCATGAATTTACCATAACTAGCGCATGAATCTTATCCCCTGCATGTTTGATGAGTTGTTTTGATTTAACCATGAATTATAGGGTTCTATTGTGGGTTTAATATGGTTCAAATATCAGACATATAGGGATAAACCTTACAATTGTATTTGTTTGGTTATGAAACAAGGAGTTATGTGAACTAAGGAGTTATACTACCTGGTTGTTTGGGGAGTATGAACTGATCAATATGAATGCGAAAGCTATCAACCAACTACTACTTCATGAGATGGAAAAACATGGGTATCCTTAATGGCTCAAATGATGAACATGTTTTAAGTATGGATAAATATGATTTGTATGGGGCATCATCCCCAAATGGCCTTAATTCGGTGTGAATTATTTGATTTATCCAGTATATCATTTATCGCTAGAATTATTGGTGATTCATTTATATCAAGCTTTCTACTATGTTATGTTGTTTTGTTAGTAGATTCTTGGAATCAATTTGTTGTTGTTTTATATTTGTAATTGTTTTGATATGTTTTGATATATTATGTCTTTTAGCATTAGGATTTGATGCGGTTATTTTATATGTGCCGAGAAATTATAGAATGACTTTAATATGAGGGTTTCGTAAAATGGGGGTCCCCAAAATGGATGGTTTATAATGGAAAATCCTACTAAATTGCATGATGTAGGGTACTTTCACTTGGATTTTGGTGGCAAATGAGCCAGAGTTTCAGTGTTGCTGTGTCTTGGTGCCTGTGTTCTGAGGTCGGTTGAGACAGACTGTGGATGCTATGGGTTTGTCTGAGAATAGTGTATCCCTAGATCCCCTGGTTTATCATCATTTTCTCCATATCATTGGCCATTTTATGTGTGCCACCATTTTCAGACACACCCATTAATAACTGCTATATAGATCACGGCAAGAACAAGCAGCGGTGATCCCAGATGGATTGAAACTCTGGGTCAGAACTGCTTATTGCTATAACGGTATAACCCCCAATGTTCATCAGTTTTAATGCTATACATATATCTACAATACTGTATAATATAATATAATATATATATATATATAGTATACACATTCTAATTCTATAGTATATGTACGTATCTATATCTGGGTAAAATATAAAGACCTCACTGCGACCTCACTATAATCATAATTAGTAAGGGGAATCATCCCAAAATGGCCTTAGTTTAGCTTTGTGAAATGTTATAATTTACCCAGTACATATATATATATATGATATACACACAAGTATATGTAGTATTCATATATAGTATATATGTAATATATAGAGTATATGTAATATATAGTATATATGTAATGTATACTATATATATGTAATATATATATATAGTATATATAAAATTAGATATAATAGCATTTATAATAAATTTAATATTCATTTCGATGATCCCAGCCAATTGTACCATCTCTTCGGGGGCCCCAGGTAGTCAGTGTCCACCGGTTGGGACGCCTGGGCAACGAAAACCGGGAAGCGCAGAGGAAGAACATCGGAAAATGCGGAGTGAACCAAGACACATATAGAAAAATGGTGATTCTTAGAGATTTATAGCTGATTCACCATAGCTAAGTTGGTTGAAATAGGTGAATCCTATGGTTTTTGGTAGAGATATCTATAGTTAGTGGGTGTATAAACCAACAAACATCACTGGGGAGCCTCACATTTAACCTCCTTTGGAATAGTGTTGTGATCATTAGTAATGTCGGAAACTCAATGCCATAAACCTTTACTTGGGTGTTTTTTTATATTTCCCATATTGTAGAATTGGGTACTTACTGTAGGCTTTTTTTTGTTTGATAGTGTTTAACATGGTTGGCCACATTACCAGAAATCTCAATCAACCAAGCAGAAGCAACAGATCCATGGGAGACGTCAGTGATTCCCCCTTGATACCTAGGGAAGGCTGAAGCACCATGATCTTGGGATGGTTCCGTTCCGCCATGAACTAGGGACTATATAATGACAGTATGTTACAGGGTTTCTGGGTACCCCACCAGTCGTCAAGCATCTAGAATCTAGAATTTAACATTGCCATGTCAGATTTCCAGAGGGTACATCGACTGGCGATTTCGCTGGAAAAAAAGTCACGCCGAACAAACATTGACCAGTTTGCCGGGTAGCTACTGTAAGTTTAGTCTTGCAGGTTTGGACGTCCTTCACTCAAAGGTTGTTTTCATTTCATGGTTCTGACCAGACATGAAGCTTCCGAGAGTGTACATGTCATCCAATCTATTCGTGGCTGAAAGGTAGCTGAATGTCAAAAGATAACTTTGCGGCATTGATGTTGCAGGAAGACTTTGATGCACGATATCCTGGTAGCTGCACCGTGAAAGTGCAGGAGTTTGAATGACTATCCTGAAGATGTGGGGAATCAAACATGGCAAGGTGGAAAATCCACCAAATCAGATCATCCTAAGATCAGACCATTCTAGGATTGAAACCTATGGTTTTGGGGATCCCCCATTTTAGGAACCCCCCATATTCGATTGCGGAGACTAAACATGGGTAAAACATCATGAAACATCTTTCCATCTTGCCGCAGTTTTCGCCATGGCCAAGGTTGGGGGCATGCTCGGCTGCAATGCTGGCTGTGGCTGGAACCCCTGCGGCACGGGCTGTGGCTGCAATGATTGCAATGCTGGCTGTGGCTCCATGATGAATCCCATGATGATGCAGCAGATGCAGATGATGCAAATGCAGCAGATGCAGCAGAAGCTTGGAACATCAATTTTTTCGAGTTTTCTGCTCAAAACAAACTCTGTTTTCTTGATGTTGTTTGACAGAATTTGGGACTTTCCTGATGTCGTTTGCTGCAATTAGACTTGCACGGACCGCACGGATTCAATGCAACAACTGGGCCCCTGGTCAGAACAGAACATCCTGGGCCCCTGGACTCCCTGGACAATCTTCATTCAGTCATCGTGCCACTTGCGTGGCTGTTCTTCCGTGGTTCTCCCGAATCACTAACGCTGGCTGTCCTGTTTTTAATCCTGCAGGCTGAGTGTCTGACAGGATGTCTCTCTTAAAGTGTTCCACTTTCAATTGTTCATCTCCAAAAATGGAATGATGATCCTGATGATCCCAATATTTCCCACTCAACTTTCAGTGACAAAAAACCTTTGTGTTCTTTCGTGGCTCCAAAAATATCCGGAACTGAGGATGGTAGGAGTGGGCATGATGATGGGCAACATGTTCAACATGATGAACGCCACTCCCAGTTTCGAGACCATCGGCGCGGCGCCACAGCCCGCACAGCCCGAGCCCGCACAGCTCGTAGTGGAGGACTGGCGACGGTGCCGATGGGGGATACCATCCGGAGGCATCATGGCGATGGCATCATGGCAACCAGAAATTCCCAGACTGAATTGGATACCCTCTGGTTATTTAACATAGCCATGGTACAGATGGCCCATAGAAATAGATGTTTTTCCAAGCTAGAAACCTCCATTTATTTCAGGGATTGTCCATGGCTATGTTAGTCATAACCAGATGGTATTTAGATGGGGAAAATCATCTATATAATTATGAATTATAAATATGGGATGTTCCATTGTCATGTTTGATTACCAGAGGGGATTTGATGTCTTTTGTGTCGACGTCCCACTAAAGTTCTTTGTGACTGTAAAACAAGTGCACCATGGCACCATGCGGAGGACCGAAAAACCACGGATGGGTTGGATGGTCAAGCTGGTTGACCACATAGCCTCGGTCATTGGTTCGCAATCCTTTACACAACGATGCCTTCTTGAACATAGTTGAAGCTTCAGTTAAATTAGAAATTCCATGATGTCTATAATCCATCTCTGAATCATAAGTTGATATTCTACCATGATGTTGTCCAATGTTGTCCAATTAGAATGGAACATAGCATTTGACTTTCACGTTCCAATCTACTTTGGATATGTTGAAACACTGATTCAGTGACTGAGTGTATCTTAGTGTCATATTTGCACGAATGACGATGGACAACTCCTGCCCACCAGCATTAGCCCTTGCCTCCCTTTCATGACGGGTGTGGCAGGAGATTCATGTACCTCCAGGCACCTTGCGCAGACATGCGCAGACATGCGCAGACATGCGCAGACATGCGCAGACATGCGCAGACATGCGCAGACTGTTTTTGAGTCATGGTTTGATGATGTTTGATTTTGTTCAACAGTTCAGCGGAAGTCAGTTGACCCAACTGTGTTTTTTTGTGGAAATCCAGGCCCGTCATCGACGCTGGGGCATCCAAACTATCGTCCGCCGGACTCAGAACAGATGCTCGACTCCTCGACGATTGGTGGTTTGGAACCATGGAATTTTATGACTTTCCATATACCTTCTGGTAATTTAACATAGCTATTGAAAATCACCATTTATAGTGGATTTTCCCATTAAAAATGGTGATTTTCCATAGCTATGTTAAATTACCAGAGGGTAATTATTGGGAATTTCATCATCCCAACTGACGAAGTCATGTTTTTCAGAGGGGTGGCTCAACCACCAACGCAGGTGATCCCCACCGATTATTGACGTCGGCCGATCACCGCCTGGATTGACGCAAACCCATAAAAATTGCCATTTTTGTACCATGGAGCTTATGCAACCATAACTATGTAATTTTTTTGGGGGGGAGGAATGAGCTTTTAACCACGTTGACCCTAGACATCTGATGATTGCAATTTATAACAGAGTATCCAGACCAATGTGGTGAACATATGTTGTTTCTTGTGCTCAATTAAGATACGGAAAATCATTGGCAAACAATAGAAAAACACTGAACATAACCAACTCATGCAGTGATTATTGCTTAACGCATCACCATGATTTACTTTTTTTTTCAAATGTAGTGCAGGTAAACCAGTGACCGTGTGCCCTGTCGATGTAGGATTCCTGGCATCACTGACACACGCTTTGAAGGTGCGGCTCCGTGTCGGGACCGGTTTAACGGCCCCTTCGGCCGGTGGTTTAACATACGGTTTAATCATCAAGAAATTGTGATTTTTCATGAGATTTCCATAGGAAAATTATAACTTGTGTTGTTTTTTTTTACATAACTACATAACTATATTACTTTATGGAAAGTAACTATTTTCACAGCTAGATAAAGCATGGTAAAGCCTCCAGAATTCGGAAGGAGCGTTTTCCATTTTTGGTGAAGCCATTGGAGGCTGCAACTTTTCGTGTCTCCCCTTTTCCGAAGCCTATGGGTTTTATAACCCATTTTGTTCCATTACTGGTTGGTGGTGACTGGAACCATGGCATTTTATGACTTTCCAGATCAATTGAGAATTTCATCATCCCAACTGACGAGTTGTCATATTTTTTTCAGAGGGGTGGCTCAACCACCAACCAGATTATATGGCGAGTTAAACCCCAATGTTTCCCGTAAATGTCGCATTGGAACCCAAGAATTTAGCATGCAAGAGGAACCTTACCATCCATAATGTGGGATTCACCCGATGCCACAAACCATCCCCCAAATCACAATTTTTATGGGTGTTATAAACCATTTCCCAATTGTTTTCCCACATGATTAACCACTATTAACATCTATTAACCATTGCATATTATAACCATTATTAACCATCATTAACCACTAGTCACCACTATCAGTCATTGTCAACCACTATGGCTATGAAACACAACATCGAATCATACTGGTTAATAACTTTATAGTGGTGTTTTATAAACATCATGAACGACTATTAACCATCATTAAGCACCACTATTCACCATTATTAACAACTATTAACCATTATTAACCACTATTAACCATCATTAACCATCATTACCCCATACTAAGCCAATGTTAACCACCTTTTTTTGTGGGGCTCTGTTTTGGTGTCCCGCGATGCCGCAGGGAAGATCAAAGTCTGGTGGGACTCCAAAGGCCATGGCCTCATCGAATGTGAAGAGGCGCCGTTTCTGAATCCGTCGCGCGGTCGAGGCCTTGTTCTGCGAACTTTTATGACAATATATCTACAAGCTGTATAATATTATATATATATACATATACATATATATTATACACATTCTATAGTATATGTACGTATCTATATCTGGGTAAATTATAACGACCTCACTGCGACCTCACTGGAAATCATGGTTTTCATAAGGGGAACCATCCCCAAATGGCCTTAATTCAGGTTAGTGAAATATTATAATTTACCCAGATGGGATTATAGTGGTTAATAGATGTTAATAGTGTTTTGTTGTGGTTAATAGTGGTTTATATTTAAGGATTATAGTGGTTGATAGTGTTTTGTTGTGGTTAATAGTGGTTGATAGTGGTTTATATTTGGTTAATAGTTGTTTATAGTGGTTAATGATAACTGACAATAATGGCTAAGAAGGTGGTAATCCCAATGCCATAAACTATTCCCAATTGGGTTTATGAAATTGGGTTAAGCTATTTAGGGGTTCATGACTGGGGGTGCTTAATATTGCTTTTTTTGTGATGTTTATGATTGGTTTTACCACATTACTGGATGTGCGGGCCCCACTTACGAAGCGGGTAAGAAGCCAATGATGTCAGAGTACCTGGGATTAAATCTGAAAATTGGTGGGAAAATTGAGAAAATCGGTTGGGGTTGGGATCCGACACCAAGAAATCTCTGAGTGCAAACCATGACTGGGACTGGCGAAACATAACTTGGACCCATGGCTAGTTGATGCTAGTCGCAGGTCATGTTGACAACAACGGCCAGCATTTCAATTTCGAAGGACGTCACATCGCTTTAGGTCACAGATGCTGATTTTTTTGGGATTCATCGCTGGCTACGGGTGACCACTCCAACACGGCGACGATTGAAAATTCCACCGGGGTATATTGGGTGACCTTCGATGGTGAGTAGTGAAACGAGTAGGTGCAGCCAATTGACGTAGAAAACACATGAAAACGGGAAAACACATGAAAACGGTGCGTTTTTATTTGAGACAAACTTCTTGTAAAGTTGAGTCCAGCTTCAGCAGTTGTATGATTCCTTTTGTGTTGTTCTTCCTTCGATCTACAGCAGTTTCTACTTGGGACAATCAACTTCTTTTGATGGAGGTCCAGCCGGAATAGCATGTAGGATATACAGAGATTCCATACACTGTGTCCCCGAAGGATATCTAAGTTGGTTTATAACTCCAACAACTAAGGTTTCTGATACTTATAACATCTTATAACATCTTATAACTTATAAATACTTATAACTTATAACTACTGCATAAGCCAACTTAAAAAAAATGGCCCCACCACAAGTACATGTTGCTCCCCATCAATATGTGAGTGGGTTTCACAGAGAAATACTGGTTAGTGGTTTGGAACATAGCTTTTATTTTCCACCATATATGGGATAATCCTTCCCATTGACTAATATTTTTCAGAGGGGTTGAAACCACCAACCAAATAAGTCTTACATCATATTAAAACTAAGGTGGAGGTTTTCTAAAATGAGGCTACCCCCCAAATCATCCAAGTGATTAGACACAGTTCTGGGGAAATTATAACGACCTCGCTGTGACCGAAGCCTGGAATCATGGTTAAATCATGTTAAATCATTCCAAAATGGCCCAACATTTCAGGTTTATATGATAATTTACCCAGAATGTTATACATTTTTGGTATTGAAACCCATAGTTTCGGGTGCTTTCGCCACGGTTTACCCGGTGAACTTTTGGAGGTCCAATTGAAGTTCCCTGGACAAGACGGGATCTTCTTGCACGACTCGCAACGGAGGTGGGTAAGTCAACGGTTTATTGGGAATAACTCTAACCTTAGGATACCTTAGGTTTATAGGAGGTTGGTTTATAATACTAGACAAAGCTACGTACATATATATATATATATATAGTTAAGTATATGTATATAAATATATATAGTTATATATAATTATATATATATAATTATATATATATATATACACGCGTTGGGAATTATTATAAGCCCTCTAGAACATCCAGAATTAAGGACACCTATTTAAGAATCAGAACTTCATGGGATGGGAAGAGATTATATGTGTTTAATGATTGATTGGTGCAAGGGTTAGGAAAACAACCAACTTTTATCAAGGTCCGGGGCATACAACCATTTTAAAACATCTGAGTGTTTCAGGTTGAACATGGGCCCAGATCAGACCTGACCGGTGCATGAACATGCATATCAAAGCCATTCAGCAAATTTTCTGTTGGGGGCTCATTGGTCATTGTGGGGGCCATCTGGCGTTGAAGATACAAGGATTCCTTCAAGATGGTATTTGGGCTGGATTCTGGGGGCTACTGTAAGCTTTCAGATGGAACTGTTTATCATGGCGTATGTGGCTATGTCCCGCACGAATATGTTGGTTGCCTCCAGAGTTGAAGAACTGTCAATCGCTTTTGCCTGCCACTAAAATCACCAGTTGAATGTTCTATTTCCCTCATTTATGAAACAACATTTCAAATCACAAGATGACATATTCGTATATTATTCCATACTTATATATTATTCCACATATATATATATCCATATATACAAATAACACATATATATATATATACATACCCTGGGCGTCGGCGACAGACTACATTGGTTCACGGGTCACTGTGGCCAGTATCATTGGGTAAGTTGATTGTAGGTATTGTGGGGATTATGAATAATCTATGGAATACATATAATCCATGACATACAATAATATGATAGGTAAGTCATGTCATTATCTATGGGGACTATTTTAAGTTGATTGTGAATCTATGACATGCCATAGAAAGATTGTTTCAGTCAGGACGACCTCAAAGGACCTTTTCAAATACGTCTAATGTGGGCAAAATCACTTTCAGCTATCATCATAGAATTGGATTATGGGAAAATTTACAGGAAAGCCCTATATTTGGTGGTAAAAACCATGGTTTCCTGTAAATTTTCCCTTAAACCAATCCAGTGATATCAGGGACTTTGTTGCATCCCTTGCTGCAAGCCTTGGCGTCAGAAATTTCCCATTGAGATCTTTGGGCAATGCTTAAGCCTTTCATTTAGATTAGGGCGCGCAGCTTGCCATCTTTAGTGCCGAATGTTGCCTGGCCCATGTCCACCCAAAGTGAGCTAAATGGGATAAGACTGGGGTAAAATGAACTCTTTTGATTTGTAGTTAAGTTACAATAGTATTAGTTAGAGCCAAACTTTCTTTGCAAAACCTTTCGGGGCTTTAGGTCAAACAATTTGGATCAACGCGACACGCTGCGACTTTTCTTCGCCAGCCACTTAGTAGCCATCCAGTAGCTCTAACAACGCCGTGATTGGTGCGTGATTGGTGCGTGAAAGACCGTTTCCCAACTGATTGGTGGTTTCAAACATTTTTTTATTTTCCATGGTATATGGGATAATCCTTCCCATTGACTAATATTTTTCAAGATGGTTAAAACCACCAACCAGATAATTGTTTTTTCATTTTTTTGGTTTGAAAATCTTCAGTCGCCAAATATCACACAAATTGAATCTTTACAAGGCCACTGCAGATCATAGTTGCAAGAGTGTTTGAGACGCTTTGCAAAAGGTTAAAAGGACAGCAAACAGCCTGCAGGCTGATGCTGACGCAGGTTTCGTAGCAGGAGAGGCTGCAGGTTTCCCTAGCCAGAAGAGAAGTAAATTATACATAATACACCATACACCCTCCTTATTTGCTGTGGCACGGCAGCTTTTGCCTTGAACAACTCTAACAACTCTTATCAGCTGAAGTCTATGCACTGGACTGCAACATTCAAAAAGTTGATTGAAAAGCGCAGCTGATGGTCAAATGAAATCGCAACTCGTGTTTTCAACACTTGGTTCTTTGAAGCGGTTGCAAGTACCAAGCAACGCATTTCCTGGGTTCCAAAGCTTCTGAGTCGATAGACAAAAAGTGGCAAAACCCAGGAACATGATAAAACAGGCAAGAATGAAAAAACTCAAATTTCAGGAAAACCGTGGTTGTTGGAAACCCATGGTTGCGGGAACGGCTATTTAAAAAACCGTAGGGTGACTTCTCTTGATCCCATTTGGGGATTTCAAATAGGACATAGATCACCGTACGAAGACCGGGTGCTTTAAAAAAACCTTGCAAAGCACCAAAAAATCATCAATGGATTGGGTTAACCTATAAATATTCACCGGAAACCGCGGGATTTAAGATCAAAAAACGGTGGTTCTGGTCCTGGTAGATTGGCCTTCAACATCCTTCTGGGATTTTGAACCAGCCACTTGGGTAGGACGGTGAGCTAATGAGCTACTGAGAGTTTCCCAACCACATGATAGCCCTCCGGTGTCATCAAACGTGGTGAACCAATAAAATCACCCATTTACTTCCATGATTTTAGCTAGGAACCTCCATTGAGTTCCATGATTGTCCCATATTTTCTATGATTTTCCAATGTGTTTCCCATGTGTTTCCTTCGATTTTTGGGGCTCCATCGTCCCTCGAAGGCACTTCCAAAAAGGCGACGAGGTCTCCTTCTCAGTGTGCCTATGATCAATTAAGGAGCGCTTTAGTCGGCCTGGGAGTGATGAAAAAAACCATCTGACTAGTTTGATATCCAGAAATCCGCAGCCTAATTCCAAGTAATAGTATATATATATATATACATATGTATATATGCAACACAGATCGTCAGACAACTTATAAGCCCACTTACCTATTGTTTGGGTGGCCCTTCCTCTATCGAATCAGCTATTGCTCAAATTAGTTTCTATAAGGCACAATTATGGAACATGTACAGTAACACCCCTAGATTTGGAAGTAAAAACATCTATAGTTTTTACCTTAAGTCGATTAATTGAATGTGTGTTTCCCCAAGTTCTGCCCACACACACCCCAAGCTGGATAGCTACCAAGAAAGCTACCAGGCATGGAGGCACGCACCGGGGCAACCGGCTCTTAAGGGCTTCAGCTACTCACACGCACTCCCCCCACTCTGCAGCTCAGGCATGCAGAGTGTAGTGTATGCAACCTGGCAGAGGCCGTTGGGCTTGAGCCACCGCACCAACTGTTAGGCGCCTCGCCAAACTTCAAAAGCCAAACTTCTCGCTGATGAACTGCATCGGCCCCCCGCTTTCTGAGACGCCTCGCGTCCCCCGCTTTTTGAGGCAAAGACTCGCCCTCCAACTTCTTTGTCGAACAGGCCCTGCACACCGCAGATCTCCCAGCTTCACCACACCTGCAAGAAGCATTCCCAGCGGGCATCAAAGCCGCGCAATGGCCACATTTGGGCTCATAACCTGTGTTTCCCCAAGTTCTGCCCACACACACCCCAAGCTGGATAGCTACCAAGAAAGCTACCAGGCATGGAGGCACGCACCGGGGCAACCGGCTCTTAAGGGCTTCAGCTACTCACACGCAGAATGAAATAGCGTCAATCGTATGAAAGTTACTTTTCCTCACAAGAAATTTTTGCGATGTTGACTGGGTGATGTTGATTTTTGCCCTGCGAACTTCTTCATTTCGGTACCCAGAATGAAATATGACCAGGAAGAAAACGGCCCTTACTGGGACGGTTTATGATCTCCAAACGATTGACATTTCGGGAGTTGAAACCAGCACCACAAGTCAACATTGGGGACGGTCTCACCCTGAAAACTGGGGAGGCTTGTTTTACATGTTCAAGGGGAAGGGAACATTATAATATGTTGGAACTATAATCCCGGATATGTTCATAGAATTCCCACATATTTCTCAATATTAAGTTGTTGGAATAGGAAGTATTGAAATTATATGCTAATCCATTACAGTATATAATCTTTATCAACCAACCAGCAGACGCAACCAGTGAGTTTTTCGACCCTACTAGTGTTGTTTGCGACATCCCCATACGGAACTTTGAAGCCTCCCAAAACGCTATACTGGTCGGATTGCTAAGAACTATAAACTGGTTGGTTGTTTGTTTAATGGGGATTCTATGCAACGTCGTGGTATGATATGAGTTTCATATTCTGGTTTGTTGGAACATTTTTTATTTTTCCATATATTGGGAATGATAATCCCAATTGACTTTCATATTTTTCAGAGGGGTTGAAACCACCAACCAGTAAAGAAGAGGTTCATTCGCGGGTTTTTGGCTTGTGGAGTAACCGACACTGTGCGGTTGCGGCTTCCGCAGTTTTTTTATCACCCGGCCGTTTCTTGACCAAAATCCGAAGAAGACACGCACCAAGGTTTGTGAATTTCCGAGGAAGACCGCAAGCAACAGAGCTTAGAAGACCTGAAGTTTCGGACGCAAAGAAAAGCTAACGGTGCTGTGCGAAAATGTGGGCGTGACCGTGGCGTGGCATGCGCGACGGATATGTGGGGATGGCTGGAACGGGGACCCACATGTGAGGCATTGGACATGCTGCAACTAAGTCTCTTGGATATCTGTTGACATAGTATGTGCATGTAGGTGCACTGATAGCATGCACAACATGCACAACATGGATCCCGCTTCCCATCTCTATAGAATTCAGATTCAGATGGTTGTACAGGTTTGAATGTTCAAAATGTAAGAAAACATGTTATGCTCTTCAATAAGCATGACATACACAATCCATGCCTCACCATTATGTCAAGATGTCATGGTTTTCCACACTTCCCTATTCATGGAAATACGAGGTAGATAGAGTATATGTGTGATTGCTCAGCCATCCGCCATCCACCCAACCAACAATCAACCAGTAATTATCAAATATTATAAACCCCAACACTTAAATCTATGGTTAAAGCCTATAAGACCCTATAACATCCCTTTCTAAACCACATAAAAACCACTGTAACGTTTAAGGCACCCAAGGCACTATCCTTGGTATCCACCATGGTGTACCATGGAGCTAGCTGACTTCAGCAGGCCGCGGCAAAACAACGCACTGGATGCAGCTCGATGCAGCGTTCGGCGTTCGACTGGATGGGATTTGATGGCAATTTTTCAGGGATTCATCTAGTAATATGGGATTTAATATGATTTAATGGGGTTTGAAATAGGGGATACATATATATATATATATATATGGGATTTCATGGGAATGGATCACCTCTCTGGTCATTTGACAGCTTTCTATATGGATCAGCTCTTAAAAAACGCTACCATGGCTTCGCAAACTTTTGGGGATCTCAGTATGAAGCCAGACGAGTCTGGGTAGCTTCTGCATGATAACAGTAAATCCCAAAAAGATGCAAAGAAATCTATCGCGTTTCATCGTGTGTAGCCTCTGGTAATTTAACATAGCTATTGAAGCCGTGGCCATTTAAAAAGGATGATTTTCCATAGTTATGTTAGTTTACCAGAGGGTATATTCAAGATTCAACTTTTCTCTTTTTTGTGTGGGTTTCCGAAAATAGATACATATACATATACACACATACTTCGAAATTCATGTGACCTCCACGTTCATTTGCTTTGTGAGATTCCACACATTTTCTTGGTGAGTGGATCGTATCAAGTCTTGACGGATGCCTCTAGGTAAAGGTTGGTGAGTGCAAACTGGTTTTTCAGAGGTTGATTTTCAGCCAGGAACCAATCTTTATGCTGGCTTTCTAAACTTAGCCATACTATTGTTGATTACTGTGTATCCTCATTTTAGTTGATCATTCCCTCATCCGTATCGAACCTACTGATCATATTCTCATTGGCTGCTACCATTTGGCAACATATCCCATGTTAGTTGGTTGCTCCATATTCATAATATCAAGTGAATTGCTTATAGGTATCCCACAATACAGCACCATATTGTATCCCGATAAAATCACCACTACTATATCCCTATCATGGTTGGTTACAATATGTTATAATGTTATACATCCCATCCAATCCCATCAATTCATTTACTGTATTTCCTGCATAAATCAAGATAAATCCTCATTTAGTTATGATCAAATCATATTAAATCTGCCAGATCCGCTTTTTTCTTGACTACCAATTGAAGTCACAGAGTGCGTTTCAGGGCGGTTCCCTGTTCCCGCAGGTTTGCCTGCAAGTGTGTCAGTCTGCCAGCGGTTCAACCTTGGAGGCCTTCTACAGATCTACAGTGTACAGGAAATGTTGTTTGGTTTTTTTTTCCATGAAATGTACCTTCTGGTAATTTAACATAGCTATTGAAGCCATGGCCATAGAAATAGATAGACATAGTTGATTTAGCCACTAAAAAATGTGATTTTCCACAGCTATGTTAGTTTACCAGAGGGCAGGGCTTTCCTGTAGATGTTGCTTTGAACCAGTGCCTGTGATTGTATGTGTTTTTCGTGGGTTCGATAGTTTTCGGGATCAATGCAAGTCATAGTGTGTCTGTGTGTGTGTGTTTGCGTTTTACTTTCGGAGCATGTGGAGATGGATTCCCCCCAAACAGGATAGTTTTATGAATTTATGACATAAATGTTACCCACATATTTATACGTATACATATGTATATAAATATATATATATATATGTATTTTTTTAAAAAAATACAGTATTTTATATGTATATATATATATTGTATATATAAACAGTGTGTATATATATATATATATATACAATGTACATATGGTCCCCACAAGTCTTGAATTTTGGACCTGTGTTCCCCTATCTCACATTTGTCCTTTTAGGAAAACTTCACTCTTCTGATTAAAACAAACACTTACAATGTGCATAAATTGGTTTATAAACCCCATGAATTATAGTTATAAGATGTTATAAGTATCATGACCCATAATCATTGGAGTTGTTTGCACCATACGATAGCTAACTTGGTTTATAAATCCAATAACTATGGCCACTATGGTTTATGATACTTAGTAAGTGGGGTTTACAAACCAGCTTATACCTGAAGGGGACCACCTTGACGGAATGTTGCCAGAGGTATCGACCCATCATAGTGCCAAGTTGGACATACTTGTTATGTTGTTGAGCTCTTTCATTTTGCCACAAATGGAACAATGTAATTCATACAGGCAGCATTTGTCAAAGGGTGGTCAAGACTAGTTTGCTGTCGTAACGAAAATAACTCCCACATTAATTATACAGTTTCTCATTGATTTTTCAAGATTAGCTGCTTTGAGTTTGTCTGAAAGCGGGGAATGCCCACAATTTTAGCATTTTTTTAGTTGGGAAAATGATGCTTTGATCCATTGGAATTGAGGTTTTCCCTAAAATGTTCAGACAGATGCGGGGTTTCTGCTGGTCGTGTGAGATCCCCAGTCGTCACCATCGGGTTCGCTGGTCATCCATGACGACTGGATGATTTGGGGGAACTTCCATGACTGTGTGGAAACCTCCAAGAGAGTTAATACATACCCTCTGGTAAACTGTTACATAGCTATTGAACATTGCCATTTGTAATTCGTGGATTTACCCATGAAACATGGTGATTTTCCATAGTTACGTAGACGTTTACCAGAGGGTCATTTTCAAGCAACCAGCGTTCCATTCAAGTCCCTTGCAAGCGCCGCAGCTTGCAAGCAGAACTTCCCAACTGCGGCTGGGTGACCCAGCGCAACGCTTTCTTGGAATCCAAAAGTCTCCACCATTTTCAGATATGCTCTCTGCATGTTGCTGACATCCCCAGTCTTTGTTGGTGAAATCACCAGATTTTCTGCGTAAAATACCAGCTCTTCTTGACTAAAGCCACAGGTATTTCTGAGTTGTCAATTCTTTGTAGTTAAGTTTAAGTCACCAAAAAAATGTTGGTGTTTCGTTGTTGGTGTGTTTGGCAACATCTTAAAACATGTTGAAACATGTTTAAACAATCACAAGTCGTGGTGGTAATATCCCATTTTGTTTCGTTCAGTGCCCCCCTCCCTTCGTTGCACCTTAGGGGCTCGACCTTCAAAGTATGGTCACGTCCGGCACGCTTCACCCACCTTCGACGAGTGCGTTTGCAGGTGGACCCGTAAAATGCTAATCCTGGTTGAATAACATGTGATTTCATAGCATTTCGGCATGTCATGGGATGTAGAAGCACCAATCTGATTTTTAGGCATTTTAAGGTGTGTCTGAAAATGGGATATACCCTATACATCCCTATACCCTATAACCATAATTTCATTGCATGTTCATGCATTTTTGTCAAGGTAAATGATGTTGTTCATCAGTCGATTCTGTAGGGTACCCGCATGTACCCGACGTACCTTTTTCATCATCATCATCATCATCATCAGCATTATCATCCCTAATTTGTTCATCACTTAAATCGCTTGTGTTGGTGAACAAAAAACCGATTCGCAGGATCTGGATTTCTACGCCTTGACCATGCCATATAAAAACACCATTTTGGTGACTGTGTGGCGACAACTCGGCGATGTGGTCGCGGCGGAGTACAGGACATGGGCTGGGAGTGGCTGGGACCCTTAGACCCAAATCCCATATGGCAGGAGTTCCATACACGTCCACCTTTGGCTACGATTCAATGCTCAAGTCAGATGCAGTGTACGGTGACATGTTTCAGAGTAAGACTTCAGCAGGCTACTTAATGTACCGTAGATGATACCTTTGAATATAAGAATATCATACCTAGTATACATTATATGTGTTTTTTTCTCAGGCAAATGATATACACATTACAAAATCATATACCCTCTGGTTATTTAACATAGCCATGGAAAATCACCATTTTTAATAGGTAAACCATCTATAAATGGACCATCTATACCATGGCTATGTTAAATAACCAGAGGGTACCTAGGCAGCAAGGCATATCTCAGCCCACCGCAGAATCTCGTTTTTTCAGGACACGCTTTGACGCGTCCTGTCCAATCCTGGTCAGTGACTCAGTGTCCTCACCGCGACCGAAGCCTGGAATCATGGTTTTCATAAGGGAAATCATCCCCTTTCATGGCCTTAATTCAGGTTATAGTGATTTTTTGTAGTTTATCCAGATGTTCATATGTGATAATATTATATATATACCCCCATAGGCAGATGTATGTTATATCATATCCCCATACTTAGGTAGATGTATGATGTATGTTATTTGTACTGGTTCTTTATCACTGGTTTTCTATGGGCAAATTTTGTCACAATGTACCGATGCTACACTGACGGAAGAGTTTTTGGGTCATATCCCCAGTGGATCGTTGTGCTCAAAATCTAGTAAAGCACATGGCTTCCTACACAACATCACTATGTTTTTTTGTAATATTCCCAGTGGATAGTGTGGATTTGGCTTCCTAGGTTTTATTGTAAAACTCATGTTCTTTTCCCTAGGAAGCCAAATCCACCCCTTTGTAGCACATGAGTTTTACATCTGGTTGGTTTCAAACATGTTTTATTTTCCATGATATATGGGATAATCCTTCCTTTTG